CTTTTATATTGTTGACCCCTCTCTCCCAAAAGGTAAATATGACAAATATTACAAATTTTTGAGTGGGCATGGTGGCTCATGCCTGCGATTCCAGCACTTTGGTAGGCCGAGGTGGGCAGAACACGAGGTCAGGAGATTGAGACCATCCTGGCCAACATAGTGAAACCCCGTCTCTAATAAATACAAAAAAAATTAGCCGAGCGTGGTGGTGCATGCCTGTATTCCCAGCTACTTGGGAGGCTGAGGCAGGAGAATTGTTTGAATCAGGGAGTCGGAGGTGCAGGGAGCCAAGATCGTGCCACAACACTCCAGCCTGGCAACAGAGTAAGACTCCATCTCAAAAATTAAAAAAATAAAAAATAAAAAAAAGAAGAAGATAATATATTGTCATTTGCAGTTGATAAGACTGTCTACATAGAAAAACGAACTATTGGCCAGGCACGGTGGCTCACGCCTGTAATCCCAGCACTTTGGGAGGCCGAGGTGGTTGGATCATGAGGCCAGGAGATCGAGACCATCCCGGCTAACATGGTGAATCCCCACCTCTACTAAAAATATGAAAAACTAGCCGGGCATGGTGGTGGGCGCCTGTAGTCCCAGCTACTGGGGAGGCTGAGGCAGGAGAATGGCATGAACCCGGGATGTGGAGCTTGCAGTGAGCTGAAATTGCGCCACTGCGCTCTAACCTGGGCGACAGAGTGAGACTCCGTCTCAAAAAAAAAATATTAGCTGGGCACAGTGGCGGGTGCCTGTAATCCCAGCTACTCAGGAGGCTGAAGCAGGAGAATCGCTTGAACCTGGGAAGCAGAGGTTGCAGTGAGCTGAGATTGTGCCATTGTGCTCCAGCCTGGGTGACAGCAAGACTACATCTCAAAGAAAAAAAAAAAAAAAAAAGAATTTCTTTCAGCCATTTTGAGGAATGCCCAGGACTCAGTATCACATAACTTGGTTTTTCTTATTCTCCCAGGCTGTAAGTATTTTGAGATGGGGGAGTGTGTGTCTTATGTGACTGAGCTGGCATGTACTGTATGTACTATGGTGAATTCTGACCAGCTGACCGAGGAATGCAGTCAGCATCCAGGTGAACGCTAGCGCTGCCTTCTCTAGAAGGGCGAACCCTGCGTGCTTGGAATACAAAGGAAATGGCACAGTCTGGGATGTTCTTCTCTCTTCTCACTCCCCCTGTTCTTCCTATTTTTCATCTCTAACATGACCTGGCTGTCACTCTCTGTGTGCCACCTTTGCCCTGTAGTAGAAGGAACCCTTCTGTTAGCATATTGATGTAGTCTTGCACCAGATAAGAAGCTAAATGACTTGAATGGCTTGATAAAGCCCATGTGGCCAGAAAGTGGCCGGTCGCATAATATTCTGGACTCTAAATAGTGTGCCTTTGACACGTTTGTCATTGTCTTGCTGAAGCAGGCAGAGCTGTCTGTGCCCTGCCTTCCAGAGCTTTCTGTGCTCGTGGGCACCACAGTCCTGCCTCTGGGCAGGGCCCACCCTTACCTGAGATGTGTGTGTGGCTGACCTCTTGGGAAACCCTGAAGCCAGAGTCGGAGGCACCCCATCATTTTCTAGGAACGGGAATAACTGGAGAAACAAGTCTTGCAAAGTGGCTCCACCTTTTGAGGTAACTGGGAGTGCCTTTTCTTGGGGTGACTCACTCAGGAGGGTCCCCGATTGTGTGCTTAAGGAGTCCTTTTCTCTCCTTTTATGGTAGTCTGCAAATAGCAGAGAGAAGCCCCTTTCTCTGGATGCTCCCTGGGTGCCTCCCTATGGCCCTGCTGCTGCCGACTGCTTTAACACATTCTTCTGTCCCTTCTGTTGAGATGCCGTGTTGTAGGAGCCTGTTGCTAGGGTGTGTTCTGTTGTGTCTTCCACCACCTTTAAACAAGCAGCTCATGTTCTTTTCTCTCCCCTGGAATGGATCACTGTGTAAGCCTTTTTCATAGGTTAAGAATCCAGGATTGCCCCCAAATAGGCCAGACCCACCCCCACTCCCCACTCTCAGGCATCAGGTCTCAGGTGTCAAGGGTGAAAGGTCACTGGGGCCCCCTCAGCTCCACTCTGAGTGACCTGGAGCCTAAGCAAACATTTCCTGCCTTCTGCAGTGTCCTGGAGAGGCGAGTCCTCTGCCTGCAGCAACTTCCCTCCCCGGGGGCGCCTGGAATTCCCCGCCTCCGCCGTCTTCAGTGGAGAATGGAGAGACAGTTTATGCCCTCTGAGTTCTATTAGGGCATAATGACTCGCAGCTTTAAATGCATATGGAAGCTATTAAAAGCAGTGAAAGCTATTCTTTTTTTTTTTTTTTTTCTTTTTCTGTATTGCCCTTGTGGAAGTAGGAAAGTGACAGGGTCTTTGAAGTTCGCAAAGGCTTAAGTGCACCTTGGCACACGTCTTGGTGGAAGGTGTTTAGTGCATCCCAGGAGGCAAGATTGAAACTGAGGCCAAAGCAGGCAAACCCGAGGTTCTTGGGCAGGCACTTGCCTGGGCTAGAAGGTCTGGCTCTGCCTTCGAATACAGAACATGAATGCAAAGCAGCCATGGTAGCAGGAGTAATAATGATGATGATGACGATGCTGGCACCCACTGACATTTATGGAGCTCATTAATAATGTCCCTGGTACTATACAAAGTCCTTATTGACATACGTTATCTCATTAGTCCATTCTTTCCTAATCCTATGAAGCAAACGCTTTACTGATCCCCATCTCACAGGTGAAGAAATGGAAGTTTAGAGATATTAAGTTCTGGAATAAACAGGCCAGGCATGGTGGCTCACACCTGTAATCCCAACACTTTGGGAGGCTGAGGTGGGCCGATCACGAGGTCGGGAGTTCGAGACCAGTGTGGCCAACATAGTGAAACCCTGTCTCTACTAAAAATACAAAAGTTAGCTGGATGTGGCGGTGTGCACCTGTAATCCCAGCTACTCAGGAGGCTGAGGCAGGAGAATCGCGTGAACTCGGGAGGTGGTGGTTGTAGTGAGCCAAGATTGCGCCATTGCACTCCAGCCTGGGTGACAGTGTGAGACTCCGTCTTAAAAAAAAAAAAAAAAAAAAAAAAGAAACTTAGGTTTGGTCTCTGCCCCCATTTCCTGGCACCCAACAGCTCTTAGAACCCCCAGATTCTGAAGTGATAAGCGTCTGAATGCCGATGAGATGACTGGGTGACTGAGGGGGCTCCCGAGAGCCTCAGGATGGGGGCTAGTTGCCAAGGGAGCCAACCCTATGATTAAAGGGTTTGACTTCCAGCCCCATCTCCCCAGTCTCCTCCAGGGAGGGAAGTGAGGCTAAAGGTTGAGAGGCTCACCAATGGCCAATGATGTAATCAATCATGCCTGCATGATGAAGCCTCCATATAAACCCAAAAAGCGTCAGGCACGGTGGTTCACACCTGTAATCCCAGCACTTTGGGAGGCTGGGGTGACAGGCAGATGAGTTCAGGAGTTCGAGACCAGCCTGACCAATATGGTAAAACCCTGTCACTACTAAAAATACAAAAAAAATTAGCCAGGTGTGGTAGCACATGCCTGTAGTCCCAGCTCCTTGGGAGGCTGAGGCAGGAGAATTGCTTGAACCCAGGAGACAGAGGTTGCAATGAGTCGAGATCGCACCACTGCACTCCAGCCTGGGAGACAGAGCAAGACTCCATCTCAAAATAAATAAACAAACAAACCCAAAAGGCTGGGCTTCTGGGAGCTTCTGGATTGCTGAAGGAGTGGAAGTCCCTGGAGGGTGTGCACCCTGCACCTGGAGAGGGCATGGAGGTGTCACTTCCCTCCCACATCCCTTGCCCTGTGCATCTCTTCCATCTCCAAGTAGGGAGTGTCAGAATTGAGTTACATTTTAGGACACCCAGCTGATGTTGGAGAATGGCTTTGTGCAAGTGTTCTGTGTTGTGTGAGTATAAGACAAAGAAAGTTTGTTTTTCCTATTCATAAGTAAATTTGCCCAAATTCTCAACTGCTAAGTAAAAAAAATGTGGACTTCCCACCTGGCCATCTGGCTCCAACCCTGCACTGCCTATGAGGCTCTTGTGGGGTCAGCCTGGGCTCAACTCCATTGATGAACTTGGAAACACGACTTGATTGTGTCACCTGTACATTTGAAATAATAATCATGTTTACCTGTGTTGACAAAAGGAGTCAAACTCTGTAAAATATTTGAAGATATTCATCCTGAGCCAAATATGGGAGACCAATGGGAGACCCTGAGAACATGTGCCCAAGGTGGTTGGGGTACAGCCTCGTATACGTTTTAGGGAGACATGAGACATCAATCAAATATATGTAAGATGTAATTTGGTTTGGCCTGGGATGGTGGGACAACTGGAAGCCAGGGCTTCCAGGTCATAAGTAAATTCAAAGATTTTCTGATTGGCAGTTGGTTGAAAGAGTCAAGTTATTGTCTAAAGACTTAGGAATGTCTGAGTTAAGAGGTGGTGGAAACCAAGGTTTTATTGTGTGGGTAAAGCCTCCAGGGAGGAGGTTTTGGAGAGAACAGATTGTAAATGTTTCTTATCAGACTGAAGGAGTCTGCTGTATCAGTAATTCCAAAAGGGAGGAGGTTATAATGAGCCATGTCTGACCCCCCTTCCCATCATGGCCTGAACTACTTTTTCAGGTTAACTTTGGAATGCCCTTTGCTGAGAGGAAGAATTCATTCAGATTGTTGGGGGTCTTAGGACTTTATTTCTGGTTTACAGCTAGTATGGGTATGGCAAGGATGGTGTGGGGTAATCCACAAAATGCTTGAAATGGTGAGCAGCATGGCATATGTGCTCACTGTATTTTTGCTGACTCATGCTGACTGCAGCCCCAGGAGGGCATGGGCTCACCGCTGACTCCTCATGCCTCCCGGCTGGTTTCTGAGATCAACCACAGAGGTTAAACTTCATTCCAGGGAAGAAGGGCAGGGATGTCAGAGCCGGAGAATGCCTGGGTCCTTCTCTATGCATTGGGCTCCTTCCTCCTTAATTCTCTGCTTTCCACTTTTTAGGCTGAACTCCAGTGTACCCAGTTAGACTTGGAGCGGAAACTCAAGTTGAATGAAAATGCCATCTCCAGGCTCCAGGCCAACCAAAAGTCTGTTCTGGTAAGACCAGCCTGGGTCAGCCAGGCCCTTCTGGGGGTGTGGGACATGGTACTGCATGCCTAGCCTCCATTCCTGTAGGTTCCTCGGGGTTTCTCCGCACAAGAGAATTGTAGATACAGTTGACTACACCATGGGGTAGCCTCACTTTGATGTCAAGATTTGTTATGAAATTAGTTTAAGTTTTAAACCTGGCAAGTGATTTGCTTTTTAATAATATAAATTAGAACCAAGATGAATCCTATAATAACAACATTCTTATTTCTACATTTGCATATGCTGTCTGGACAGGGTGTATGTGTGTGCGGGGCTGGGTGTTTAGTCAGAGGTCCAGAAATTATATGTAATCTTGGCTTCTTCCATTATATGAGTCTCACCAGTCCTAGGACCTGGCAACTAGAAAAAAGGAGTTGAGAACTCAGGATTAGTGATGGTATTTGAGAAGGCCATGGTGTGCCAGGCTAAGTAGGCAGTAAGTGGTCTTCAGGTGGACTCTGAGGAGTTCTGCAAATGCCTCTCATCAGTGGCAAGCCAGTAACCACCACTCAGAAGAAAATGCAAAACAGGCTGGGCGCAGCGGCTCACACCTGTAATTCCAACACTTTGAGAGGCTGAGGCGGGCGGATCACTTGAGGTCAGGAGTTCGAGACCAGTCTGGCCAACATGGTGAAACCCCGACTCTACAAAAAAATACAAAAATTCGCCAGGCATGGTGGTGCGCGCCTGTAGTCCCAGTTACTCAGGAGACTGAGGTAGCAGAATTGCTTGAATCCAGGAGGCGGAGGCTGCCGTGAGCCAATTTTGCACCACTGCACTCCAGCCTGGGTAACAGAGTGAGACTCTGTTTCAAAAAAAAGAGAGAGAGAATGCAAAACACCTACCCTATGGAAGTGAATCAGCATTGTCATCTTTATATCCTGAGAATGAATGATTCCATCCATCCTCCATCCATCCATTCGTCTACCCCTAATGCATGTATTCATTTCAATTTAAATTTTCACCTCCTGGGTGTTTACGACCAACTAGCTACTGAAGGATGAAACACCTCTTTCTTACTCACAATATTTTATTAAAGGAAGAAAGAGAATTATCCCTTTAAAGCCATATAAATCTTCAGAGATAATGGATTTCCAGGCTCAAGATAACCTGTAGAACCACATGGAGGGTCTTGTGTTTCCCAGTTCTTTAATTTTCAGACACTTTGATCCCTCCTCAGTTCTCATAAGTACATGACGACCAGGGGAGGTAGTTATTACAATAGCTACCATGCACAAGGGGCATGAAGATGACAAGACTTATCTAGGGCTATCTAGATTGATGGAACGGGAGAACCTAGAGTTGTTGCTCCCTTGACCTAGGAATGACTCAGTATATTGACAGGCATGTACACCACCCTCAAATCTTTAAACCATTACCTGCTGGCTCCTTGGATGTGTTGAGGCCTCTCCTGTGTGTACTATTTCTGCTTTAGTAATGCAGTAAGTAATGCCCTTTGCACATTACATTTACATGCAAGAAAGAAGTGTTTCTCAATGGGAAGGTTTAGGAATGAGAGGCCAGGCCATAGCAGAAGTCAATCTCAATCCACCAATATCATCTGACGCCTCCCTTCCACCATCCTGCCTCAGGATGGCCTCAGTTGGGGCTGGGGGTGAGGATTTGGATGCTGAGTTTGTCTTTAGTCTCATGCCTCTTAGTCTTGTGCTATCTGCTTCTATGAGGAACCTATGGGTCTTAATTGTAGACGGGATTCTGCTCCTTTCCCACAACATCCTCATGCTGGTTCCCATGCTGTGTCCTGCTCCTGCTTTCTGGAGGTGATCGGGAGTGGGCAGTGCGGGCAGGGAGTACTCTGTGGCCTCTGTGAGTCCTAGAGCCTGGACACCTGGAGCCTGAGTGGACATGAAGGGTGAGTAAGCCGGGGAACTAGGACACATTAGCTAACACAGAGTCTGGATCAAACACTACCACCGCTATCTGCCCCTGCTCTCCCCAATGGTTATAAGCACAACTCTCCTGTCTTCTGAGGTAGATTTCTTCATCGTTGCTTCTTTGCCGTATGGAAATGTAATTTGACTTTTAGATTTGAATCCAGTCGTGATTAATATCTCAGGATTTATAGTATTTACAGTGTCAGGGAGGCAACACCTGTAAACAGTTGGTTCAGAAATTGCTGGGAGGCTTGGCCTCTTTCCCTCTTGGTCGCCCGCTCAGCAGCAGCCTGTGTATTTAGTCCATTATGGGCATAGGATGTTCCCCTAACTGGTGCCCACAGTGGACAAGGGGCTAGGCCCTGTCTCTCGTCGGGTCTTGGGAGAGGGCCGAACTTAAAGGTCCTTCCCTGCAACGTCCCCCACAGCCACAGCTCATGGGCTGAAAGAAAGCTCAGCTGAACTCCTCGTGTGCCTCCCCAGCTCGTCCTAGTGAATGTGCCAGGGCCCAGAGGGAGAGGTCAGGCTGTGCCAGCTAGGTGCTATACTGCAGACACATGGATCCCCAACCCTGGGCCCTACTTCGAGGCAGTGTGGAATGGTGGTAAAAGGGATGGACTCCAGAGACCAACAGTCTGGGTTCAAACCTTGGCTGTGTGATCTTGGGCAAATCAGTCCATTTATCACTGTCTCAGTTTCCTTATTTAAGAAATAGAGACCCTAATAGTACCTACCTTTTAGGGTTGCCAGGAGAACAGTGCCTGGCACATAGTAAGAACTTACTACATGTTGGTTGTTTTTATGATTATTGTTATATAATTAGAAGAGTGACCAGGCTGGCAGCAGAGGGTCCTCATTCCCAGGAGAGTGGCAAGAGGGAGAGAGGTAAAGTGTCAGAGGGCTGCAGAGCCTACGCCTGGCAGAGCCCCAGGCAGCAGGTTTGCCACCTGGGGGGCCTTGGTGGGGCCCAGGTAGCTTTCCTGGATCTCAGGTCTTCACTCTTCAGACAGTGCTCTGAGCCTCCCATCCACAGTCCAGAGCCCATTCTCTGCCTGCCTCCTTCTCCACTATTGTCCCTACCTACAGTCTCTCTGAGCAGCTGGTTCAGGTGCTGCTATTCTCCTACCAAGGGTGAGGGCCAGCCCTGAACAACAGGGCTCTGGTTTCCCAAATCACCTCTCCTGCTGCCCTGGCTTCTCAACACCATCACCTGTCTAAAAGCTTTTCTTGGTGTGGACTGGAAGAATTTGGATAAAGTCTACCATCCCCACTCTTCCTTAATCCTGTTACCACAGTTTATTTGCTCCCAGCTCTGTCCAGCTACCTAACCTCAAGGAAGCCAACAGGTAATAGAAAAGTTGGCATAAAAATGAGAATGTAGGCCGGACGTGGTGGCTCACACCTGTAATCCCAGCACTTTGGGAGGCCAAGGCAGGCAAATTGCTTGAGACCAGGAGTTTGAGACCAGCCTGGGCAACATAGTAAGATCCTATCACTACAAAAAATACAAAAATTAGTTGGGCATGAAGGTATGCACCTATGGTCTCAGCTACTTGGGAGGCTGAGGTGGGAGGATCATTTGAGCTTGGGAGGTCAAAGCTGCAGTGAGCCGAGATTGTGCCACACCAACCTGGCAACAGAGGAGACTTTGTCTCAAAAAAAAAAAAAAAAAAAAAAGAGAGAGAGACAGAGAATGTAGGGAGATTGTCTGTGTCTTCCCACCATCCCCCTCCAGTAGGGATACCCCTTGCTTTCTTTGCCCTGCTTATTCTTCCCTTTGCCACCAGACTGAAGACTGATCAGAGACCAGTCATTCTCGTGGACTGAATTCCTGAGCCAGGCAGAAGACCTCCTATCTGGTGTCATCATTTTTTCTTCCCATCTCCCTCCAAACCTTTAGGCTCCCACCCAGCCTGGGCTCAGAATCCCATCTTTTCTGAGTCCTCTCCTTACTGTGCTCCCCTTTTTGATCCAGGTCTCATTCTCCTTCCCTCTCTCCTTCCTTGCCAGGGATGGGAGGTGCCCCTGGAGCCTCTGCCCAAGGATATACGCTATTTGACTCGCTTTGGAACCCTGATGTTCAGAGCTGGCCCTTAACATTGGGAGGAGAAAGAGAAAACAGCACTTGGAGGGGAGCTTAGAAAGTCTCAGATGGGATAGGACTGGAGTGCAGTGCCTCAATCTCGGCTCACTGCAAGCTCCGCCTCTCAGGTTCACGCCATTCTCCCGCCTCAGCCTCCCGAGTAGCTGGGACTACAGGGGCCCACCACCACGCCCAGCTAATTTTTTGTATTTGTAGTAGAGACGGGGTTTCACCGTGTTAGCCAGGATGGTCTCAATCTCCTGACCTGGTGATCTGCCCGCCTCAGCCTCCCAAAGTGCTGGGATTACAGGCGTGAGCAGCCACCATGCCCGGCCGTCTGCACCAATTCTTTTTTTTTTTTTTTTGAGACGGAGTCTCGCTCTGTCGCCCAGGCTGGAGTGCAGTGGCCGGATCTCAGCTCACTGCAAGCTCCGCCTCCCGGGTTCACGCCATTCTCCTGCCTCAGCCTCCCGAGTAGCTGGGACTACAGGCGCCCGCCACCTCGCCCGGCTAGGTTTTTGTATTTTTTTAGTAGAGACGGGGTTTCACCGTGTTCGCCAGGATGGTCTCGATCTCCTGACCTCGTGATCTGCCTGTCTCGGCCTCCCAAAGTGCTGGGATTACAGGCTTGAGCCACCGCGCCCGGCCCCAATTCTTAAGAATACCAGAGAAGAGGAAACCTTCAGAATTTGGAAGGATGTTGTAAACATGATATTGGTCGGAGGCATTCACAGAGGATGCTAACCATGGAAAAGAGTCCACATGCATATGCCCAATCGTTCAAACCCTTAATGTTTCTCACATGAGTTTTCTTTTATGTTTTATTTGAACGTCACATTCTGTTCTGCATATACATGCTTGTCCTGGAATTGCTTGGGTGCCATGGTCATCTACACCGTAAACATTTTGTGGTGATTCTGTATAGAGACAGTATCATCTTAGACGTGCATTTGGCTCTGATGGACTCAGTGTTCAGTTTAACCAGGCATAATGAAATGCTAACTCATGCTGATTATACAAAAAAAAAAAAAAGCCAAATTCTTTACCTCTTGAAATATAACTATCAAGTAGACTGAGTACACGCATTGCTCTGGTAGGAAAATCAATTTCGGAAACTTGATTAACAATCCCAGAGTGTCAGGATTGTGAGGGATCTCAGGGGTCATAGAGGAATTCACTCTCTCATCAAATGGATGAGGAGACCAAGTTAACAAGTAAATCCTTTTTCCAGGAACCTGGAATTCACATGAGAATAAAGGATTCCTTTTACAATAGGGCACTGCTCCCTAGTATATGTTTCTCAAGCTGACATTTCTGTATGTTGAGCTTCTATCAAGTTGGACGCCTCACTAAGAAGTGCTTGGCTGCCTTCCACCCCATCCCCCCACCAGGTGTCGGTGTCAGAGGTCAAAGCAGTGGCTGAAATGCAGTTTGGGGAACTCCTTGCTGCTGTGAGGAAGGCCCAGGCCAATGTGATGCTCTTCTTAGAGGAGAAGGAGCAAGCCGCACTGAGCCAGGCTAACGGCATCAAGGCCCACCTGGAGTACAGGAGTGCCGAGATGGAGAAGAACAAGCAGGAGCTGGAGAGGATGGCGGCCATCAGCAACACTGTCCAGTTCCTGGAGGTATGGGGGGTGAGGGAGTGGAGGCATCCCACAGATGCCTCACGAAGCGCCCTCTCTTTGCTAGGCCCATGGCCATCTGTGAATGGAACTGTTTTTTGTTCAATGCTGTGCACATGGAGCTGTGGGAACAGGGAGAAGCAGATTCTTCATTCAGCAGAGTATAGGAGGGGTAGGGAGGGAGGACTGCTCAGAGCAGGGAAGCTTGAAGCAGGTCCTGGAAGATGAGTCAGGTTCAATGTGCAGTATGTTCCAGGTAGAGGGAACAACATAGGCAAAGGCAGCGAGGTTTGAGGAAGCACAGCTGACTTGGGGAACCAAGGTACTTTAACAAGGGTGGAGCCTGGGGTGCTGGGTGCAGAGTGATGAGGCTGGCACGGCCAGGCAGGTGTCTGGCTGGGAAGGGCTTCAGATGGGAGAGGATGAGACTCAGTGAGTATGTTTTATAAACCGCTCCAGCAGTCCACTGCATGGAGGTTTGCTGGGTAGGGATGAGACTGGAGCCCTGCTGCTTTTCAGAGAGGGCTGTGGCTGGAGTAATTGAGGAAGGCTCAGAAGAGGAAATGCTTTTCATTACAGTATATCATTAGACATTAAACTGTAAGCCATTGGAACCAGGAAATACTTTTCATTACAGTGTATCATTAGAAATTAAAATGTAAGCCATTGGAACCAGATCTGAAGAACATGTAACCTTTCAGGGAAGGAACACTAGGTTGGGGGTAAACTACAACATCCTGAATCGGTCACTAAACAGGTCTGTAACAGCTCTTAACATCCCTGGGTCTCAAATTTCTCATTTATCAACAAGCCCACTGGAGTATATAATTCAGAAGCCTCCATCCAAGCTCTGATATTCTGAAATACAATTTTTTTATTGCTTCCATTTGTGAAAAAATTCTCTGCTAGTTACAAAAACAAATGTTTATTGTGAAAAACTTGGAAAATACAAAAAAAGAAGAAAAAATTATCCATAATCCCAATACACAAATATAACATAATTAACTTTTGAATGAGTAAAAGAGAAGCAGAGAAAGACAGACAAAAACACCAACAGAGTTTCTCTCTTTCTGTCAGTTTCTTTGCTTTTCAATATCAAAACACAAAGAAAATATGAACAATCATTTAATAACCATTTGGCTTCCCACCTCACAAGTTTCCCTTAAGATCTACCCAAAGAGTATACAAATTATTTCTCTTTTTTCCTTTTGTAACTTTATTTATTTATTTATGTTTTGTTTTTTGAGATGGAGTCTTGCTCTGTCACTGAGGCTGGAGTGCAGTGATGCGATCTTGGCTCACTGCAACCTCCTCCTCCCGGATACAAGCAATTCTCTGTCTCAGCCTCCCCAGTAGCTGGGATTACAGGCGCCTGCCACCACGCCTGGCTAAGTTTTTTTTTTTATTTTTAGTTGAGACGGGATTTTACCATCTTGGCCAGGCTGGTCTCAAACTCCTGACCTTGTGATCCACCTGCCTCGGCCTCCCAAAGTGCTGGGATTGCAGGCGTGAGCCACCGTGCCCAGCCTGTAACTTTATTTTTAACATAAAAGACCATACATATAACATAAATTTTAGTATAAGATAACTTACTTATTGGCCAGGCACGGTGGCTCACGCCTATAATCCCAGCACTTTGGGAGGCCATGGCTGGCAGATCATGAGGTCAGGAGTTTGAGACCAGCCTGACCAACATGGTGAAACTCTGTCTCTACTAAAAATAAAAAAAATTAGCCAGGCACGGTGGCACGCACCTGTAGTCCCAGCCACTCGAGAGGCTGAGGCAGGAGAATCGCTTGAACCCGAGAGGCAGAGGTTGCAGTGAGCTGAGATTGCGCCATTGCACTCCAGCCTAGGTGACAAAGCAAGACTATGTCTCAAAAAAAAAAAAAAAGATAACATTTATTTTGGCAAAAGATAACATTTCCCCCAAAATTGTTGGTTAGGCATTCAAAACAACATTTATTAAATAACTTATCCTTCTCCCCCTGATTTAAAATGCTACTTTTGTCATGTACAGTATATAGCATTAAAATGTTGAATTACCCTTTTCAATTTTCTGGTTTTGATTTCCATGGCTCTATCTAATCATTTTCATATAACTGTTTTCATTACTATGTTTTCTGCTATACCTGGTCTGCTCTTTAATGCTTCAGTTGTAGCTGAAGTTTGATACTATGTTATATCTGAAAGCATCTTTCCTGATCACACGTTGTTTTGAAACTTACATGAAACTATGTGATTATCTGTGTGAAGACACTTTCCAAATACTAAAGCAAGGTACAAGAATTACAGGAATTTATGCATTGGATGAAATTGACAAGGAAGAGGCAGCACTCCTGCCTGAGAGCTCCTCCATTTTCTACCATGGCTTGTGTTTGAATTGTCAAAAAACAAGTATTGACGGAATTAACAAAGCAAGAATGTCTTTATTTTTTGGTCCCCAGTCTGGACTATGTATTGGAGCTCTTCATGGCCATCTAGTACATCTTGATTTTTAAAAGCCCACTTTCTCACTTAGTTTTTTAAAATCCCACTTATTCTGAGGGTCTAGCAGCTAGAAAAGTGCTTTCTATTTTGTTAGACCCCGAGCTTGACACTTTACATGTACTTTCTTTGTCAAGGACACGTTACTGTCAGCCCATTTGACAGATGCAAAAAGTGACTTAATGAGGAGAGAAGCCTAAGTTTAGAAATACAGAAACCACAGCAAGTTCTGCTGTTTCCTTTTCCGCAGGAGTACTGCAAGTTTAAGAACACTGAAGACATCACTTTCCCTAGTGTTTACATAGGGCTGAAGGATAAACTCTCCGGCATCCGCAAAGTTATCACGGACTCCACTGTACACTTAATCCAGTTGCTGGAGAGCTATAAGGAAAAGCTCCAGGAGTTTGCCAAGGAAGGTGAGATGCATTCTGGGCCATGGACTATAGTGGGTGTGTCTCTAGCAGTAGATGATGGGAAGGTGAGAGAGAGTCAGGGAAGGGAGGATGAAATCAGGGGAATGTCTCATTTTGTTTTCTTTTCTTGTGTGTGTGTGTGTGTGGTGTGTGAGACAGTGTGTTGCTCTGTCACCCAGGCTGGAGTACAATGGCGTGATCTTGGCTTACCGCAACCTCCACCTCCTGGGTTCAAGGGATTCTTCTGCCTCAGCCTCCCTAGTAGCTGGGATTACAGGCACCTGGCTAATTTTTGTATTTTTAGTAGAGACGGGGTTCCAACATGTTAGTCAGGCTGGTCTCGAACTCCTGACCTCAAATGATCCGCCCGCCGTGGCCTCCCAAAGTGCTGAGATTACAGGTGTAAGCCACTGCGCCCAGCCAAATGTCTCATTTTCAAAGCCTTCCTTCAGACAGTGTGTGTTACTAATGGACTCTCATCTTGATGATTTTCTTTTACAGTTGAGACCCAGAGAAGGAGAATTAGTCATGCTTATATTATGCCATCAGCTGGCATTTCTATGACTAGCTTCCCAGGTTGCTGATGCCTATACTTTTAAGTTAAGTCCAAGACAGTCTGGATCACTTTTTCAGTGGTTTATGCCTTACCTATGAAAGAAATGTAGTCTATTGAGCATATTTCTGTGAAACATTTCTAGGCTTCAGTCCTTCTTTCCCCAGGAAGTCCAGGGAAGGGTGGCTGGGAAGTCCTGATTTGCAGATTCTCCTGACCACCTGGACAGGTGTGCATTCACAACTCTCTGATTTTCTAGAGGAGTATGACATCAGAACTCAAGTGTCTGCCGTTGTTCAGCGTAAATATTGGACTTCCAAACCTGAGCCCAGCACCAGGGAACAGTTCCTCCAATGTAAGTTGTGAACAGCACCCCCTTCTCCATTGTTGATATCAGTGCAATGCTTTGCTAAGTAAGAACCGTCATCTCTCATCTAGGTTTCAGGTTCTTACAACTTCATGTCTATCCCTAAATCATATACTTCTTAAAATTTAATTTAAACAATTTTTTTAACTTTTCATTTTGAAATAATATGAAACTTACAAAAATATTACAGAAATAGGACAAAGAATTCCCATATATCTTTCACTCAGTTTCTCCTAATGGTAACATGTTACATAACTACAATACATTGATCAAAACCAGGGAATTAACATTGCTACAATGCTATCAACTAATCTACAGAATTTATTCAGCTCTCACCAACTCTTTCATCAATGCCCTTTTTTCTGGCCCAAAGTCCAATCCAAGGTCACAGATGTTTCCATGTCTTCTTAGTCCCCTTCAATCTGGATCAGTCTTTCAATCCTTGTGTTTCATGACCATAGCACTTTGAAGAGTCCTGGCTAGTTACCTGGTGGTTCATTTCCATGTATGACTTGGCCAGAATTGCATAACTCATTGACCTGTCATTAAGTGGTATTGACTTGGTCCATTAGCATTTTTAAAACACTGCACAGTTGACCCTCGAACAAGATGGGAGTTGGGATCCCAATCCCTCATATTGTTGAACATTCACCTGTAGCTTTTGATTCCTCAAGAACTTAACTAGTAATAGCCTTCTGTTAATTGACATAAACAGTCAAGACATATTTTGCACGTTTACATATATATATGTAGACATATATATGTATGTATGTATGTGTATTTTTTGAGAAAGGGTCCCACTCTATTGCTCAGGCTGAGGTGCAGTGGCTTGATCATGGCTCACTGCAGTCTTGACCTCCCACATTCAAGCAATCCTCCTCCCTCAGTCTCCTGAGTAGCCATAGGCACATGCCACCACATCTGGCTAATTTAAAGAAAAATTTTTTTAACAATTGTAGAGATGGAGCCTTGCTGTGTTGCCCAGGCTGGTCTCAAACTGTTGGCCTCAAGTGATTCTCCCATCTCAGCTTCCCGAAGTGTTGGCATAAGCCTCTGCACCCAGTGAGAACTTTTTAAGTTATGGAATTTTAAAAATAGCCTTTAATATGCTAATTCATTTGGCAAGCGTATACTGAGCATCTTCTCTGAGCTAGAGAAGAATCCCATGCAAAATGCGAAGCTCATAGATTAGAGGGAGGACAAGCGGGAAACAAATACTCACATGAATATATTATTACAAATGGGGAGGGGTGCCAAGTTTAAAAAGCCATGGTGCTCTGAGAGAGAGTGATTTAGAGTCACAAAGGGCCTCTTCAAGGACATGAACTTTCGGTTGTAGCCTGAATGGAGCAGTAGGAATCACCAGACTCAAGGTAGGATGTGATCACATCTTGGAGGGAACAGGTTGTACCAAAGGCTCAAAGAGGATTGAGTGCTGAGTAGGTCTGAGATCAGCATGGTGGGAATGTAGCAATCAAGGGAGAGAGTCAGAGACACAGGAAAGGACCAGGGATGCGGGGCCTGGTAGGCCAGGGCGAGGGGTTCCTGCTTTATTGTAAGAGCAAGGGGCACCATGAAAGGGTTTTAAGCTGGAACAACATGACTGGCCTCAGCCTACCAGCTCTATTGTGGAGAAGCTCTTGAAGTGGGCAAGAGAGATCAGCGAATGACCAGTCAGGAACCCATGCACGAGTCCAAGTGAGATGAGTGTTGGCTTAGGTTGGGGGTAAAGCACGGGGCTGGAGAGAAGTGGTAGAATCCATAGGAGTTGCTGCTGCCTGTGTGTGTGGTGAGGATGGGGAATGAGGGTGAGGGCAAAACAAATGTCAAAAATGACATAGAGCTTGACTTAAGCAATGGGGTGCATGAGACCCTGTTATGCTTTGGGAGTGGGAGGAGAACAGGAGGGCATGTTTGAGAGTTCTTCATGCTCCATTTGATCCATTCATTCATTTTTAAGATGTTTTTCAAATATTTTGAAAAATGAATGAATGGATCAAATGTGGGTATAGGAGTACCTGCTTCCCCAAACACTTGGCAACACTGGGTAGGATAATGCCAGGCGTTCAATACATGTTTGTTGAATGAATGAATGAATGAGTAAATTAATATATTTCTTCATTCAGTTCATCAAATAATATCATCAATGTCAAGCAATTTGAGCTTCATAAGGGAAGGGAGTAGATGATTTGTGCTCTCTGTTTTCTGTTCTTCACTCACCTCTTTGCCTAGGGAAACAGCAGCCTGGGTAAATAGAGAACAGAGAAATGGATGTTTTCTCATATGTGCTTTGGAGCCCAGCTGGGTTTAAACTGTTCGTCTGAATCAGCTGTCAGTTCCTGAACCACTCTCCTGCCTTCTGTGTCTCCTCAGATGCTCATGACATCACGTTCGACCCGGACACAGCACACAGGTATCTCCGGCTACAGGAGGACAACCGCAAGGTCACCAACACCACGCCCTGGGAGCACTCCTACCCGGACCTCCCCAGCAGGTTCCTGCACTGGCGGCAAGTGCTGTCCCAGCAGAGTCTGTACCTGCATAGGTACTATTTTGAGGTGGAGATCTTCGGGGCAGGCACCTACGTTGGTCTGACCTGCAAAGGCATCGACCGGAAAGGGGAAGAGCGCAACAGTTGCATTTCCGGAAACAACTTCTCCTGGAGCCTCCAATGGAATGGGAAGGAGTTCACAGCCTGGCACAGTGACATGGAGACCCCGCTTAAAGCCGGCCCTTTCCGGAGGCTCGGGGTCTATGTCGACTTCCCAGGAGGGATCCTTTCCTTCTATGGCGTAGAGCATGATGCCATGACTCTGGTTCACAAGTTTGCCTGCAAGTTTTCAGAGCCAGTCTATGCTGCCTTCTGGCTTTCCAAGAAGGAAAACGCCATCCGAATTGTAGATCTGGGAGAGGAACCCAAGAAGCCAGCACCATCCTTGGTGGAGACTATTCCCTAGACTCCAGGAGCCATATCCCAGACCTTTGCCAGCCACAGTGATGGAATTTGCATTTTAGGGTGATTTGGGGGCAGAAATAACTGCTGATGGTAGCTGGCTTTTGAAATCCTATGGGTCTCTGAATGAGAACATTCTCCAGCTGCTCTCTTTTGCTCCGTATGGTGCTGTTCTCTATACGTTTGTAGTAATTCTTTTTTTTTTTTTTTTTTTTTTTTGAGATGGAGTCTCGCACTGTCGCCCGGGCTGGAGTGCAGTGGTGCGATCTTGGCTCACTGTAATCTCCGCCTCCCGGGTTGAAGCAATTCTCCTGCCTCAGCCTCCCGAGTAGCTAGGATTATAGGCGCCCGCCACCACGCCCAGCTAATTTTTTGTATTTTTAGTAGAGACGGAGTTTGACCATGTTGGCCAGGCAGGTCTCAAACTCCTGACCTCGTGATTCACCTGCCTCAGCCTCCCAAAGTGCTGGGATTACAGGCGTGAGCCACCGCGCCCGGCCTGTTTGTAGTAATTTTTAGGCACCAAATCTCCCTCATTTTCTAGTGCCATTCTCCTGTCTGTTCGGATAAACGTCACACTGTGCCTCGAATGGATGGCCAGGAACCTTCAGAGTGGCTGAAAAGAATGCAGAGTTATCATGATAAATTGCTAACTTGTGTATTTCCTATGTGCTAGATACTGTCCTTGTGCTTTCTGCACGTTAACTCAGTCCTCACAGAACACCCGTTGGGTAGATGCTCATATCATCCTTTTTTTGCAGATGGAGAAACTGTCCGGGGCAGTTAGCTAATTTGTTCAAGGTCACTCTGGTCACATGGTGACTGAGTGACAGAGCTGGGATTCAAGTCTGGCTAGAATGACACTGGACTTTTAACCACCACATCATATTGTCTTCCTTATTACATCATGCACATTGTATGGAATAAAGTGCATAGCAGAGAAACTTCTTGAAGTTTGCAAATCCACACACATCTGACTCAGCCATCCCGCCATGCACTGGCTCACTGGCTCACTGGCTCACTGCCTCACACAGCAGCCCTTTCTATTTGGGGACAGCAAGGATTAGAAGAAATGTCTTAGCAGAGTCTTGAGTTTTAGTCCCTGTCACCTCTGAAAAGGGGTCCTACTCCTCTCCTCTAAAGTAACCTGGCGTATGTGGACTTGTGTGATTTCTCATTCAAAGAATGAGGTGCTTCAAGAACTGTCACGTAACCCCCACGCCCCAGATGTTCTTGTTTGCATATTAAATTTTCCACCTTCCTTTATGGTTCTCACTCCTTTCTCCCGATTATTTCATTCTTCTTTTGGCAGATGAGCTTCCTAAGATTAATCCCAAGCATTCATCAAGCCTTTAGGCAAATGGCAAACTGTCTTTAAATGAATTTGTGAGGCTATAACCTGAAGTCTCTGGTGGGATTCACCAGAAATATAAATTTTGAGTCTGTTCCTGTGACCTTTGTCAAGGCTACAGGAACTCTTTTTCTTCAGTCAGTCTGATTGGCCTGTCTCAAGAGTATATTACTTTAGCATAACTTGACTTGTTACCTATATTTATATCTAGGGATGTATACAGTGTAGGATTTAAAATGATTTTACTTTAATTTCATCACATCATTGCTTTATGCTGAGATTCATGATTCCTCATCCAGTATATTTGCTCTCCTTCCTAGCTTAGTGTCACCTGCACAATTGGTAACCCTTTCTTCTTAAGTCTTATCCTTGTTGCTAAATATCTTGATGAGATTAGGACCAAATCTAGAATCTTGTGGCACTCAGTCACTAGCTTCTAGGTTTAGTTACATACAAATTATGCACGGGTGGAACTGTGCAATAATGTGGCCCCACCTTTTTCACCTTTATCCACTGAACTTGATGAAAGACGTTTTCAGTGGGAGGAATCAGCATATGCTATGTTTAGGCCACGTGTGGGGGCTCACGCCTGTAATCCCAGCACTTTGGGAGGCCGAGGCAGGAGGATCACCTGAGCTCAGAAGTTCGACACCAGTCTGGCCAACATGGTGAAACCCTGACTCTACTAAAAATACAAAAATTAGCCGGCCATGGTGGCACGCGCCTGTGATCCCAGCTACTCAGAAGGCTGAGGCAGGAGAATTGCTTGAACCCAGGAGGTGGAGGTTGAAGTGAGCTGAGATTGTGCCACCGCACTCCAGCCTGGACGACAGAGCAAGACTCCATCTCAAAAACAAAACAAAACAAAAAAAGATATGCTATGTCTGAATTTCTTTGATCCATCTGTCTAATAATGATCTCAAGAGAAATTGAGATCAGCTTGGACTGCCTTATTTTATTGAATCCCTGCGGGTTGTTGGTGCTTGGTCATGGTCATTTTCTTTTCTAAATATTCACAGAATATTTGATAAACCACTTTAGATTTCTACTGTGGGTTAATATCACGCTTACTAGCCTGTTGTTTTCAGAATCTATCTTGTTTTTCTTTTTTAAAAAATTGAGATGCCTGTCCGCATTTGATATAATTTGGATATTTGTCCCCTCCAAATCTTATGTAGAAATTTGATCTCCCATGTTGGAGGTGGAGCTGGGTGGGAGGTGTTTAGATAATGGGTTGGATCCCTCATGAATGGCCATGACGACACCATGCTTCTTGTACAGCCTGCATAACCATAAGACAAATCAATTTATTTTCTTTAAAAATTACCCAGCCTCAGGCCGGGCGCGGTGGCTCAAGCCTGTAATCCCAGCACTTTGGGAGGCCGAGACGGGTGGATCACGAGGTCAGGAGATCGAGACCATCCTGGGTAACACAGTGAAACCCCGTCTCTACTAAAAATACAAAAACTTAGCCGGGCGAGGTGGCAGGCGCCTGTAGTCCCAGCTACTCGGGAGGCTGAGGCAGGAGAATGGCGTGAACCTGGGAGGCGGAGCTTGCAGTGAGCTGAGATCCGGCCACTGCACTCCAGCCTGGGTGACAGAGCGAGACTCCGTCTCAAAAAAAAAAAAAAAAAAAAAAAAAAAAAAAAAATTACCCAGCCTCAGGTATTCCGTTATAGCAACACAATGGGACTAAGACACCATCCTCTATCATTCTCCCTAGTTTCTCAAAGATTCCCACCTGATTTGCAGTCACGTCATTAAGTTGTGTCAGATTCCTGAAATGTAATTTATTTAGGCCAGAATACTTGAGCTCATATAAAAGGAACCGTTTAGGTGTCTCCTTACTTGTCTTGAACTTCATTTTCCTGTTAACTTTTTGTCAATTAGTTTTCAAGTTCAAGACCTTTCTTCTTGATACAAAAGAGCAAAGCAAAATTAAGAGTTGAGCATATTTGGCCAGGCGCAGTGGCTCACACCTGTAATCCCAGCACTTTGGGAGGCTGAGGCAGGCAGATCACGAGGTCAGGAGATCAAGACCATGGTGAAACCTCGTCTCTACTAAAAATACAAAAAACTAGCCGGGCGTGGTGGCGGGCTTCTGTAGTCCCAGCTGCTCTGAAGGCTAAGGCAGGAGAATGGTGTGAGCCCGGGAGGCAGAGCTTGCAGTGAGCCAAGATTGTGCCACTGCACTCCAGCCTCGGCGACAGAGCGAGACTTTGTCAAAAAAAAAAAAAAAAGAGTTGGGCATATTTGGGCCAGGCACGGTGGCTCATGCGTGTAATCGCAGCAGTTTGGGAGGCCGAGGAGGGCAGGTGATGAAACTCCGTCTCTACTAAAAATACAAAAAAATTAGCTGGGTGTGGTGGCGCGCACCTGTAATCCCAGCTGCTCAGGAGGCTGAGGCAGGAGAATCGCATGAACCCGGAGGCAGAGGTTGCAGTGAGCCCAGACTGTGCCACTGTCGCCTGGGCGACAGAGCGAGATTCCATCTCAAAAAAAAAAAAAAAAAAAAGAGTTGGGCATGTTTGCCTTCTGTCATCGCCTCAAGCAGTGGGCACATCTTTTTTCTTTTTCTTGGTCTAAAAACTGAAAATTGACTAAAACAAATAAAAAAGGAAAAATAGAACAAGGGCTTATTTTATATTCTCTGGCATTTTCCTTAGCTGTGTGTATGCCACTCTTTTGTATTTACCCATTCGTATCTCTTCTTCCATTATGTAGACTTACTAAAAACAAAACAAAACGAACAAAAAAAGAAACCACACTGAACATCTGAATTCACCAACAGCTCACTTTGGTGCCACATGGTTCTGCTCCATTACCAGACCATTTGTAATTGCAGAGTCAGAATGTAATTTTAACCACCACGTCCATAATTTATTCTTGTCTCAACATTTTACAATCTGAGTGTATATAGCATTCATTTCTGAGTATCTTATGAATTATGGGTAAATTCTCACTTTCTCCCAAGATGCATGATGAAATGATGACATAATGGTATTGGCCCAATCACGGAGCTCTTATCCCCTCAATCTGTCTCAGCATGTTTTTGGAATGAAACCCCTAAATTAAGTAGATTCAATATACATGGCATTTATTATTATTATTATTTTCTCTGAGACAGAGTCTCGCTCTGTCACCCAGGCTGGAGTGCAGTGGCGTGATCTCGGCTCACTGCAAGCTCCGCCTCCCAGGTTCACACCATTTTCCTGCCTCAGCCTCCCAAGTAGCTGGGACTACAGGCTCCGGCCACCACGCCCGGCTAATTTTTGCATTTTTAGTAGAGACGGGCTTTCACCGTGTTAGCCAGGATGGCCTCGATCTCCTGACCTTATGATCCACCCGTCTCGGCCTCCCAAAGTGCTGGGATTACAGGCATGATTACAGGCATCCACCGTGCCCGGCCTATACGTGGCATTTATAATGTGCAAACTGCTGTGCTAGACGCTGAGGAAGACTAACCCAGAAACTAACCAGCTGCATCATTTGATCACAAGAAGGGGATTTAAATTGAAGTAAAAGTGATCATATGTGAAGAGCTAAATAGGAATCTGCTCTTCAAGGCAATAATGGACAAGGTGATGTATGAAACAGGTTTCTCACTCTATGTCCTAGGGTGCTGCTTCGTTTTCACAGGCCATCTTTAGGGACTGGCTTCTGTCTTGTGTCCTTGAGTGACCTACTGCCTGGTTGCTCCCCATCTCTGCAGGCGCTGCCTCCATTCCAGGAGCCACCACTCCAGCCCCAGATGAAAGATGGAAGGAAATGTAGTGCATGTATTTCTTGCTTCTCCTGGCTTCCTCAGATTTCAGCACCGACTCCTTCCCTTTCCACCTGTGATTAGACATCTTGGTGGCTGGGGAGGAGGCCTTTGCAGGGCAACCTGCTGTTCATATGCCCCCAATATGTCCATGCAGGGCACAGACTGTGCATGGCTCAGGTAGAGTGTTCGCCATCCTTGCTTTGCTGGAATGTGCCTAGTTTTTAATTTCTATTTCTGGCTTGCTGTGTAGTCTTTTTTTTTTTTTTTTTTTTTAGACAGAGTCTCCTTCTGTCCCAGGCTAGAGGGCAGTGGTGCAATCTCGGCTCACTGCAACCTCCGCCTCCCAGGGTTCAAGCGATTCTCCTGCCTCAGCCTTCCGAGTAGCTAGGATTACAGGCATGCACTATCGTGCCCGGCTAATTTTTGTATTTGTAGTAGAGACAGGGTTTCACCATGTTGGCCAGGCTGGTCTCAAACTCGTGACCTCAGGTGATCCGCCTGTCTCGGCTTCCCAAAGTGCTGGGATTACAGATGTGAGCCACTGTGCCCGGCCTGCTCTGTAGTCTTGTTGGGAAAATCCCACTGTCTCCTATAAGGAGGGAGTCCAAGTACTGGAAAAGAAGAGGGAGAACAGATCAGTTCACAAGGACCAAGGGTCAATATAGCAGTGGTCAGTCATTTTAGGTGAAAATCCCTTCCCCCACATTAATAACTTCAGTAGTGACCCTGATGATTACCTGAAAGGAGGTGTGTTTGTATGTGCATGCGCTGGTTTCTTATGAACAAAAGATTTTCAAATTTTCTTTTTCTTTCTTTTTTTTTTGCTTTTATTTTTTTGAGAGAGTCTCACTCTGTCACCCAGGCTGGAGTGCAGTGGCACTATCTTGGCTCACTGCAAGCTCCTCCTCCCAAGTTCATACCATTCTCCTATCTCAGCCTCCCGAGTAGCTGGGACTACAGGCACCCACCACCACGCCCAGCCAATTTTTTGTATTTTTCGTAGAGATGGGGTTTCACTGTGTTAGCCAGCATAGTCTCCATCTCCTGACCTGGTGATCCACCCGCCTCGGCTTCCCAAAGTGCTAGGATTACAAGCGTGAGCCACCGCGCCCAGCCGAGCTTTTTAAAATTCAACTTCCAACAAGTGTAATAACCACATGATGGGAAGGGAACAGATGAAACACCACACTCCCTAATGATACTAATAATACTTGTTAGCTCCTCACATGGGGTAAAAGTCTACTCATTTGACCTTGAGAGCCACCTATGAGCTACGTGGGACTGTGGTCTCTATTCGGTGGAAGAGGAGCAGGCTGAGACTAGCAAGTGAATTATCCAGGGGTATGAAGCTGCTCCGTGGCAGAGCCCAGTTCATTCCTCGCCCTCCTACTGTGAAACCTGTGTGCTTTCCTGAGTCCCTGCTTGCTGGCCAGGCCAGGTGGCAGTGGGGGAAGGCAGAGGGGCTGGGCTGGAGCCAGCAGAGGCTCAGGTCCTCTAGTGCAGTGTCAGGGGTGACATCAGAGCCGGATGGGTGTGACACATTTGTCCTCTATCCAGCCCAGCAGCGGCTGCACCTTCCAAGCTTCTCTGTACTATGTGGGAAGGCAGGAAAAGCAAGTGGAGATGTAGGGTTGTGCGCTGAAGCGGTTTCATCAGGATCACAAATAAAACAGGGCAGAAAGGAAAGGTAGGGGACTGGCATGAAGCCTCCAGGCTGCTCGTAGCCTGAATACTCGAGAGGTCTCAGATGTCCTTCTCATCCTGTAGCCTTCCTCAGAGAAGTGCTCTCCCCCACTGGACTCCTGTGAATCAGTCTGATGAGGCCTATTTGCCCACCTGCCTCTTTGAGTACCACTGGCACCATGTCCCTGCATTGGCCTATCCCATCTGGCCCATCTGTCCTGCCCTGTGCCAAGGCCCCATTTTTTTTTTTTTTCTTTTTTGCGACAGAGTCTCACTCTGTCGTCCAGGCTGGAGTACAGTGGCGCATCTCTGCTCACTGCAAGCTCTGCCTCCCGGGTTCATGCCATTCTCCTCCCTCAGCCTCCTGATTAGCTGGGACTACAGGCGCCTGCCACCATGCCCGGCTAATTTTTTGTATTTGTTTTTTTAGTACAGATGGGGTTTCACCAGGTTAGCCAGGATGGTCTCAATCTCCTGACCTCGTGATCCACCCGCCTTGGCCTCCCAAAGTGCTGGGATTACAGGCGTGAGCCACCACACCCAGCCTAAGGCCACATTTTTAACTGTAACATCAGATCCCAAATGGCTTCAACTTCCCCCCAAAGTCGGGTGTATGGACCAATCTCTAAAAGGTGCAGACCAGCAGGAGGCAGGGAGGAAGGGAGTGAGGTGCTGCCCTCTCGCACTCACTCACTCTGGAGCCCTCCTTGTCCCTCTATTCTCAGGAGGCGGCCCCTTGTCATCTTCTCAAAGAAGCTGTTTAGAAAAGGAGGTGCCGAGGGGGCAACAACAGACTATGGTCCACAGGTGTTTGAGGAGAACCGTGTGTGTGCAGTGTTGAGGGAGAGGGGATGGAAATGAACCTCGACTAATGTCTGAAACCTAGTCTCTCTCTCACTCCCAAGTTTGTGGCCCTGAAATATGAAATAAAGACTAAGTTGGGTGATTAAAACTGCTTCCTTGGCCGGGGCGGTGGCTCACGCCTGTAATCCCAGCACTTTGGGAGGCCGAGGCGGGCAGATCACTTGAGGTCAGGAGTTTAAGACCAGCCTGGCCAACATGGCAAAATGTCGTCTCTACTAAAAATATAAAAATTAGCTGGGCATGGTGGCATATGCCTGTAATCTCAGCTACTAGGGAGGCTGAGGCAAGAGAAACACTTTAACCCGGGAAGCAGAGGTTGCAGTGAGCCGAGATCACACCACTGTCCTCCAGCCTGGGGGTAGACCTAGACTCTGACTCCAAAAAAAAAAAAAAAAAAAGGCTTCCTTGAGGAATGTCAGCCTCATAGATTAAAATCCAAATTTATTTAAATCTTTAAAAACGGCCAGGCGCGGTGGCTCAAGCCTGTAATCCCAGCACTTTGGGAGGCTGAGATGGGCGGATCACGAGGTCAGGAAATTGAGACCATCCTGGCTAACCTGGTGAAACCCGGTCTCTACTAAAAAATGTAAAAAACTAGCGGGGCGAGGTGGCAGGCACCTGTAGTCCCAGCTACTCGGGAGGCTGAGGCAGGAGAATGGCATAAACCCAGGAGGCGGAGCTTGCAGTGAGCTGAGATCTGGCCACTGCACTCCAGCCTGGGGCGAGAGAGTGAGACACTCTGTCTCAAAAAAAAAAAAAAAAAAATTTTTTTTAAACAAGCTATTTATAATGTGTCAATTATAAATAAACAAGTTAATTAAGAAAAAAAAAAAGAGCTACTTTTAGCTTGCAGCACTTCTTAGGGTAATGTGCCCACCTTACAGATCCAAAGAGTCTGCTTCGGGCGTCCCTTCTCTTTGCCACCCTCCTTTGTCTGGCCTTCCCGATTAATTAAATATTAATCTACTCACATCTTTTCTCCAGATTCCTCTTCAGACAGAAGAGGTTGAGCTGTGAGAACTGATCTCATTCTTAACCTGATTCCTATTCCTCCCATTCTGACCCTAGTATGTGACTACCATCGCCAACCAAATCCCAGCGATGGATTCCATTACCTTTCTCTGGTTATGCCTGGTCTTCCAACATGGGCATTAGAAAGCAAACAATATTGCAAACCTTTTGGTTTTATCTAGGGTAATAATGCTTTAGTAACAGTAACAATAACAACAACAACTGATCTCGGATATTTAATGCAATCCTAGAAGGTAGTTATCATTTTTATTACCCGCCTTTATCTTCTCCATCCTCATAACTATGATGGAGACACTGAGGCTCAGAGAGGACAGGTTGCTTGCTAAGACCATATAGCTCCTAAGTACCAGAGTCAATGTTTGAACCTAGTCTTGCCTGAAATAGGAGAATTATCTCAGCATGACTTTGAAACTCTTTCTGTCAGTTGCCCAATATGTTTTGCCTGGGCACTTTGACAATGGTGAGATTTCTGGTTAGTATTCTGAAGCAGTTAAATAACTTAAATTTATATTAAACATTTCTGGTTTTACTTTGATGATGACTTAAGAAAATGAATATAAACATATTTAGTATCATTGGGATAGCCACCTTGTAACTGAACAGATATAAACATAAGAAGTTTGCATCTTATTTTATATTCATGAATATTCAGAAGCCATATATAACAGTAATTAAAGCACAATACCAGTAATAGTCCACATATTACTTAAATTTGGCTAACAGTATTCTTGTTGTCCTAGAAATGAGATGACCAGCTCTTTCAGAATATACAGCAACTGCCTCCACATAAAGCAGTACCAGGTTTAGGAGATTTACGGTAAAGCCATGTTTCCAAGGAGGTCTGTACAAAAAGCCAGACTTCTACCGGCAGTTTCTGAGAGAGAGACGCTTTCCATCCATGGCAGCCATTTACTTTTGCTCTGGGAGACGTCTGTAATTGAAAAGGCACAACTGGGGTATTTATTCATTTCTCCTGTTCCTCTAGTGTTCGGTGGTGTTGCCGCTGCAAGTGGGCAGGGCTAAAATGAGCTGGTTATCTCAGGATCATGGAAAACCTGGAATCAACGCTCAAGAATGCCCCCTATTTTCATTGTGAGAAGGGAACCGATTCCATCCCTCTATGCCAGAAGTGTGAGACGTGTGTCTTAGCCTGGAAGATCTTCTCTACCAAAGAGTGGTTCTGCAGGATCAGTGACATATCACAGAGGAGGTTTCTAGTTAGCATTCTGAAGCAGTTAAATAGCTTGTATTTGTTACACTATTTCCAGAATATCCTTCAGACCACACAGGGAAAGGATTTCATCTATAACAGGTCCCGGATCGACCTGAGCAAGAAAGAGCGGAAAGTTGTGAAGTCCTTCTTGAACCAAATGTTGGATAAAACAGTAGAACAGAAGATGAAGGAGATCTTGTACTGGTTTGGGAACAGCACCCACTGGACCAAGGCGAATTATACTCTCTTACTGCTGCAGATGTGCAACCCCAAATTACTGCTCACTGCTGCCAATGTGATCAGAGTCCTGTTTCTGAGAGAGCAGAACAATATCTCAGGTAAACAAGGCCACAGGCAAAGACCAGAGGGCCCCCAAAAACCGGAAGGCAAGACTTCAGAAATCTGTAGGGAACTGCAGTTGTAGACAACATAGGTAGACAGAGATTGCACAGAATGCAGCATAGGTTTTTTTGAACTGACACCTTGTCCTGACACCCGATCCTGTTTACCAAAGGAGAAATGACTGAATGTAACTTCCTTCTTGAAAATGATCAATGCAGGAGGAAGTACACAACTTTTAACTGACAAGCATTTATCATGGATTTCTGCATCTCATAGGCCCAGAAATGACTGGCCCCTGCCTCTGACCCCTTAATGCTGGTGCCATTCCTGCTTTAGGGATTGGACTGGGCTTGAGAGGGTTGTAAAGGGGAAGCTATTGTTTTGCTTTTCAGCTACGCTGCACAGAAACCAGACCAAGAAGTCAAAACTTATGGCTTTTTTTTTTTTTTCATTCACTCTACCATGCTCCTTGCTTATCCATGAAATCAAACCTTAAAGTAGAGTTTCTCCAAGGCTGGAGATAGCTTAAGGGCCAAATAAGTCTGGGGTGGTAGTTCTCCAGCTGTGGCTTGTATCAGGATCTCCAGCAGGACCTGTTAAAACAAGCTCCTCCCCCAGAAGTTTGGACTCAGCAGGTCTGAGGTGGGCCCAGGATTCTGTATTTCTTTTCTTTTCTTTTTTCCTTTTTTTTTTTTTTGAGATGAAATCTCGCTCTGTTACCCAGACTGGAGTGCAGTGGCGCAATCTTGGCTTACTGCAACTTCCACCTGCTGGGTTCAAGCAATTCTCCTCCCTCAGCCTCCCAAGCAGCTGGGACTACAGGTGCGTGCCACCATGCCTGGCTGATTTTTTGGTATTTTTTAGTAGAGATGGGGTTTCACCATGCTGGCCCTGCTGGTCTTGAACTCCTGACCTTGTGCTCCACCTTCCTCGGCCTCCCAAAGTGCTGGGATTACAGGCGTGAGCCACTGCACCCAATCAGGGATTCTGTATTTCTATCAAGTTTCCAGCTAGTGCTGATGTTGCTGGTCTGGGGATCTCTCTTTGAGAATCACAGGCCTAGGGTGTTAGAGAATCCTGGAAGTGTTTGGCCAGCTAGTTCAGGGAAGCAGAAGAAACAATAAGGGTGGTGTCTGTTTTGCTTTGCTATAAAGGAATGCCTGAGGCTGAGTAATTGATAAGGAAATTTATAAGCAATTTATAAGGAAATGAGTTTTATTTGGCTTGCAGTTCTGCAGACTGTACCAGAAGCATGGCACCAGCATCTCTTTCTGGTGAGGGCTTCAGGAAGCTTCCACTCATGGTGGAATGTAAGGGAAATCAACGTATAATGCGGCAAGAGAAGAAGCAAGAGAGGGGGAGGGGTGTCAGTTTATGTTAAACAGCCGGCTCTTTCTTGAACTATATTAATAGAGCAAGAACTCACTCATTACTGTGGGAAGGGCACCAAGCCATTCATGAGAGATCTGCCCCAAACCCAAAAACCTCCCATCAGGTCTCACTTCCAATATTGGGGGTCACATTTCAACATGAGATTTGGAGGGGACAAATATCCCAACTGTATCAGGAGGCAAGAGAATTGAGCTTTGGAGGGGTCCGGGAGTGGAAGGGTCCAGCGTGGGGAAGCTCAGATTTAAGCAGGGGTGGGAGAAAGCTGGGAGGGGGTGGTCACATGGAGGCGTTTTGGAATTTTAGCTCTTGAAGGTGTGTAATTCCTGTCACCAATGAGACCTGAGAGGTGGTCATATTTGTAGACTAGTGGAATCCAAAAGAATTTTAAAGCTGGATGGCCTAGGACGCAGTTAGATCACAAAATATGTCACTTGATTTATTTGGCATGTCAGGGGTATAAAAGAATGATAATATAGAATGAAGACACAGTGAATCCCAGGGTATCAAAAACAGTAAGTTAGATTGGAGATCAACCGACTGGTTGATCCTTAATAGTTACATAAGGAGACCAAAGTCCAGGTCATCTGAATGACTTCACTTAGGTCACCCACCATGTGGACTGAATACCAGGATCCCCTCCTGAGCCTCTTCCACTCTGCAGTGCTGCCAGCAGCAGAGGGCCTGGCTTGTATGCACAGATGCAATGCTCTGCGGTGCTCTTCCAAAAGTTTCATCACGCACCATAGAAATGGGCTATTTACATTGGAGTTGTGTAAGTCCTATTACAGGTTGTGGCAACCTTCTTTTTTGTTTTTGTTTGTTTGTTTTTTTGAGATGTAGTCTCACTCTGTCGCCCAGGCTGGCCTGATCTTGGCTCACTGCTGCAAGCTCCACCGCCCGGGTTCACGCCATTCTCCTGCCTCAGCCTCCCAAGTAGCTGGGACTACAGGCGCCCGCCACCATGCCCGGCTAATTTTTTTTGTATTTTTAGTAGAGACGGGGTTTCACCGTGTTAGCCAGGATGGTCTCGATCGCCTGACCTCGTGATCCGCCCACCTCAGCCTCCCAGCATGCTGGGATTACAAGCGTGAGCCACCGCGCCTGGCCAACAACCTTCTCTTTTCTTAGAGCAGATTCTCTCTTAAAAAATTAAATGTTCTGGCCGGGCATGGTGGCTTACCCTTGCAATCCCAGCACTTTGGGAGGCCAAGGTGGGCGGATCACCTGAGATCAGGAGTTCAAGACCAGCCTGGCCAACATGGCAAAACCCCATCTCTACTAAAAATGCAAAAAATAGCCAGTTGTCATGCGCTTGTAATCCCAGCTACTTGGGAGGCTGAGGCAGGAGAATCACTTGAACCCGGGAGGTGGAGGTTACAGTGATCCAAGACCATGCCATTGCACTCCACCCTGGGCAATAAGAGCAAAACTCCGTCTCAAAAAACAAAAACAAACCAAAAAAAAGATTAAATGTTCTAATTTGACTCGAGGGTGGTTATTTCTATCATGGAAGAAAATTCATCTTGAGCTTCCAAAGAACATTCCCTGTTGCAATTCCGGACCTCGACTCTCTCTCTCCTTGTGTAAACAGCTCAAGATAGTTTACATTGGAAGTACGCTGAAACACTAACAGGAAGCTTTCTGAGATTTTTGCATAGAAGTTTGCAGGCCCCAAATAAAAACAGACATAACTGCTCTGGTCCGTTCTGTACATCTTTAAAAGAAGGGAGAATCACGCCTGTAATCCTAGCACTTTGGGAGGCCAAGGCAGGCAGATCACGAGGTCAGGAGATTAAGACCATCCTGGCTAACACAGTGAAACTCCGTCTCTACTAAAAATACAAAAAATTAGCCAGGCGTGGTGGCGGGCGCCTGTAGTCCCAGCTACTCGGGAGGCTGAGGCAGGAGAATGGTGTAACCCAGGAGGTGGAGCTTGAAGTGAGCTGCATTCGTGCCACTGCACTCCTGCCTGGGCGACAGAGTGAGACTCCATCTCAAAAAAAAAAAAAAAAAAAGGAAGCAAGAAAAAATGAAAAAGTTTCTCTCCACCTCATTTTCCTCAACACACCTGCTTCAAGAGCAACCTTGTCTTGGTCTTTTGTTTTTCAGGGCTCAATCAAGACATCACAGATGTGTGTTTTTCCCCCGAGAAAGATGACAGCTCCAAGTCTGTGACCTCACAAGTCTATTGGACAGCCAAAACTCAGCACACATCCCTTCCTTTGTCCAAAGCCCCAGAAAATGAACACTTACTTGGGGCAGCTTCTAACCCTGGTAAGTCAACTTTCAACAAGAAAGCCAATATGAAACCAATGTGAGATTGGGAACTGGAGGGGCTGGCAGGGTGATGGCATCTGGGGATGGCAGATTTGAGGAACTCACATTCATTTAGCATCTACAATGTGCGGGGCTCTTTGACATTTACTTCCCCATCTAATTCTCACAGCTGGTAAGGGGAGGAGCAAGGATTGAAATTGATAAGTATGGCCCCCAAACCCATATTTTCACCTCTCCACTGCGGTGTCCACAAGACACATCTGAAAATAGAAATCAGAAAGGAGACTATCAATGGTTTCCTTTGGAGTCTTTCTCTGCTCCGGGCCACACTCCATCATCTAGTCCCTGGGCTCTGGCACGGTGGCCGGCTCTAGAATTAAACCCACCAATGGCTATTTTTGCAGTATTGGATTCGATCTTGAGGAGGGAATAAAATTAATGGGGAATTTGGTTCCCCACCTCAAGGCACTCCTAAGTTGGGTTTTGAAGCAAGACATATACATGAAATATCATAGGAAACACAATATCGTAGGAAATACAAGGCATAGATTCTAAAACACTTATATGGAGAATTTCAAATTTCAAAAGTATATAGAACAGTATGATAACCACCCACCCACATAGCACTGGCTTCAACAATTATCAACATTTTACCAATTTTATCCATTCATTTCCCCCCCTTTCTTAAATTGTTTAAAATTTTTTCTTGTTGGAGTATTTTTAAGAAAATTCCAGGCACAATGTCATTTCAGACTCTGATACTCTAGACTTCTCCTTGGGCTGAAAAACTTGAAAAGTACATGTATATTTGGGTCAAAAGGTTCTATTCTCATGTGGCAGAAGAGATGACAAAAATCTAGTGGCCTAAGGGTAGACTCTGAGGAGGTTTATTTTGTGGGAGAGCTTTTGGTGAGGACTTCTTCTTGGCCTGGAGTTTCTACAGAGCCAACTCAACCACATACCTTTCTCTGGCTTCACTCTAGAGGAACCATGGAGGAATTCACTCCAGTGTATTTCTGAAATGAATAGGCTGTTTTCTGAAAAAGGAGGCATAACCAAGCCAGGGTACGATCCCTGCAATCTATTGGTTGACCTGGATGACCTCAGAGACCTGTCTTCTGGGTTCAGCAAATACCGAGACTTCATCCGTTACCTGCCCATCCACCTCTCCAAGTACATTCTAAGTATGCTGGGGTGTTTGAGGGGATTTCCCAGACACCTCCCATCTTGGCCCAGTTCTGGGGTTTCTGGGTCCATCTTTTTTTTTTTTTTCCAGGAATGCTGGATAGACACACCCTGAACAAGTGTGCCTCTGTGAGCCAGCACTGGGCCGCCATGGCTCAACAGGTCAAGATGGACTTGTCAGCGCACAGCTTCATTCAGAACCAGATTGTCTTCATGCAGGTACTTCCTGCAAGTCTGAAAGGGGAATGTCTGAGACCAGCTTCATTTTTGTGTTGAGGCTGATCTGACTGTGGACCTTTTGTAAACCCTTAGCTGGCCTCCTGCTCTACATTTGTGGCCTTTTAGGCTTCATGGGTCTTTTCTTTTTGGTCCAAACTCCTGTTGACGACTGAGTACTCTCTCGTGGTCAGTGCATCTCACAAGGACCATAAGGATAGAGACCACTCAGGAGCAGAGAGGCAGAGCCTTTCCAACACCTCACAAAGCAGAGAACCCCCAGTCCCCAGGGAGTAATATCGCAGCTTACGCAGCAAGAAAGCCATAAATGTGTTTCTGCATCAGCCTCATATGGAACACAGATGTTTATGAGGCCGCAAAGTATTTTTTTTAAGTTAAAACGCAATTTTCCCCAATGGTAATCTTCTCCAGCATTTTTACTTCTCCGTTTCTTGCCAGAAGTCTCACCCTAAACCATGGATTTTGGTAACTTGATTTTTTTTCCCAGCAGAGAGGACAGAGGATGAGAAGCAGCAGCTATGGTGAGGCTGGCGACAGTCTGACCATCTTTGCTGGTCCCCCTGTGGCATTTGGTGTTTATTTTTCTCCTCCATTCGATCTGCACACACTGCCAGGGGAACTAGCCAGAACTGGGCCCGCCTGCCGCAGCCAGGGCTTACGCATCCTTCAGATTTTGCCAAGAACTAGTTTTTCCCTTCTTCTTGCAGAGTCGGAGCCAAGAGTAGCCATTTTCTGTTTTTATTTTATTTTTATTTTTATTTTTTTGTCTTTTTCCAGGGGTCCTACACAAGAGGAATTGATCCTAATTATGCCAATAAGGTTTCTATCCCAGTTCCTAAAATGGTAGATGACGGGAAGCGCATGCGTGTGAAACATCCGAAGTGGAAGCTGAGGACGAAGGTGGGTTCCAACGGCATCTGGGGCAAGTAACTGTGAACGTCTCATTCTAATTGGCCATTGAAGGCTGAAGTCCAGACTCAGCCCTGGAGTGAGGACAGAGGATCATGGCAGGTAACACTCCTTAAGGAAGACCAGAGTTCTGTGTTGCTACTGACTTACAAGATACTTCCTCTTCTTTTTTTTTTTTTTTTCTTGAGACAGTTTCACTCTGTTGCCCAGGCTGGAGTGCAGTGGCGTGATCTCGACTCACTGCAAGCTCCGCCTCCTGGGTTTGCGCCATTCTCCTGCCTCAGCCTCCCATGTAGCTGGGACTACAGGTGCCCATTACCACCCGTGGCTAATTTTTTTGTATTTTTAGTAGAGACAGGGTTTCACCGTGTTAACCAGGATGGTCTCGATCTCCTGACCTCGTGATCAACCCGCCTCAGCCTCCCAAAGTGCTGGGATTACAGGTGTGAGCCACCACGCCCAGCTGACACTTCCTCTTCTTAAGCCTTGTTTTACTCATCTGTTGGATGGGTGGATTGATCTGGTTGTCCTCTCAGGGTTCTTCCTTACTTCAAAGCCCATGGCCGTGTTCTGTGTCCATGGCACCAGGTCATTTGGTGGCAGGTTCAGAGGCCAGGAGCAACTCCATGAGCCCATGCCTCTAGAGGCTCCAGCATCTGCTGCTCAGGAATTCGAGGAGGACCCGAGGGGAGGGCCAGGGCTGGTTCCAGAATGCCTGGGGCCTAGATGAATTCGGCTCCCTCATCTCTCACTTCCAGGTTCATTCTGGCTCTAGGATGGAAGGAGAGAGTTAATTAAATGTAGCCCTCTCCACTAGTTCGTGGGCAACAATGAAGAGTGAACGGAAGACTCTTCGAGCTCTTTGCTTTGCCTATCAAGGCATGGTTGATATTCCTAAAACCATTAGATTTCTGCCCCCTCTTCCCTGCTTAAAGTCCATTTTGAAGTCTATTCGATTGGCCCCAAAAGGATAGTTAATAAGGAATGGTTTGACTGCCGCTTCCCAGAAGGAAGCTATGTTAAATTAGAATTTGAGAAACAGAAGCATCCAGAGAGAGCATCTAGTTCATATGACCTGGAGGGACCAGGCAGGTGACACAAAGGAGGAGGCGGGTGGTGTGGGCAGTAGCAGACGGTGTGGCTGTCATGGGCTGGACAGTTCACCTGCATCTGAAGGGCCAGCTGCTGCTCAGTTCTGGCTAATTATTGTCTTGAGGCCCCTGACCTGTTAGACCATCTAAGCCTTAGAAGATAGAAATCTGACATATTATGTGAAATCTCTTGCTTTTATTAAATGCTGGCAACCAGTTAAAAGCAGTTTTAAAAACTACATGTGCCAAAGAAAACACATTTCTGGGCCGGGTGCTGTGGCTCACGCTTGTAATCCCAGCACTTTGGGAGGCCGAGGTGGGCGGATCACAAGGTCAAGAGTTTGAGACCAGCCTGGCCAACATAGTGAAACCCCGTCTCTACTAAAAATTACAAAACATTAGCCGGGCTTGGTGGCAGGCGCCTGTAGTCCCAGCTACTTGGGAGACTGAGGCAGGAGAATGGCATGAACGAGGGAGGTGGAGCTTGCAGTGAGCTGAGATCGCGCCACTGCACTCCAGCCTGGACGACAGAGTGAGATTCTGTCTCAAAAAAAAAGGAAAACACATTTCTGGATTTCATTTGACCTGCAGTTATTCATTTCTGAGCTGGTCCCTTCACCCACTTTGTAGATAAAGAAACTGAGGCACAGAGAAGTCAAGCTCTCCCAGCCAGCTGAGTCAAAGAGGCATTAATTTGAACATGGACCTGCTTTTGTTTTCAAGTCTGTTGCTCTTTTATGTATAACACAAACAACACCCTTCTTCCTTGGGTGATGCAGTCAGTAATGGCCCAACAGAAAGACTACCCAGCCAGTGTTTGACATTCTAGGAATGTATTGACAGAATTGGAGCACCGTCATCTCAGATGAACACCGTCACTTTAAGTTCCAGGTCCCTTTCTAGTCTCATGCGTTTCAAGGAAATCACTTCTCTTCTAACTACAAGCAGCCAGAAAGAGCAGACAGTAAAACACAGATAAGACATCTCGGGCACAGAGGGAGGTGAGGGGAAAGTCTCTTGGGTAACTGCCGGACTTCACCCTCATACAATGGGCCCCAGTAAAACAGTGGGCCATAATAAGCACATTCCTTTCCCTTCAAGTGCACTAAGATAGGGAAGCTAAATCAGACTCGGGGGGTATGTCTGCAGCTGCAGAAAGATGTATGGGGACAGACACACAACTCTCCCTCCCAGATAAGCACAACAAAGAGACACAAAAGCAGTCCGAACATCTGATAAACTCTCCCACCCTGGATCCTTAGAAACTCTTAGTCTCTAAGAGAGTGTGGCTTCTGACCTAACTCGCTCAGAATTCCCTCCCAGATTTGAAATAAACCTGTTGACTGTCAAGCCACCCTTCGTGTTTCTCTCCTCTTTCTTTAATTCTTACATGTATAGTTTAAGAAAAGGGGCCAGGTGCAGTGACTCATGCCTGTAATCCCAGCACTTTGGGAGGCTGAGACAGGCCGATCACCTGAGGTCAGGAGTTCAAGACCAGCCTGGCCAACATGATGAAACCCTGTCTCTACTAAAAATATAAAAAATTAGCCAGGCATGGTGGTACATGCCTGTAATCCCAGCCACTTGGGAGGCTGAGACAGGAGAATCGCTTGTACTCAGGAGACGGAGGTTGCAGTGAACTGAGATTGCGCCACTGTACCCCAGCCTGGGCAAGACAGCGAGACTCCATCTCAAAAAAAAAAAAAAAAAAAAAAAGAGAGAGAGAGAAAAGGGAGAGAAGCAGGTGAAGCAGCATGGAGAACACATTAATAGCAAGACTAAGCAGTTATAGAGTCTTCTAGGAAAAGTGGAGGTGAGTGCTTCTCAGGGTGGTGAGTAATAGCATGAGTGTAAACTGTGTGCCAGGCACAATGCTTGTAGCTCTGCATGCAGCATTTACTTGACTTTACCATAGATCGAGGAGATGTCGTTGTTCCCAGCTTATGGATGTGGAAATGAAGGATATGCTGTGAGAAAGTGCCCAAGGTCTCATAGCTGGGCAGTAGCAGAGCTGGAATTTAAACTCAGGTCTTTTCCCTCCCAATGACTCCACCATGTGGCTTCTTGGGCTCACAAAACTTAGGAGATGAGCAAAGGCCAATGAATTCCCCCTGGGTTGGGAGAATCCAGGGCAGCATCATTTAATTCAGGCTGGGGTATGGAAAGCTCCCTGGACCCTGGAGGGGAGGCAGGTTGGCAGATTCTTCCGGGCAGAAACTTCTTGGTGGACATTGCTACATGGTTAAAGATTAAGGAGAGGGAGCAGAGGAAAGAGGGCATCTGAGGAAGAGTCTAAAGGCATGGAGCAGAAGGCTAAGGTTTGGAAGGAGACTTCAGAGATGTCCCCAAGAGGACTCTCAGGTGCAAACATGATGCTGTGTTCTTCTTTGCCTTCAAGATAAATATATTCTGCTTTTTCTTTCCTGCTAGTCTAATGGGACTGTAATTTCTGGATATTTGAGGATAGAATATGGCAGGGAATATAAATGGAACTGAGAATCTAGTTCAGTCATCTATGCCAGAATTTAGCATGTCTGGAATGCCATACCTGCTCAGAAGGTATGTGATAGAGGAAGAAAGGAGGGAGCAAGAATGAAGGCAGGCAGGAAGGAAATAAAAGAAAGACTGGGAAGCAAACAAAAGCACCCCTGTCAAGACTTGATAAAATTGATTTCCTTTCCCTGAGTCCCAGATACCTTATCTGTAAAATAATGAGAACATTTTGTGGGGCAAGTGATCTACCTTGTAAGGCAGCTGCAAGGACAAATGAAGGTTGCAGATGTATGAAAACTTTGAAATGCAAATGCAGGTGGGGCGTGGTGGCTCAAGCCTGTAATCCTCGCACTTTGGGAGGCCGAGGCAGGCAGACCACCTGAGGTCAGGAGTTCGAGACCAGCCTGGCCAACATGGTGAAACCCCGTCTCTACTAAAAATACAAAAACTAGCCAGGCGTGATGGCGCATGCCTGTAATCCCCCCTCCTTAGCAGGTTGAGGCAGGAGAATTGCTTGAACCCGGGAGGCAGACGTTGCAGTGAGCCAAGATCGCGCCATTGCACTCCAGCCTGGGTGAGAAAAGCAAAACTGTCTTAAAAAAAAAAATGCGGCCAGGCGTGGTGGCTCACGCCTGTAATCCCAGCACTTTGGGAGGCCGAGGCGGGCAGATCACAAGGTCAAGAGATCGAGACCATCCTGGCCAACATGGTGAAACCCTGTCTCTACTGAAAATACAAAAATTAGCTGGGCATGGTGGCGCATGCTTGTAGTCCCAGCTACTCTGGAGGCTCAGGCAGGAGAATCGCTTGAATCCAGGAGGTGGAGGTTGCAGTGAGCTGAGATCGCACCACTGCATTCCAGCCTGGCGACACAGCGAGACTCCGTCTAAAAAAAAAAAAAAAAAAAAAAAAGCACATGCATAGCATGTATAGCAGTAATTTCACATGTGGCTTAAAATCCCTGAGTGTGCTTTGTACTATCAGGTAGATGTAATATACACATGACATTCCGACTTCTGTGAAATGGTCAGTCAAAGGGCACCTGTGACTTTACGTTGTGAGGATACCCTTTGTGAGCTCATTTTTGAAAAAGTTGTGTTATTGGTGACATTTGGAATTTAGCCTTGAAAGTTCATGGAATCAGGGCACATGGAAAATCAAAGAGGTGAAACAAAAATTAAGAACCTTGACCCAACACTTTTTAACTCACGGTTTCCTTTGGTGCTTGCTCACCGGCTGCTCCCTTCTCTGCAGAGAAGCAGCCTCAGCCTTCAGAGGAAGAATCTGTGAGCCCTGTGCCCTTGCCAGGGAGACCCTAGGGGCTCCGGGACTGTGGGTATTTGAAGTTACCACTGAGATTTAACTTCAAATATTCCCTTGTTAGAATGAGTACAACCTATGGACTGCATACCAGAACCAGGAAACGCAGCAGGTCCTAATGGAGGAGAGAAATATTTTCTGTGGAACCTACAATGTTCGCATTCTCTCTGACACGTAGGTACTGGGTTCAGAATCTGGGTCTCTAGGGACGCTTGAGTTATCCATACTGACACTTGGGATTTCCCTGACCTTTGTGTACATGGAAAGGCAAGCTCTCCTCACCTCAAGCTCCAGCCCTAAACTTGCACGTGATCTCATGAAGACAATAGCTGCTTCATTTTGCACCATTCTTGGCAGTGGGTAAAGGATATTTTCCCTTTATAAATTTTGGGTATGCTGACCAACAACCTTTTGCACAAGTCACACATAAAATCTTTATTTTTTGAAATCTCTTTATTTTGTTATATTAATTTTAGAAATAATATACAGTTATTGGAAAAAGTCTTCTAAATGCCAGAAAATGTATAGAGAAAGGCAAAGTTTTCCTGTAGTCTATCACCTAGCAATAACCACCATTAATATTGATGTCTAGCCTTCTAGAATTCTTTTCTTTGCATACTTAGCACAAATTTAAATAGCGGTGGTGTTATATTACACATATTTCTGTCACCCAGCCTAGCAAAGTACTATAGATATCTTCCCATGGTAAATATGACAGTCGTATTTATAATTGCATACTCTGACATCATTTCAATATGCCGAGAGAAGAAGGTTCTTTAATAATCAACTTTCTGCCATATTTGGGCCTAGGACTTCACTTTATATTCACAAGGTTTTGCAGAGTCCACCTCTACTTTATTTTTGGCCATGAATCTTATTAACAAATTGCATCTTGACAATAGAACAGTCAGTATGAGGAAGACAGAGAAGATAAGATAGGGGAAAGGCAAAGTCAAGTTTTTATGGATAGTATGGTGATAACTGTTCTTTAGAAGAGATGGTGACTCGTTGAACTCTAGTTATGAATAAGGGCAAAAATATCAAGAATTGCTCCTTATAATATATGTGTGTACATATACATATATATACACACATATACACATATGTACATGTATGTATATTAAAAAGTATATATACACACACATACACATATGTACATGTATATATATAAAAAAAGTATATATACACACACACACACACATATATATTTTAAAGAACAGTTATCACCATACTATCTGTATTTCTTTTTTCAGAGTGAACCTCATTCTGTCGTCCAGGCTGGCGTGCAGTGGTGCAATCTTGGTTCATTTTAACCTCCACCTCCTGGGCTCAAGCGATTCTCCTGCCTTAGTCTCCCAAGTAGCTAGGACTATAGGCACATGCCACCACACCTGGCTAATTTCTGAATTTTTTTGTAGAGAGGGGGTTTCATTCTCTGGTTAGGTTGGCCTCAAAGCTCCTCGTATACATCCCTGTTTGTTGGAATGATCCTTCTCTACTCTGCAGTCCTAGTGTCATTAATAATAGTGTCCCCAGTTTGCGTGTGGTGGATCATGCCTGTAATCCCAGAACTTTGGGAGGCTGAAGTAGGAGAATTGCTTGAGGCCAAGAGTTGGAGTTTACAGGGAGTTATTATTGCGCCCCTGTACTCCAGCCTGGGTGACAGAGCAAGACCTTGTCTCTAAAAATAAATAGTGTCCCCTTTCACAATAAAAATCTCTCAGTTTGGACAATACATTATTTGGTCATCCTGTTCATACTTTACCTATTTGCTAATAATCCTGTGATTGAAACATTATTTCAACTCACCTAGTTTTATGGGACAATAAGCTCATTATAAGTAAGGTCCTTATCTGATAATTCTTTATATTTCCTGTGATATCTGCTAGCACAGGACTTTGAACCTAACGTATGCTCACTGGATATTGACTAAGGGAAAAAATAAAAGAAAAGAAATATAGTGTGCAGAGGACTTCCCAACTGTGTTCCTCTGATGTTTTCCAAGAAAAAAGGTTTCCATGATCAGTTAAATTTGGGCAATGCCACATACTCCATTCTCTCTCTCGGGGATTTAGCATACATTTACAGAATTTTTTTAAAAATTGCCTTTTGTCTTTAGTTTTTAAATTTGACAGAAATGGATTTTTGTCATGTATGAGAGTGGGGATCCCTCAGGGCCTGTTAATTCTCGACCTTGCCTTCTGCTGCCTCCCTTGTTGAAAGGCCCTGATTTTTTCTTTACACCACTGCTGTAGGCGAAAGTCAGGGGGCTAAGTCAGTCCCAGGAAGGACACAGACTCTTCTTTCATGGATAATCCTTTTCCCCTGGCACTCAGGTGGGATCAAAAAAGAGTCATCCACTATTCCGGGGGAGATCTGATAGCTGTGTCATCTAATCGAAAGATCCATCTTCTGGACATCATGCAAGGAAAAGTGATACCCGTTGAATTCCGAGGCCATGCTGGGAGTGTCCGGGCCCTCTTCCTATGTGAGGAGGAAAATTTTCTCCTAAGCGGGAGCTATGACCTAAGTATCAGGTGAGGAGTCCAAAGGCATCATGATCCCCATCCCACCTAAGGCCTAGAGGCAGCTCATGGAAGAAGTGGGCATGCTTTTTTCTTTTTATATTTAACAGTTATCCTAGAAGATACTGACTTCTAGAATAGCTTCAGCTTATTATTTTGGCAAGGAAAAAGTCAGGAATGTATATAATGCTTAAAATTTGAATGATAGATTTATAACAGTTATCAGATATATTTTCTAATTGATGAGTGCAAGTCAGAAAAATTTTCTTTATTAGCATTCTTAGATGAAGAAATAATTTACCTTTGTTCTTACAGATTCTTTCAGGGACCATGGCTTTTTATGGGTATGAGACAGACTATAGAGGCAAAATAGTGTTTTAAAAATGCATATGTATGTATATTTTTAAATAGTATAACAAACACTCATGCATCCATTACTCAGGCCAAGAAATCAGATATCACCATTTCCTAACCCTCTCACTGTGCCTTTCTCTTCTTGCTTCTTCCTGCCAACCAGAGGTAACGTTATCCTAATTTTATACTAATTATTCCCTTGCATTTCTTTGTCATTTTTGCTTCCTTCTTATATATCTCCAAAAGTATTAATTACTTTTGCCTGTTTTTGAACTCAACATAAAAGGAATCATATTTTTAAAATTTGTTGGTACTTCATTCTTACATGGAACTATATTTTTGAGATTCACCTATATGATGTAGGTGGCAGTAATTAACTTATTTCACTGAGATACAGTATTACATTTTATGATTGTATCATAACTCATGTGTTTGTTTTTCTGTTGGTGGACATTTGCATTCTTTCTAGTTTTTTGTTTGTTTGTTTTTTGAGACGGAATCTCGCCCTGGTCGCCCAGGCTGGAGTGCAGTGGCACGATCTAGGCTCACTGCAAGCTCCGCCTCCCGGGTTCATGCCATTCTCCTGCCTCAGCCTCCCAAGTAGCTGGGACTACAGGCACCTGCCACCACGCACGGCTAATTTTTTTTGTATTTTTTAGTAGAGACGGGGTTTCACCATGTTAACCAGGATGGTCTCGATCTCCTGACCTCGTGATCCACCTGCCTCGGCCTCTCAAAGTGCTGGGATTACAGGCGTGAGCCACCATGCCCGGCTCTTGTTTCTAGTTTTTCATTATTTCACAGAATGCTGCCAGAGACGGGTCTTGGATGTGTCCCCTGATGCCCATGTGCACGAGTGTTTTAAAGGTATATTCTTAGCATGGGAATTTCTAGGAAGGAGTACTAAACTGCTTTCCAATGTGGTTGTATTAATTTACATTCCCATTGGCAGCATATGAGAATATCTCTTATGTATTCTCACAAACACTTAATATTGTCAGTCTAACAGTTTTGTCAATCTGATGGATATTAAATAAAACCCACTGTGTTTTATTGGGGTTTAAATTTTAACTTTTCTGATTATTAATGAAGTTGAGCACCTTTTCATATGTGTATTAGGGTCTCCAGAGAAACAGAACCAATAGAATGTATATATACATATGAGATTTATTATAAAGTATTGACTTGTGTGATAAAGGCGGCTGGCAAGTCCAAAATCTGGGGGCTGGAGACCCAGCAGAGCCAACAGTGCAGATGAAGCCCAAAGGCTGTCTGCCAGAGAATTCCCTCTGACCAGGACTATCTATTAGCTTTGTTCACAGTATCTACATGAATTTTGTTGAACAAAAATTCTCAATATGGGCCGGGCGCGATAGCTCACGCCTGTAATCCCAGCACTTTGGGAGGCCCAGGCGGGCGGATCATCTGAGGTCGGGAGTTTGAGACCAGCTTGACCAACATGGAGAAACCCCATCTCTTCTAAAAATACAAAATTAGCTGGGCATGGTGGCACATGTCTGTAATCCCAGCTACTGAACCTGGGAGGTGCCACTGCACTCCAACCTGGGCAACAAGAGCGAAACTCGGTCTCAAAAACAAACAAACAAACAAACAAACAATATGAATGTAATAAAACATCAGTTTATCAGGGTTTTTTCCCCTTCATTTTTGTGATTCTTCCCTCTTCCGGGTCACAGAGATATTTTCTAATATTTTCTTTTACCAACATTACGGTTTTATCTTTTGCATTCAGTTTTTTAATCTATTTGCAATTCAACCTTATATGTGGCGTTAGGTAGGGTTTCCATTTCATTTATTTGTATTTAAATAAAGTCAGCAGTCTCTCCCCGACAGCAACTACTATATAACCTGCCACTTCCTCCACTGATTTGTGGTGCCATCTTTATCACATGGAAATTTCCCGTATGTGCATGAGAATGTCCCGGAGCTCTCTGATCTAGTCCATTGTCTGTTTTTCTGTTTTTAATCAAAATCCCCCTTCTTGAAAGTTGTTTGTTTTATTTTTAGGTATGCATTTAGAGAATGTTTTAAAATGTGATGGGGAGGGAAATTCTACTTTTCACTTTTCTTTCTTTCTTTTTTTTTTTTTTTGAGACGGAGTCTAGCTGTGTCGCCCAGGCTGGAGTGTAGTGGCGCCATCTCGGCTCACTGCAAGCTCCGCCTCCCGGGTTCACGCCATTCTCCTGCCTCAGCCTCCTGAGTAGCTGCGACTACAGGCACCCACCACCACGCCCGGCTGATTTCTTGTATTTTTAGTAGAGACAGGGTTTCACCGTGCTAGCCAGGATGGCTCAATCTCCTGACCTCGTGATTTGCCTGCCTTGGCCTCCCAGAGTGCTGGGATTACAGGCGTGAGCCACTGCACCCGGTCTCACTTTTCTTTTTTATGTAACAGCTATAGTATGTAAGTTTTGAGTTTTTGGAGTAAGTTGATCAACTTTCAATAAAACCTAATGACTTTTTATTGGGATTGCATTGAATTTATAGATTAGTTTGGTAAACACACTCAATTAAATAATCTGTGTTCTTTCTTAGAGCCTTAAAGTTTTTTTCATAAAAGTCCTGTGTATTTTTACTTAATGCCTGTAAACGTTATAATTTTGTTACTGTTGTGAATGGTATCTTAATTTTGCTTATATTTTCAAATTAGTTATTGCTGGCATAGAGAAATGCAATTGATTTTTGTAAATTGATCTTTTGTGTGGCATCCTTGCCAAACTGTCTTATTAGTTCTAAAAGCATGTATGTTTAATAATTGGTTTTTCTATGTAGACAATCTTATCAACTGCAAATGACTATATGTATATATTTCGTTGTTGTTGTTGTTGTTTTTTGAGATAAAGTCTCACTCTGTTACCAGACTGGAGTGCTGTGGTGCGAGATCTCGGCTCACTGCAACCTCCAACTCCCTGATTCAAACAATTCTCCTGCCTTAGCCTCCCGAGTATCTGGGACTACAGGCACATGCCACCATGCTTGGCTAATTTTTTTTTTTTGTATTTTAGTAGAGACGGGGTTTCACTATGTTGGCCAGGATGGTCTCGATCTCCTGACCTCATGATCTGCCCACCTCAGCCTACCAAAGTGCTGGAATTACAGGCATGAGCCACCGCGCCCAGTCAACAATATGTTATCTTCTTTTCTAACGCCTATACCACCTTTTGTTTTTCTTTCCTTCTAACTTTGCCTAGGCCTTCCGGTGCTGTGGCAGGCAGTAGCAGTGAGAGTGGGCATCTTCATCTTGTTCCCCTTCTGGAAGGGAATACATCTATAATTTCTCCACTGAGCATAATATTTACTGTTATGACTTTGGCTTATATCTTTTACTAAATCCAGAAAGTTCTTTCTATTCCTATTTTTCTAAAAGTATTTATCAAATACCTTTTCTTGCATAAATTTAGAAAACCAACCTGAAGACATAAACCACCATACTGCTAGAAACAGAAATTCAAAACATGCTTTCTTTCAGAGCACTGTGCCATCATTCAATGCACTGTGGCTGCATTGGAGGCTCTGAGAAACTGGTAAGGCATTGGTAAGGCTGCAAGACCCTTGGGAATATTAGAAGAAAAAGCTGAACATAGTCAAAAAACCCCAAAGACATATTAATCGTTTTTATATGCAAAACCTCACAATAACTCTATGAAGTAAGTGCAAATTTTTTTTTTTTTTTTTTTTTTTTTTTGAGATGGAGTGTCGCTCTGTCACCCAGGCTGGAGTGCAGTGGCGTGATCTCGACTTATTGCAAGCTCCACCTCCCGGGTTCATGCCATTCTCCTGCCTCAGCCTCCCGAGTAGCTGGGACTACAGGCATCCACCACCACGCCTGGCTAACTTTTGTATTTTCAGTAGAGACGGGGTTTCACCGTGTTAGCCAGGATGGTCTCGATCTCCTGACCTCGTGATCCACCTGCCTCGGCCTCCCAAAGTGCTGAGATTACAGGCGTGAGCCAGTATGCCTGGCTTTATTTTTAATTTTATTTTTATTATTAATATCTTTTTAGACGGAGGCTCGCTCTGTCGCCCAGGCTGGAGTGCAGTGGCCCTATCTCGGCTCACTGCAAGCTCCACCTCCCGGGTTCACGCCATTCTCCTGGGTGGGACTACAGGTGCCGCCACCACGCCAGGCTAATGTTTTGTATTTTTAGTAGAGACGGGGTTTCTCCATGTTAGCCAGGATGGTCTCAATCTCCTGACCTCGTGATCTGCTCGCCTTGGCCTCTCAAAGTGCTGGGATTACAGGCGTGAGCCCCTCCGCGTGGCCATTAGTACAGTTATTATCCTCAGTTTACAGATGAAGAAACTGAGGTACGTGGTGGTTCAGTAACTTGCCCAGGATCACACAGCTGGTAAGTGATGGCCCTGGGAATGGACTTCAGGAAGCCTGCTCCAGAACCATTATCTCAGCATTCTGCTTTGTCCTGTCTCAAAAGCAGCCCAGCTGAAGCGGAAGTGCAGTTGAGAGACCTTGGGCACGTGTTCTTAACAAAAAACAGGATAATTCATCTTTGCTCCCATCTATCTCTTAGATATGCTCTATATGTACATACATATTTTGGATCTAAGTGACTGGTAAAGGATTCTCTTGCTCTTGTTTGAAGATCTGCTGTACCACTGAATCAGTGCCATGGATTATAAGGCTGGTGGTCATTCAGGATGCTTCTACCTGAAAACCACCTGACATTGATCAAGCATTTTGTACAAGTTAGTCACTATTCCAGTGTTACCTCCACTGGTGCAGGGTTTCTCAACCTTGGCGCTATTGCCATCTGGGGCTGGGAAATTCTTTACTGTGGGGCCTGCCCTGTGCAATGTAGAATGTTTAGCAGCATCTCTGGATTCGATGCACTAGATACCAGTGTCTCTTCCTTCCCTGCTTGTGACCACCAAAAATATCTCCAGCTATTTCCAAATGGCCCCTGGGGGTATAAGTTACCCAGGGTTGACAATCACTGTATTAGTCCATTTAATTCTTCACAAAAACCCTATGATGTAACTACTCATTATTATTTCCATTTTATCAGTGAGGAAAGGAAACTTACACAGAAATTAACTTCCTCAAAGTTACACCAAATAGGTGCTGCAGCTGGGATTCAAATCCAGGCCCCTGACTCTTAAGCTGAACCATGAGGCTCTGCTGCCTCCCAACTACCTACTTATCTACAGGGATTCTACGCAGTATGATCCTCTGAGCCCTCAGGAGCTCTCACAAACATTCTTTTGGCCTGATTCCTGCAGATACTGGGATCTGAAAAGTGGGGCTTGCACACGAATCTTCGGTGGTCACCAGGGGACTATCACTTGCATAGATTTGTGTAAGAACAGGCTCGTGTCGGGAGGAAAAGATTGCCAGGTAAAAGGTGAGAAAGAAGTGCCTTAAATTTTCTAAGAAGTTTCCTGCAACTTATGGGTTACCAAAATGCTTTGTTTTGTTCATTTCTATAGGCCGGCAGTCATTTATTTCCTTCCTTCCTTCCTTCCTTCCTTCCTTCCTTCCTTCCTTCCTTCCTTCCTTCCTTCCTTCCATCCATCCATCCATCAATCCATCCATTCAACAACTATCTGTAGAATACCTACAACAAGCTACACACTGAGCTAGGTGCTGAGGAGAAAAAAAAAGGAATAGGATACGGCCCTTTAGATACAACTTTTTATTTCTTCAAAGGGCTCATAGTCTCCTAATGGAAGCAGATACATAAATATATAGTGGGGAATATAATAAATCCATGAACAACAACAGCTGCCATTTACTGAGTACCAATTTTGTGACAGATGCTTAACATACATTATTTAATCCTCACGAGAGCCCCATTGGTAATTTTATAAATGGGCCAAGATATATACATAAAATATAAGCGAAGGAAAGCACACTTACATAGTTAGGGCTAACCTAGCATAAATGGTTAAGCACATGGCTTCTGGATCCAGACTCCCTAGGTTCAAATCCCGGCTCTGCCACTCACCACCTACATGACTTGAGCAGGCAACCTAACTTCTCTATGCCTCAGTTTCCTCATCTGTGTAGTGGGGAATAATAATAGTACTTTTCTTGTGAAGATGAGCTCATGCATGTCACACACCTTGAGTGGTCGCCGGCTTACTGTTAGCGCCACGTAAGTATCAACTCTGGTTGTTGTTATATTTTATCTCAGGCCACTTGTCCTGTTGCCTGAGGAAGAAGGTGCTTTTGGGAAGCACCTTTGAAGGAGACTTTAATGTTTTCATTCCTGAATTCATAGAGTTCACTTTTAACTTCTTTTTTTTTTTTTTTTTTTTTTTTGAGATGGAGTCTTGCTCTGTGGCCAGGCTGGAGTGCAGTGGCACGATCTCGGCTTACTGCAACCTCCACCTCCCAGGTTCAAGCGATTCTCCTGCCTCAGCCTCCCGAGTAGCTGGGACTACAGGCACGTGCCACCACACCCAGCTAATTTTTGTTTTTTTTAGTAGAGACAGGGTTTCACCATGTTGGCTAGGCTGGTCTCGATTTCCTGACCTTGTGATCCACCCATCTCGGCCTCCCAAAGTGCTGGGATTACAGGCGTGAGTCACTGGGCCCGGCATCAACTTCTTCCTTTTAGGAAACCCTGTTCTGCCACCCACCCACCCACTCTCATCCCCACTACAAGATGCCAGGCAGTTGCTGTAACACAGTCTGTGTTGAAGCAGCAGTAAACCCACCCCTAGCTGCGACCATTTCTCCATAAAATCCAAAAGTCAGATTCAGAAGTATTTAAAAATGTAAGTGAGGGTAGACGACCTTCTTTTATCTTGGGGATAGAAGGTGTGGGTCAGGAAGACAGCGTATGGGAAAAATGACAACACTACATGTATGCCGTGATTTTTTTTTTTTTTTAATTTTACCTGCCCCTACTCAAGCTGAATACCATGATTTTTATGAAATCTACTTGATAGCAAGCATGTTTCAGGCTTGATGAATCAGCTGATTAGAGACGAGCTGTCTAGCATTTGGGCCTCAAGGCTAAGTTCTAGGGCCATAGCCAACAGGTGGCTCCCCCAACCACCTGTATTCAGGGCACATCTGTGCTGTGGGTACATGAGCTGTTGGTGAGCCTGTCCTGTGGAGGTGCTAGGCCAGGGGAAGTCCTTCTAGAGTCCGACTTGATGGGCTCGATGAGTCTTTTGCTTCTGTGATGGGGAGCAGAACTCCACTGTCAACTTTCCTCTTCCCCCTTTTTCCCCACTCCCATCTCTTCCTCTCTCTCCCTCCTGTTCAGTATGGGATGTAGACACAGGGAAGTGCCTGAAGACGTTTAGACACAAAGACCCCATCTTGGCCACCAGGATCAATGATACCTACATTGTGAGCAGCTGTGAGCGAGGGGTGGTGAAAGTGTGGCACATTGTCATGGCCCAGTTGGTAAAGGTGAGTGGGCAGTGGGCTGCCTTGGGGGAAAGGGCACTGGGGAGGAGATGGGTGGGCTCCCCCTACCTAGCTCCTCAGGTCATCCTAGAGCAACTGAGTATGGCCGTCAAGAAGGACAGTCCTGAAGCTCCAAAGGGGAGGGCCCCAAAATGGGGCATTCAGAGTCCATGGAGGGTAGGGGCTCCACTGCCCACATCATGACCCATGGTATCATGGGGTTGGTGGAGGAAGGCTGCATTCTGACTCAGCATGAGTTATGGGCTCAGGGCCTTCTAACAGCAGTGGAGGTGAAGTACCTTTTTCTCCTCAAGAGTATTGCACTCTGTAGGGCCAGACGCAGTGGCTCACACCTGTAATCCCAGCATTTTGGGAGGCCAAGGCGGGTGGCTCATGGGGTCAGGAGTTCGAGACCAGCCTGACCAATAGAGTGAAACCCCATCTCTACTAAAAAAAAATACAAAAAATTAGCCAGGCATGGTGGCGGGCGCCTGTAACCTCAGCTACTTGGGAGGTTGAAGCAGGAAAATCACTTGAACCCAGGAGGCGGAGGTTGCAGTGAGCTGAGATCACACGTCTCTAAAAAAAAAGAAAAAAAAAATGTGTTGCATTCTGGCATGGGGTGAGGGGATGAACAAAGCATTTTTTTCCTAAGAAGAAAATACTGGGGGATGAACAGAGAATTTTTTTCCTCATTGCTCTCTAATGAAGAGAGAACATGGATGGTCTTGAAAGTGATTGGATGGTCATGAAACCTATTCTTGCTGGATCTGAACCCCTGGCCTTAGCAGGTGGTGGATATATATGATTTGCAGCAGGAACACAGGATCACAGTGAAAAGTGGCTGGCTTGGCCTGTGGAATTTTCCCACCAATCCTGTCACTATGGCCAATCCAGCAGTTTCAGGCACAAGGATGGCCCATGTGCACTCTGGGTTCTGGCAAGGAGCTGGGATGGCACACGTTGCCTTCGTCCTTCTGACAGCAAAGGACAGTGATTTCTGGCCCTTTCTGGTGCTCCAAGAAGGTAGTGTCTGCCCCAGACACAGACCCACCAGGAACGTGGCCCCTGCCTGATCCCATTCCTCTGTAACCAGAGAGCGAGCTCTATGTGGAATGGACTTCATTGGCCTTCTTTTTTTCTTTTCTTTTTCTTTTTCTTTTTTTTTTGGAGACAGAGTCTTGCTCTGTCACCAGGCTGGAGCACAGTGGCGAAATCTTGGCTCACTGCAACCTCCACCTCCCTGGTTCAAGCGATTCTCCTGCCTCAGCCTCCGAAGTAGCTGGGATTACAGGTGTGCACCACCATGCCCAGCTAATTTTTATATTTTTAGTAGAGATGGGGTTTCACCATGTTGGCCAGGATGGTCTCGAACTCCTGACCTCGTGATCCGCCCACCTTGGCCTCCCAAAGTGCTGGGATTACAGGCATAAGTCACCATGCCCGGCCTCCATTGGCCTTCTTACAGCAAAAGCAAGGTTAGCTCAGGTACCTACCAAGTGAATGGCAATCACAGATTGATGGGGGTGGCTTTGGCATTCATCTGAAGAAGCCTCAGCTTTGGTTCTTAGAGGAGTCACAGTCTGAGTTGAAGACAGTGGAATCTTTTCTTGCAGACTCTCAATGGCCACGAGGGAGCCGTGAAGTGCCTGTTCTTCGACCAGTGGCATCTCCTCTCGGGAAGCACTGATGGCCTGGTCATGGCCTGGAGCATGGTGGGGAAGTATGAGCGCTGCCTGATGGCCTTCAAGCATCCCAAGTAGGTGCCTGTGAAGCCTGGAGCCGTGAACCTGGTATCCTTCCCTTCCCCGTCATAGCCTAGACTGCAATCATTGGCAGACCTTCTGCTCCCTGTGGACATCGTGTTCTCTGCACTTCACCCTCTCTGCTTCCTTCCTCTTCCACCTGGGACCCATTTTTCCCCACCATCTTCTCTGTTTGGCTATTAACCTCTTCCACTCTTCCTTGTTTCTCTTGCGAAGTAACCATAGGAGCTGGGGGTTTTGAGAAGTTATTGAATTCTTTTTTTTTTTTTTTGAGATGGAGTCTCACTCTGTCACCAGGCTGGAGTGCACTGGCACAATCTCGGCTCACTGCAAGCTCCACCTCCCCGGTTCACGCTATTCTCCTGTCTCAGCCTCCCGAGCAGCTGGGACTACAGACACCCACCACCGTGCCCGGTTAATGTTTTGTATTTTTAGTAGAGACGGGGTTTCACCGTGTTAGCCAGGATGGTCTCGATCTCCTGACCTCGTGATCCGCCCGCTTCGGCCTCCCAAAGTGCTAGGATTACAGGCGTGAGGCACCACGCCCAGCCTGAAATTTTATATTTATGACCCTCATGATAAATTCATACCTGATAGCTATCAGACATATGAATACTGGCAGAACCATCCCAAATAATGCCAATTCTAGTAAACTTAAAATTCTAGGAATTGATCTTTATCCCAGGATGCTTGTGCTCACAAAAGCTTAAAAATGATCCAAAGACTTTAAAAGAGCTGAGAGCTTAAAAAGAGGCACTTACAACTACAAGTCTACAGGCTGGATCCTATTCCAGGGTAGCAAATGGATTTCATTTTACATGCCAATTCAAATTTAGTGGTGGTGGCTGCTTGGAATCAAGTAATAAGCATTCTGAGGTCACATCTGTGCTTGTTTGGAAAGAGTATTGTGGTCAATTCTGCCATGGTCATCAGTTTTATATGCTACTCTATGCTACTCTTATACTACATGAATATAGCTTCTTTCCCTGAATGCATTATAAAAATTTCCAGGAAACTAAATGCTACCTTAATTGATTAAAAGAATAAGTGGGCTTTTGGCCGGGCGTGTAATCCCAGCACTTCGGGAAGTGCCTGTAATCCCAGCACTTCAGGAAGCCAAGGCGGCCAGATCATGAGGTCAGGAGATGGAGACCATCCTGGCTAACACCGTGAAACCCTGTCTCTATTAAAAATACAAAACATTAGCTGGGAGTGGTGGCGGGCGCCTGTAGTCCCAGCTACTCAGGAGGCTGAGGTAGGAGAATGGCATGAACCCTGGAGGCGGAGCTTGCAGTGAACCGAGATGGCGCCACTGCACTCCAGCCTGGGTGACAGAGCGAGACTCCATCTCAAAAAGAAAAAAAAATAAAAATAATAAGTGGGCTTTCTAGGGGATCCATCAGGGGAAACTTATTTTTAGTAAATTGATCTTTTTTTCTGGCCTACAGTGACTTATCTTACCCTTAGATATTAAGAGTCAAAATGAACCATGATTGCTTCCTGATTGCTGAGTTTTGTGCGAAGCCCTCTTAGTCCCCACCACAAGACTATAACTCCATCCAGCCAGCTTAGTAAACCTTCTGGATTATCAAGCCTTGATCTCCGAGAGGAAGTCAAGCTTTATGAAATCACCTGAAAATGTCAACTACATGTTTTAAAAGCTTCTAAGCAGGATTCAGTAGGATTAGTTAGTGAGCGGAAAATAATTTGTTCCCAGCAAGCCCAGCAATTTCGTCACGGTTCCATCATACCATTAGCTTCTCCCTCCACCTCTGCTATGAGACCTTCTCAGACAATTCCCACTCCTACCGAATGACAGTCCCTAACATACCATTCATATTAGCTCCTGCTACCCTGCATAGTAACAGAAAAACCATAGACATTTGGAAGACAGGGTCAATACTCTCATTTGTAGGTCTCTTTCTCCCAACTTGTCTGTAGGAGCTCTGTGCTCAATAAATTTATCTAACTGATGGGTAACAAGGAATAATTTGACAGCTTGCCTTTCTGGAAAGTTCTAACAATTGGACTGATAACTCATCTTTTGAATGTGACATAGGTGAGAAAGCAGATATAGTTGCTATCTGTCCTTTGATGGAAGAAGGGCTGGAGAAAGTGGTCTTTCCATTCCTGATGTAATATTTTTTCAACCAAAATTAAGATTTTGCACATAGCGTGGGACAGAATGGATATGAGGGAGGAAATTTGAGGATGCAAAATAGGACTGACAGGAATGATGATCTTTGGAAAAGCTTCTGTACTTGTAGTGTCTTTTTATAACTTTATTTTTATTTATATTTTTATTATTATTATTTTTAATGGTGTGTTGCTCTGTTGCCCAGGCTGGAGTGCAGTGACGTGATCTCGGCTCACTGCAACCTCTGTCTTCCAGGTTCCAGCAATTCTCCTGCCTCGGTCTTCTGAGTAGCTGGGACTACAAGCATGCGCCACCATGCCTGGCTAATTTTTGTATTTTTAGTAGAGACAGGGTTTCACCAAGTTGTGCAGGCTGGTCTCAAACTCCTGACCTCAAGTGATCCACCCACCTTTATATTAGTATATAGTATCCCAGACTCCCAAAGTGCTGGGAATACAGACGTGAGCCACAGTGCCCTGCCTGTAGTGCTTTTTTTTTTTTTAAATATAAGCCTGGCCAACATGACAAAACCCTGTCTCTACAAAAAATACAAAAATTAGCCTGGCATGGTGGCACACACCTGCAGTCCCAGCTACTTGGGAGCCTGAGGTGGGAAGATCACCTGAGCCTGGGGAGGTTGAGGCTGCAAAGAGCTGTGATTGTGCCACTGCACTCCAGCCTGGGCAACGAAGTGAGACCTTGTTTCAAAAAACAAAACAAAAAACTTTATTCCTTAATGTATTTTCCATAGCTCACATTGTAATTTGCTTTTCGCTGCAATTTTTAATTAGGATATGATTCACATAACATAAAATGTACCACTTTTGTGTGCAATTCAATTTTTAAAGTATTTTTTAAAGTATAGTCATAATGTGCAACCATTACCACTATCTAATTACAAACATTTCCATCAGTCAGTAGAAATGTCCCCTGCTTTATTCTTTATATTAGTAATCTGAGTCTTCTCTCTTATTTTCTTGGTCAAAGATTTGTCAATTGTCTAGTTAATAGTTTGTTGACTTTTTTTTTTTTTTTTTTTTTTTGAGACAGAATCTTGCTTTTTCTCCCAGGCTGGAGTGCAGTGGTGCAATCTCAGCTCACTGCAACCTCTGCCTCCCCGGTTCAAGTGATTAGCCTGCCTCAGACTCCTGAGTAACTGAGATCACAGGTGCCCACCACTGCACCCGGCTAATTTTTGTATTTTTTAGGAGAGACGGGGTTTTGCCATCTTGGCCAGGCTGGTCTCGAACTCCTGACCTCAGGTGATCCAACCACCTCAGCCTCCCAAAGTGCTGGGATTACAGGCGTGAGCCACCACACCTAGCCGTTTGTTGACTTTTTAAAAAGAGAACCGCTGGGTGCGGTGGCTCATGCCTGTAATCCCAGCATTTTGGGAGGCCGAGGCGGGTGGATCACCGGAGGTCAGGAGTTTGAGAGCAGCCTGGCCAACATGGCAAAACCCCGTCTCTACTAAAAATACAAAAATTAGCTGGGCACCTGTAATCCCAGCTACTAGGGAGTCTGAGGCTGGAGAATCGTTTGAACCCAGGAGGCTGAGGTTGCAGTGAGCTGAGATCACGCCATTGTACTCCAGCCTGGGCAACAAGAGCAGAACTCCGTCTCAAAAATAAGTAAATAAATAAGCAAATAAAAAAATAATAAACAGAGAACCAACTTTTGGTTTCATTTGATTTTCTGTATTTTTAAATTGTCTATTTCTAATTTCTGCTAAAATCTTTATTATTTTCCTTCTGCTTCCTGGTTTGAGTTTCATTTGATCTTTTTCAAGTTTTTTAAGGTGAAAGATTATTGATTGGAGAAAGGTAGGCATCTACTGCTGTAAATTTCCCTCTGAGCACTGCTTAGCTTCATTCCATAAGTTTTGATAGGTTGTGTTTTCATTTTCATTTATCTCAAACTACTTTCTCATTGCCTTTCTGATTTATTCTTTGACTCAGTGGTTAAGACAAGGTTGTTTAATTTCCACATAATTAAGAATTTTCTAAATGTCCTTCATTTCTAATTTAATTTCATTGTAGTTGGAGAGCATATTTTGTATGATTTCAGTCTTTCAAAATATATTGAGATTTGTTTTGTAGCCTAACATATGGTCTATCCTGGAGAATGTTCCATGTGCATCTGAGATAAATGTGTGCTCTGCTGTTGTTTGGTGGAGTGGTCTGTATATGTATGTCAGCTCTAGATAGTTTATGATGTTGTTCGTGTCTTCTGTTTCCTTGTGGATCTTCTAACTAGTTGTCCTATCCAGTCCCAGCTATTCAGGAGGAGGCTAAGGTGGGAAGATCGCTTGAGCCCAGGAATTTGAGGCTCCAGTAAGCTATGATCTCACCACTGCACTCCAGCCTAGGTATGGAGTGAGACCCTGACCCCAAAGAAAAAAAAAAAAAAAGAAGACTTCTGTTATTATGCTGTTTTCCATAGTCTTATGTATTTTTGTTCCTGAATTATTTCATTGTTGCCTTTCTTTGCGTTAAATGGATATTTTTAGTGTGTCATTTTAATATCCTTGTCATTTCTCTTTTCTATAATTTGAATGTGTCCCCAAGAAGTATGAGTTAGAAACTTAATCCTTAATGCAACAGTGTTAGGAGGTGGAGCCTAATGGGAGGTATTAGGTCACTAGGGCTCTCCTTTCAGGACTGGACTAATGCTACAGTGGGAATGGGTTCATTATTGTGGGAGTGGGTTCCTTATCAAAGGATGATTTCAGCCTTCTCTTCCTCTCTTTTGCCCCCTCTTTGCCTTTGGCACAGCAAGGTTCTCACAAGATGCCAGTCCTTTGGCCTTGGACTTCCCAGCCTCTAGATCCATAACTAATAAGCTTCTGTTGATTAGAAATTACCCAGTGTATGGTATCTTGTTATAACACCACAAAATGGACTAAGACACTTTTCTTTTTTTTTTTTTTTGAGATGGAGTCTCGCTCTGTCACCCAGGCTGGAGTGCAGTGGCGCGATCTCGACTCCCTGCAAGCTCCGCCTCCCGGGTTCACGCCATTCTCCTGCCTCAGCTTCCCGAGTAGCTGGGACTACAGGCGCCCGCCACCATGCCTGGCTAATTTTTTGTATTTTTAATGGAGACGGGGTTTCACCGTGTTAGCCAGGATGGTCTTGATCTCCTGACCTTGTGATCCGCCCACCTCGGCCTCCCGAAGTGGTGGGATTACAGGCGTGAGCCACCATGCCAAGCCAACTAAGACACTTTTCTTTTTTTTTTTTTTTTTTTGAGACGGAGTCTCGCTGTGTCACCCAGGCTGGAGTGCAGTGGCGCGATCTCGGCTCACTGCAAGCTCCGCCTCCCGGGTTTACGCCATTCTCCTGCCTCAGCCTCCGAGTAGCTGGGACTACAGGCGCCCGCCACCACGCCCGGCTAGTTTTTTGTATTTTTAGTAGAGACGGGGTTTCACCATGTTAGCCAGGATGGTCTCGATCTCCTGACTTCGTGATCCACCCGCCTTGGCCTCCCAAAGTACTGGGATTACAGGCTTGAGCCACCGCGCTCGGCCAAGACACTTTTCTAATGATAAATCGTCTATTAATCTTACTGAGGATCCTTTTTACATGAGGACCTACTTCTCTCTTGTTGCTTTCATTATACTCTTCACCCTTGGTGTTTGAAAATTTGATTATGATGCATCTAAGTGTGGACCTCTTGTAGTTTATCCCAGTTAGAGTTTGTTGAGCTTCTTAGACCTGTAAATTAATGTTTTTCATCATATTTAGGAGGTTTTCAGCAATCATCTCTTCAAATATTCTTTTGGCCCCTTTCTCTACTTTCTTCCTGGATCTCCTATTATGATTTGTTTGATGATGTTTTACGGATTTCTGGGGCTCTATTAATTTTTCTTTATTCTTTTTCTCTTTCGGTTCCACACACTGCATAACTTCAATTGACCTTGTTTCAAGTACTTCGCTTCTTCTACTTGCTTAAATATGCTGTTGAGCCCCTCTAGTGAGTTTTTTTTTTTTTTTCCCCCTGTAGTTGTAGTTGTCAGAACGAGGTCCATTCTGTTCCCTCTGCCACCAGGACTGGAGGCTGTTACTTTCATGGCTACCACTGGGCAGGGGGAGGTGGGAAGTGGGACTAAGTTAACATGTCACAAGTCTCACTATTCTTTATCCTTTTTGTTTTTTTTTTAAGACATAGTCTTGCTCTGTCACCTAGGTTGGAGTGCAGTGGCACAATTTCGGCTCACTGCAACCTCCGCTTCCAGGGTTCAAGTGATTCTCCTGCCTCAGCCTCCTGAGTAGCTGGGATTACAGGTGCGCACCACCAGGCCTGGCTAATTTTTTTGTATTTTTAGTAGATATGGGGTTTCACCATGTTGGTCAGGCTGGTTTCGAACTCCTGACCTCTAAGTCTCATTATTCTTATTGACACTATGCCATTTTACTTGTGTAAGTCCTCCCTGGGTTGCTGTAAACCTTTGATTATTTTCCAGAGTTCTGGATAAGTTAATTTTGGTGAGATCGCGTCACTGCATTCCAGCCTGGGTGACAGAGCGAGACTACGTCTCAAAATAAAAAAAAAAAAAAAAAAAGAAAAAAGAAAACTGAAGACTGAGAGATTAAATTACTTTCTGAAGGTTATGCAGCCCATTAAGTGGTAGAGTCAGGTTTTGATCCCAGGTTTTCTGATCCCAAAGCTTATGGTTTTAATTACTAGGCTACGATGATATAGACTGAACTACCAAATATCCCAGGGATCTATGGGAAAAGAAGTATGGATTCAGCTCAGCAAAATCAAATGAGATACATGAAGAGGCAAACTTTTCTATCACATGGCATCTCTCCCAGTGCTGGAGTACATGACTGGCAGACTGTGCTGTGCTTAGGATACCATCAAAGTTATTATATTTCCACCTTGAAAAAATTTAGAAATTTGTTAGGTCTTTCTTTCTTTCCCTTTCCCACTCACCCTTCCTTCCTTTCTTCCTTCCTTCCCTTCGTTTCCTTTGTTTCCTTCCTTCCTTTCTCTTTCTTTCCTTTCTTTCTCTCTCTCTTTTTTTCTTTCTTTTGTTCTTTCTCTTTCATTCTTTAGTTCTTTTTTTTTTTCCCCTAGGGTCTTACTCTTTTGCCCAGGCTGTAGTGCAGTGGTGCAATCATGGCTCACTATGACCTCATAATGTAAAACTTTTGTGCTCAAGTTAGCCTATCACCTTAGCTTCCCAAGTAGCTGGGACTACAGGCACACACCACCATGCTCCTGGCTAATTTTTAAATGTTTTTTAGAGCCAAGGTCTCAAACTCTTGGTCTCAAGCAATCCTTCCACCTCAGTCTCCCAAAGTGCTGTGATTATAGACATAAGCTTCTATGCTTGGCCTTGTTAGAGTTTTAAATACTTATTTTACAGCTGAGTTCTATCTGTCTATCTATCTGTCTGTCTATCTATCTATCTATGTATCTATCTATCTATCTATCTATCTATCTATCTATCTATCTATCTATCTATATCACATAATCAGGGGTTCACATCATATTTGCCTCCTTGCTGTCCTTTGAGTATGCTGATCATGCTCCTGCCTTTTGAGGTCTTTGTTATTTCTGTTTGGTTAATGGTTGGGGCCTTGGAAAGTCTTCATCTGATCCTGGGATCTGACCAAGTCTGAGGCCAAATGGCACAGGGCGGACGTCATTCTTTTAACACATTGTAGCAATGACCATACTCCGAAAACATGAGCAGACAGTCACTTTTTCAATAAATATATATTAAGGACCTACTATGGGCTGAGTGCTGTGCTAGGTGATAAGTATGCAATGATATGAGTTGTGCCCAAGAGAATCTGAAAGTATACTTAAAATTTGTGTACATGTGTGATGGGGGAGATGTAGGACGGAATTAAGATAAGAGATGGCTTTTTGGAGAAGGTAGCACATGAACTAGGCCATGAATGGCCTTGGATGGGTAGAGCTGGCAGGAATTGATAGACTTGCTTTGCATATAGAATCTAACAAATTGGTGGTATCAAATTCAACTTTTCGGTGTCATTAACAGGAATAGGGAAATTATACTTCTTAGAATTGAATACTCCACATATCTGGAGTCTAATTGGAACCCAGAAAGGTTCTAGAAAGGATTTTGTTGGAGGAATCTGTCTAGATCTTCTCCTGGTCCCCCCTCCCTTTTCCTATTGGCCATCAAAAAAGGACATTCCTAGATTTCATCCCTGGATACAATTTTCCTTAAGGATATTTCACTGAAAGAATAAAAGTCACCAATTTAAGATAAAAAAGAAACTGCTCAAATGTAAAGTATTTGCTTAATATAATGATAATCATTTTCCTTCCTGTTTTTTCTTTCTTAATATTATATTATTATTATTTTTTTTTTGAGACAGAGTCTTGTTCTGTCATCCAGGCTGGAGTGCAGTGGCTTGATCTCAGCTCACTGCAAGCTCCGCCTCCTGGGTTCACGCCATTCTCCTGCCTCAGCCTCCTGAGTAGCTGGGGCTACAGGCGCCCACCACCACGTCTGGCTAATTTTTTGTATTTTTAGTAGAGACAGGGTTTCACCGTGTTAGCCAGGATGGTCTTGATCTCCTGACCTCGTGATTCACCTGCCTTGGCCTCCCAAATTGCTGGGATTACAGGCGTGAGCCACCGCACCCAGCCGATAATACTATTTTAAAAGGAATCAAAACATTAAATAATTCTCAGCATGACTATTGTATAAGTAAAAGCTAGGAATCAAATTGCAAGAGACAAACATGATCATCTATATGTTAGATTAAAAAAAAAAGATAGTGACGTCAGCCCTTTTCTTTTGTCATCTGTGACCCTGTGACCTAATTGCAGGGACAGTAGCTGCAGAATGGAAAGAGGTATGTCTTGAGAGTAGCTCATGGTTTAGTTCCACAATTATAAAATGACAGCAGGCTGGGCGTGGTGGTGCACACCTGTAATCCCAGCACTTTGGGAGGCCGAGGTGGGTGGATCACCTGAGCATTTCGTGACCAGCCTAACATGGAGAAACCCTGTCTCTACTAAATACAAAAAAATTAGCCAGGTGTGGTGGTGCATGCCTGTAATCTGACCTACTTGGGAGGCTGAGACAGGAGAATCGCTTGTACCTGGTAGGCAGAGGTTGCAGTGAGCCAAGATTGCACCATTGCACTCCAGCCTGGGCAACAAGAGCGAAACTCCATCTCAAAAAACAAAAAACAAAAAACATAAAAATCACAGCAAACACCTTTTCAAGGCCAGTTATGACCACTGCCTCTCAATCACACACAAAATACCCCCAACCTACTAACAAACCCAGGTATTTTACGAGAGGATGGGTATTGCCTGCTGCTCTGTTCCCTTCCAGGGAGGTGCTCCACGTGTCCCTTCTCTTCCTCCGGGTCATCAGCGCCTGCGCAGATGGCAAGATCAGAATTTACAATTTCCTCAACGGGAACTGTATGAAGGTGATAAAAGCCAATGGCAGAGGCGATCCTGTGCTGTCCTTCTTTATTCAGGGCAACAGGTGGGTGGTAGGTGTGGAGGTCAGAACTGTGAGCGATTCTGTTTGATTTTTTCCTCCCTTGGGATACCAGCCCTGGATCTGCTGTCAGGAGAAGACAGTGTGCAGTGACTCTCTACAATTTTGGCTGGGTGGGGCAACAGTCTTGTTGTGGGGACTAACAGGGCTTTGCACAAAACTTAGTAATTGGGAAGCAATCATGGTTCATTGACTTTTTTTTTTTGAGACATAGTTTCACTCTGTTGCACAGGCTGGAGCGCAGTGGTGCGATCTCGATCTCGGCTCACTGCAACCTCCGCCTTCCAGGTTCAAGCAATTCTCTGCCTCCGTCGGCCAAGTAGCTGGGATTACAGGCGCCCACCAATATGCCCAGCTAATTTTTAGTATTGTTAGTAGAGACAGGGTTTCACCATCTTGGCCAGGCTGATCTTGAACTCCCAACCTCGTGATCCACCCGCCACAGCCTCCCAAAGCTCTGGGATTACAGGTGTGAGCCACCATGCCCAGCCTGTTTTGACTCTTAATTCATCCTGGGTATTTGTGGGAATTGCAGTGGGTGCAACACAACGCTTCTGTAAGGACCACAGTTCTACCAACGTGCAGCCCCTGCTTGCTCTTTGATCATGCCTTTGGCTGCCTGAGAGCTCTATCAGCTAGCTATCTTTGATGCCTCACTTCTAATGCAAAGAGACATATAGGAGGGTGGGGGGTGGCAGCAGCAGGGGGTACAGTGCGGGGGCGCTGAGCTGGTGAGCTTACAAAACCAGTACCATGACTGACTGCATTGTATACAGTACTGTGCTTTATATATGCGTAGATTCAGGGTGCTATTATATGAAAAAAGCCAAATAGAACTAACCTGTAAATTCTACTTCAAGCTCACTTGAGACATCACTTATGTCCCTGAACCATATTGCCTTCCTTTTAGTGAAACTTCATTAGTATTATTTACCATCTTAAAGAGGGCAGCCTGGTGATAAGCCTCAATTAATGAACACTTTTCAGTCACGCTGTTTAAAAAAAAAAAAAAAAAAAAAAAAAAAGCTCTGACCGGTTTGCACTCACAGCATCCAAAGAAAGGTGTTTTCCTTTCGGCTTGAGTCTAAAAGGGATTTCTTATTGGCATGACACCCCGCATTCCGTTCCAGCAGTTCCAGCCAAAACAAGTTACTTTTCGAGAGAGTTTATGCTGTTGGTTAAGGTCTTAACATTGCAGCCTTTGGAGCAGAAAGAAATCTGCCAGAGTGTTTTCATTTCTTGTTTACAGTTAAGGGAAGAGCACAGAGAGGCGAGAGCTGCTCGCTTGTAAAACTGGTGGGTTGGGAAGGCAGTGCTGCGGGGGCACAGGCAGGGGACAGGGAGGGCAAGCTCTGGAGCTCTTTGTCTACGGAGCATACAAGTGGGGAGTAGAGAAGTTAGAAATCATCTCACTTTATAAAGTACAGATGTTCTGTCTACATCTAGAGTGTGTGCAGAGATCCTGGAGTGACGGCATGGAGTGTGTGGTGTCTGTGTGGAGGGTCTGTGAAGCAGAGGAGTCCTCCCCATGAGAGAGCTTTCCTCATTCCCAGCAGCAATAGTAATATTGGGTTTGGAAGCTGTGCTTGAAACAAACAAACAAACAAAAACAGTGAATTTCAAGACATCTGTGTGCAGAGTACCTTCTTGGCACCCTAGGTACTTGGCACTCACTCCAGGAATGGAAATTCATTTAAAAGCATTTTAACTTGAGGCCAGGCGCAGTGGCTCATGCCTGTAATTCCAGCACTTTGGGAGGCCGAGGCGGGTGGATCATTGAGTCCTGGAGTTTGAGACCAGCCTGGGCAACATGGTGAAACCCTGTCTCTACTGAGAACACAAAATGAGCTGGGCGTGGTGGCGGGCGCCTGTAGTCCCAGCTACTCGGGAGTTGAGGCACGAGAATCACTTGAACCCAGGAGGCGGAGGTTGCAGTGAGCCGAGATCATGCCACTGCACTCCAGCCTGGGCGACAAAGCGAGACTCCCTCTCACAATAAAAAAAAAAATAGAAAAAAATAAAAAAGCATTTTAACTTGAGAAGTGAAACAATCGGAACATATGTGCCCCAATCATGTTTATTTTTTAAAGAAAAGAGTGACAAAGCTAACGACTCCTGCTGCATGGCCTGGTAACTTTCACCACTCTCCACCCTCCAGCCGCCTACACTACTAGTCTGTTTGGTCACTACCTGGGCACTGTTCCCTTGGTCTAAAGACCAGGTGGGATGGTAACTGCAGTGCATCTTTCGGTGGCCTCCACACTCCTTTTGTGGACAACCTTGTTGTTTCGGTTCCAGGATGGTGGTCAACACAGAGAGCAATGTTCTCGTGTTCCAGTTCGAACACATAAAGTGGCAGTATGCCATGGAAAAAACGAAACAAAAGAATAAGAAGGAGAAAGAGGAGGAAAAAGAAGAAAACAGCCTCATGGAAATTCTCTCTAAGTCTAATATGCAGGTTCACAGCCCGAGAGAATCTGTATCCAGTAAACAAACTGTGATCCAAGAGCTTCTACCGAGCAAACCTCCCAAGTCTCGAGTACTCCTGAAGCCAGCCAAGTTCTCTTCAGGTAAAGGACGGAAATACCAGCAAGTTCAGTGATAACCCACAGAGCAGACTGGGTTTGGTCAGGGTGGTGGGAGCGGGGAGGACTGGTTCCTTTATGGAATATTTTGGCCAGTGGTTTCCTGAGGATATATATGCTAACCCTCCAGGAAGGTAGGAGCCATTCTCTCTGACCCTCCAAACAATTTATCACCCAGTTAATGGGAACCTTCTGGTTTGCAAGATCTAGATCGATCTCTCTATCTTCCTTCCTTCCTTCCTTCCTTCCTTCCTTCCTTCCTTCCTTCCTTCCTCCCTCCCTCCCTCCCTCCCTCCCTTCCTCCCTTCCTCCCTTCCTCCCTTCCTTTCCTTCCTTTCCTTCTTTTCTTTTTTTTTTTTTTTTTTGACAGAGTTTTGCTCCTGTTGCCCAGGCTGGAGTGCAACGGTGCAATCTCGGCTCATTGCAACCTCCGCCTCCAGTCAACGATTCTCCTGCATCAGCCTCCCGGGTAGCTGGGATTACAGGCATGAGCCACCACGACTGGCTAATTTTGTATTTTTTTTTAGTAGAGACGGGGTTTCTCCATGTTTATCAGGCTGGTCTCAAACTCCCGACCTCAGGTGATCCTCCCGCCTCAGCCTCCCAAAGTGCTGGGATTACAGGTGTGGGCCACTGCGCCCAGCCTGCAAGAGCAAGATTTTCAAACCTATAAGAATCTTTGCACAGTAGATAAGACTAGCCTTAATACTTACCACTGAAACAAAAAGCAAGCAACTAATACCCCCAACCCCCCAAATTTAAAACATATATTACATAACTATTTCTTCAAGACAGAGACAGAATTTGTTATAAGCAGAAAAATGATCTATGCAGAATGTATTGTTTTTAGATCTGAGAGATAATGTTTGTAGCTGGAAAAATCTTACGTATAAAGCAGGTGTGTGTGCGTTTGTGTGTGTGTATGTAGGTGGGGGTGCAGGCATGGCCAATGCCATTTGTAAGACATCCAAAGAATAAATTATGTGTGGGTTAGAGTAGCAAGACTCCTTCCTTATACCAGCCCTATATTTGGCAGGTGAAATTGGATCCACAGATCTATAGAGAAAACTATAAATCACCCCCAAGCATATCACACTACAAATAGTCAGCTATCTCTTGAGAGGAGGGAACTGAGAGTGTTAGCTAATGCTTAACAGTAGGAAAAGTGGGTCGGAGGGGGAGTCAGGATGCGATCTAGGCCTTAGACTTGCCACCCTAAAATAATCAAAAGATTCAGGATCTAGCTAAAAGAGTTTATCCAAGTGCAAAGTTTGAGGGCAGCATCCAGGGACACCAAAGACTAGTGACCAGTGCTCCTGGAGTGGGGAAAAGTAAACATCCTTTAAACAGACAAAAACAGAGCTGCTGAACAGAATTCAATTTTCCATACAAAGGCTAACATACAGATGTAAGACTAGATTGGCTACTATTGATGACCTCTAATGGTTGCTTAGCATTCTGCTGTAAAGAGGTGACAATCACAAGGGGAGTTGCTTAACATTCTGCTGTAAAGAGGTGACAATCACAAGAGTGTCTATCTCCACATCATTTAGTCTAGGTTTCAATGAAGAATAGGGAGTCTGGTTAATGGAAAAGACCTCAGCACAGAGGTCTGGAGCAGGAAAACAGCTGTGCTATGTGACTCAGTTTCCAGGGCTTCACTTTTCCCTGTCACATAGTCAATTTAGAAGGTTGTTACACTCTCTTTACTTTTCACGGACTCCAGGTAACTACTTGGTTTCATACGACAATAAACAATATGGTGTTTGGTAGAAAAATACAGTTAGACGGAAGAGATATAAGTTCCAGTGTTTGGTTGCACAGTAGGATGACTACAATTAACGATAATGTATAGCCGGGTGCAGTGACTCACGCCTGTAATCCCAGCACTTTGGGAGGCTGAGGCAGGTGGATCACCTGAGGTCGGGAGTTTGAGACCAGCCTGATAAACATGGAGAAACCCCGTCTCTACTAAAAATACAAAAAAATTAGCCGGGCGTGGTGGCGCATGCCTGTAATTCCAGCCTTACTTGGGAAGTGGAGGCAGGAGAATCGCGTGAACCGGGAAGTGGAGGTTGCAGTGACCGAGATCGCGCCACTGCCCTCCAACCTGGGCAACAGGAGCAAAACTGCATCTTAAAAACAAACAAACAAAAAACCAATAATGTATTGTATATTTCAAAATAGCTAGAGGAGAAGATTTGGAATGTTCCCAACACAAAGAGATGATAAATGTTTAAGATGACAGATATCCTAATTATCTTGATCTGATCATTACACATTTTATGCATGTCTCAAAATATCACATGTACTCCATAATTATGTATAATAATGTACCCATAAAAAACAAGATGGTGATATTTTATATAAAAATCAGTCCAATTATCAGCCCCAATTATGATTGATTATATTATTTTATGCCCTAATTGAAGTATATAATGACTACAGCTTCTTCCTCAATCTCAATTTAGCAGTGTTAATAGAGGAACTTCAAAGTCAAGGGAAGTCAAAATCACCCCGAAGAGATGGTAAAAAGAGTTTATTCTGTTCATAAGGGAACAAGTGGCATGGATGGTGGGCAGGAGAATTTGGAAGCAAAATCCATAGCAGGAGATAAGACAAACAGTGATACTTAATTCTGAATTAGTGGCAAGATCCAGACTCTCTCTCTCTCTCTAGTTTCCTATTGTTTTCCAGCAGGCCACTACCTTTGCTTATCTTTGAGAATCTGGAATGAATACAATGCCTGGCTTCTCCCAAGAGTGACTGGTTTTCCTTAATTGTCCCTTTTCTGACTTGAGGCCACAGAGGGAGAACTATTTTCCGGTTTTTGGCTGACAGCCCGCCTGTGTTCCCTGCTAGCTTCCTCACTTCTTGGACTGTTATGTCATCAAGCTGAGAAATGGGCACAATAAAAGAGAGAACAGGCAGTTGAGGCTGGTTTCAGGGAGCATTTTAAGAGACTTTATTAGGAACGAGAGAGATTGGGGGCAGGTGCTATATATGTGAGATAAGGAGATAAGGGAGAGAGAGAGAGAGATGGGGATGTGCCTTTTAAGAAGTGTTGCTGGGATGGGCATAGTGGCTCATGTGTGTAATTCCAGTGCTTTGGGAGGCCAAAGTGGGAGGATTCCTTGAGGCCAGGAGTTGGAGACCAGCCTGGGCCACTTAGTGAGATCCTTATCTCTACAAACAATTTTAAAAATTGGCCAGATATGGTAGCACACACCTCCTAGCTACTCAGGAAGCTAAGGCAGGAGGATCCTTTGAGCCCAGGAGTTTGACGTTACAGTGAGCTATGATTGCACCACTGGGTGATAGTGACACCTAGTCTCTTACAAAAAAAAAAAAAGTGGCCAGGCGTGGTGGCTCATGCCTGTAATCCCAGCACTTTAGGAGGCTGAGGTGGGTGGATTGCCTGAGGTGAGGAGGTCGAGACCAGTCTGGCCAACATGGTGAAACCCCATCTCTACTAAAAGTATAAAAAAAGTAGCCTGGCGTGGTAGCATGTGCCTGTAATCCCAGCTACCTGGGAGGCTGGGGCAGGGGAACTGCTTGAACCAGAGACGGCTGGGGGTTGCAGTGAGCCGAGATCGTGCCACTGCAACTCCGGTCTGGGTGACAGACCAAGACTCCATCTAAAAAAAAAAAAAGTTTCTGGACATCATGACTCATGACTGGGATGTCCCTTTGTTATTTTTTAAGGACATAGATAAAAATTTAAAATGTCTTTCAAACATTTTTGACTAGTATAATAGTGTTTCTTTGGAACAAACTCTGTGCAGAGATTGGTTTCAAGGTGAGGGGAAAACAATTGTTTTATGAGGGCTGCGCTAACAATGGGCATCCTTGTATAAACCTATGTCAGTGTACAGGCACAGGTATACCTGAAGGGTAAAGTCCTATGAGTGAAATTGCTAAGCCAAAGGATAAGTGCATTCAAAAACTAGAAAGATATTGCCAAGGTTGTCCTGAAAAATATTATATTAATTTACACTCCCACAAGCAATGCATGGGAGACGCCACTGCATCTGTGCCAACTCTGGGAGTTAGCTGGCATTTTGTACTTCCTTGTATAAATAAAAATGGTGCCTGCATTTTCTTCTAGGTTGATCATTAACAAACTAAATGTCCACCAACAGGCAATGGCTAAGTAATAAAAAAATCTATTGTATGGAATATTATATATGGCTAAAAGTTATATGATGAGGATTTGTATATACTAACTTGGAAAGAGATCCACAATACATTATCATTTGGAAAAAGACAAATTAATAAACAATGAGCTCACCATAATTCCTTTTTTTATAAAAGGAGAAAAATTTTTGAGTTTGCAAGGAGAATAGGGAAGATTTTGACATCTTGATTTCACTTTTTTTTTTTTGAGATGGAGTCTCATTCTGTTGCTCAGGCTGCAGTGGAGTGGCATCATCTTGGCTTACTGCAACCTCTGCCTCCTGAGTTCAAGCAATTCTCCTGCCTCAGCCTCCTGAGTAGCTGGGATTACAGGTGTGTGCCACCACACCCGGCTAATGTTTTTGTATTTTTAGTACAGACAGGGTTTTTCCATGTTGGTCAGGCTAGTCTCGAACTCCTGACCTCAGGTGATCTACCCACCTAGGCCTCCCAAAGTGCTGAGATTACAGGCGTGAGCCATCGCACCTGGCCTGAAGACAGGTTTTATTTTGGGCAACATTCAAGATTATTTGGAGTCAAATTTGATTAATAAGGTAAAGATCAAATTTTGCAATATAATTATTGTTGAAAAATACAGTTATGCTACTATAAATTTATTAAGATCTGCTTTGTGTGAATCATAAATGAGATGTGAAGGTCATTCCCAACTTCACATTTTCTTTTTTTTTTTTGAGACGGAGTCTTGCTCTGTCGCCCAGGCTGGAGTGCAGTGGCACGATCTCAGCTTACTGCAAGCTCCACCTCCCAGGTTCATGCCATTCTCCTGCCTCAGCCTCCTGAGTAGTTGGGACTACAGGCGCACGCCGCCACGCCTGGCTAATTTTTTGTATTTTTAGTAGAGAGGGGGTTTCACCGTGTTAGCCAGGATGGTCTGGATCTCCTGACCTCGTGATCCGCCTGCCTTGGCCTCCCAAAGTGCTGGGATTACAGGCGTGAGCCACTGCTCCCGGCCCCAACTTCACATTTTCAAAAATAAGTAGAGTATCGAAATCACATGTTGCCTTCAAAATATGCACACTTAGAGGCTAATATACACTTTACTGAATACTAGCATTTTATTTAAAACTAGTTTTATTAAATCGTTTCTAGTATCAGCAATTTCTAATACGACTGAGGATGCCTGCCTGTATGATGGCATACCTGTTGGACAACAAAGACCTCAATGTGCTTTGAAGTCTGAATGCCCAAGTACTTAATGCATACGTACTTAATATTTTTCACAGAATGCCGATTTTTTTTCATTTTCTTTTTTTGAAGAAGCAGATGATGTGGAGAAAGCACCAAAACAAGGACAATTGGAAACTCCTGAAAAACTGCTCAATCACCCAAAGAAAAAGTCTTGGAAAATTCCTATGTCACCTGACCAATTCCTCCTGACTGTCAGCGCCCTGCAGCAAGCCCATAATTCCGGGAAATTCGCCTATCCCTGTAGGCCCCGAACAGAAATTATTGATGTCTGGGGACCTTCAATTTCATACCCAAGGAAGGTCTTGAATTTCAAAGGAAAATCCATCCAACATGCAGTTGATCAGTTGAGATTGAGCAATCCTCCTATAGATGTGAAACAAACCAGTATTCCCCTTGAAATCCAGAAACTGCAGCCCAACTTGAAGATCTCTTTGCACAGTCCCAGAGTCCAGTCCACTTTGCCGCAGCCCATGATTATCCGCTCCAGGTTCTCTGGCAAGTTAAAGGGTGGAGACCAAGTGACCAGTTCAATTGAAAGGGCAGTGTGCAGTCCCCTGACCAGTATGCAGGTCATTAAACCAAACCGCATGCTAGCTCCAAAAGTGGGCACAGCCACCCTGTCTCTTAACAAAGAACGGCCTCGCATCTACACAGCCCTTGATCCCCTTAGAGTGAACACTGAGTTCGTGCTGTTGACCGTGAAGGAGGAGAAAGAGCACCAGGAAGCCAAGATGAAGGAATATCAGGCCAGGGAGTCCACTGGAGTGGTTGATCCAGGAAAAGCCAGCAAAGCTGCATGGATCAGGAAAATCAAAGGCCTGCCTATTGATAATTTCATGAAGCAAGGGAAAACAGCGGCCCCTGAACTTGGACAAAATGTATTTATCTGAACCAGCCTTGGGAAATTACAATGTTTTACAATAAACAGCCAAGTGGATGTTGCTATTTGGCCTTTTTCTTTTTTTTCTTTTTTTTTTTTTACTGTTTTTTTTCCTGGTAATTAATGTGGGAACTCCCAATTATCTTCCTCTGAGCCAAATATCTGATATCATCAAAATAAGAAAACAGAAGGAGGTTGGGTGAGATTAGCATCTGTACTCCCACTGAAAAAAATTTAGTGAGCATTAGAAAAGCCCAGTTTCGTTGATGGGGGATGGGGAGACGATCACTGGAAATTAGATACCATTCATCACTATCAATTTAGTGCTATTAGTTCTTCCGGCAAATGAAGTTATGGGATTATATCAGGGTAATGCATTGGAGTTTTCTGGTATTTTTGCATAGAAGCCTGATGAAACCCATTAAGAATTTAAAAGGGGAAGCCCTTAATGGGGTTGACCTGTTGCATTTGACGACATTGAGCTTTTCCTTCTCAGGGCTAACTCCTAAGGAAGAGAATTAGCATAATATCCTCTGTACAAAGAGGGCCAGTATCATCAAGTGCATTGAGGTTTCTGCTTAAACCTTTGGACTATGGTGTCAGGGACCAGGTAATTTAGAAGACTGCAGCCCACTACAAGAGCTATGGCTCATCAGAAAGTTCAAGCCTTGGCCAGGCGCGGTGGCTTACGCCTGGAATCCCAGCACTTGGGGAGTCTGAGGCAGGTGGATCACCTGTGGTCAGGAGTTCGAGACGAGCCTGACCATCGTGGTGAAACCTCGTTTCTACTAAAAATACAAAATGAGCTTTAACAACTAGCTATTAAAAATTAAAAGACGGTAATGAATTAAAACAGAATGCCTTAAAAAACAAAAACACCACAAAACTCCACAGCACTGAGTGGACCACTGAAAACCTGCCATGGGCAGGCTGGATGTACAGGCCCCAAATTTGTCAGCTTTTCATCTCCAAGGGCACGAATGCGATTGTGCTGCCGAACTTTCTCGCCTTTGAGAAACGCGTGTGTGTTTTTTCCCCTTTCATTCATTATTAGAATATTAGGTTTTAAATGGCACTGGCAAACAGCCACGTAAAATTTGTTATTTTAATAGAGAAAATCCCTTCAATCAAGGAAACGTGCAAATATCACTATGCCAACAACAGCAGTCTGACTAGGACAGACAGATAGGATACTGTCATCATTACCGTTTCAAAAATGACTTAACGCCCCTCAATTTCACATCCTTTGTTCAGGCAAGATCACACATGAGCTGCTGGACTTAACACAGTAATAAGAATAACGACTCCCATTTACTAGTAAGGAAACCATTATCATCCCCACTTTACGACTGACGAAAGAAGTACATAAAGGTTGGTGATATGATTGGCAATAGAGGACCCAGGCGTCCAAGCTCCAGGGTGCAAGGTCTCAACTCCTATTCCTTAGTTTCCTGGCGTCTAAGGTTATACCTCCCATAATAATGCCGTCCATTACTTACTCTAGAGTCCTCCTGCCTTGTTTTTCTTAACGTTTTACTTCTTCGCAAGCACATATTTTAAAAAGTTGTTTCTACAATTTAAAGTACAAAAGTAATACTGTACAGGAGTACGTCTTTGTAAAATATTCAAAGAAAATTAAATTATAGAATAAAACCCCGACCTCCTGCATTCCGGGCAGCGACGCTGGCGGGAATGACTTCAGAATTTGCACTGGATGGACAGCAAACATTTCCTCAAAACAGACCATGAAGCTTTCCACTTGAGAGCCCACTGTGGTCCCAATGCTTTTCCCAGCCGGTTTTCGCTCCTGCTCCAGGCTCCGCCTCCGCCGTGTCCGCGCTTCTCGCCCCGCCCCACACAGCAGCTCCGCCCCCGCTCGCTCCGCCCCCGGAGTTACTCCTCCGGCGTCGCTCCCTCAAAGCGGAAGTGAAGCCGGACTGAGGCTCCTACAGTGGTCCCTCCTGGCCTTTGGTGACGAGTCGCGTCAGTTCCGACCCGGACCCGTACGCTGCTGCGCTGACGTGGCTCCCGGAAGTAGGGCTGGCGTAGGGCCGCCATGTTGCAGCAGGTGAGGGGCTGAGGGCGCGCAGGGAGGATGGCGGCTCGTGGGATGGGCTCTGCAGTTTCCTGGGGACTGGAGTCCGCCTTCCCTGCGCCCACTACTCGAACTCGAGGAGGAGCGGGGCGGCCGGGAGTGGAAGGCTGTGGGTAGTTGTCTGAGGAGGGTAGCTGGGGGTTCTGAGGCCTCTGGAGGAGGCGTGACTGGTGCGGCGCCGAGCAGGTACTGCTTGCGGCTGTGGAGACGCCCGTTGTTGACCAGCCCGAGCGGGGGTCTCTTTTTCCTCAGCCCTTAGTGCGGGGGTGGAGGTGTGGAGTAGCGGCCTGCGGGCCTCTTAGATCCCTGACCCCCAGAGCTGCGATGCGATCTTGTAGGAATCGGCGACACCGCCAGAGCCTCGCTTTCAAGTTGCTGTTCCCAAACTAATGTTGTTGATGATTCTCTCTTGTGTGCTCTTAAATTGTAGTGCACATGTTGGCAACCGGAGACTAGTAAGATTAATTTAATAATCTCTTCTTCTTAGAAAAAAACGAGTATTTATAGTCACTTAGATTGTCTTACGTGTTTTTTTGTTTCGGCTCACACATAATTTATTGAGGGGTTACTATGACTCAGACATGGTTGTAGGCCCAGGGATAGGGCTGTGACCAGTACAGACAAGTTTTTTGCCCCTTATTTTCGGGTTAGAGAAGTGGGTTCTAGGAGATGGGAGTGGGGTGGGGAGACACGATAAATTATATAACCAAAGATATTTTCAGATAATTGCAAAGGCAGGGTGATGAAATAGCAAGTGTCTGAGGATAGGACAACGAAGATTTGTGGTCAGAAAAGACTGCTTATGAGGAGATGCCTTGAGTGGAGAAAATCTAATAATGGCTAAATTCAGCTATGTTACAGGAAAGGCGTCCTGATTCAGACCCCAAAAGAGGGTCCTTGGCTGGGCGCGGTGACTCACGCTTGTAATCCCAGCACTTTGGGAGGACGAGGTGGGTGGATCATGAGGTCAAGAGATTGAGACCATCCTGGCCAACTTGGTGAAACCCTGTCTGTACTAAAAATACAAAAATTAGTTGGGCGTGGTGGTGCATGCCTGTAGTCCCAGCTACTCGGAGGCTGAGGCAGGAGAATCGCTTGAACTGGGGAGACGAAGGTTGCAGTCAACCTCCACTGCATTCCAGCTTGGCGACAGAGGGAGACTTCCTCTGTCCCAAAAACGTTCTTGGATCAGGTGAGAAGGAATTCAGGGTGAGTCTGGAGTGCAAAGTGGCAAAGTGAAAGCAAGTTTATTAGGAAAGTAAAGGAATGGCTACTCCATAGAGCAGCCTGGAGGGCTGCTGGTGGCCCATTTTTATGGTTATTTCTTAGTGAGATGGTTAACAAGGGGTGGATTATTCATTCCTCCCCTTTTTAGAACATAGTAACTTCCTGATGTTGCCGTGGCATTTGTAAACTGGCATGGCGCTGGTGGGAGTGTAGTAGTGAGGACGACCAGTGGTCACTCTCGTGGCCGTCTTGGTCTTGGTGGGTTTTGGCTGGCTTCTTTATTGCAACCTGTTTTTTCAGCAAGGTCTTTATGGCCTGTATGTTGTGCCAACCTCATATCTCATCCTTTGACTTAGAATGCCCTGTCTGGGAATGCAGCCCAGTAGGTTTCAGCCTCATTTTACCCAGCTGCTATTGAAGATGGAGTTGTTCAGGTTCACATGCTTCTGACATCTGAACCTGGCACCCAGGCCGGATGAGGCTGGAGAAACACAACCATGCCGACTGTTCCCACTATTTATGTATTTATTTATTTATTCATTTATGAGATGGAGTTTCACTCTTGTTGCCCAGGCTGGAGTGCAATGGCGCGATCTCGGCTCACTGCAACCTCCGCCTCCCGCCTTCAAGTGATTCTTCTGTCCCACCCTCCAGAGTAGCTGGGATTACAGGCGCCCACCACCATGTCCGGCTAATTTTTGTATTTTTAGTAGAGATGGGGTTTCACCATGTTAACCAGGCTGGTCTTGAACTCCTGACCTCAGGTGATCCACCCACCTTGGCCTTCCAAAGTGCTGAGATTACAGGCGAGAGCAAGGCCTGTTCCCACTTGGTAAGTTTGTGATGCGAACCTCAGTCGAGCCCTTAGTGCTGCCAGGCGGTCATTCTCCGTTTCTATAGCCCCTTCACCCTCTCACCTTAGGCAACTATTAAAACTCAAATCTTCAACATTTCTTCTCTTATCCTCTCTCAGCTGGTAATGTTGCTTCTTGTTTCACTGAAAATGGAAGCCATTGGAAGACAATTTTCACACTAGCTGCCTATTTATTTGCATGTTTACTCATTGTCTCATATTCTTGTATGATAATTGGAGTGTCCGTGCTCCATTCTTAGGTCTTCCTGTCTGCTGTGTCCTGGTTTCCATCTCCTCTTGCCTACTGGAAGGCATTGTTCCAGTAATTCTCTTTCTTCCGTCGTCAATTTTTTGATCCTTTTAAATGTTTGTTCACATCGACATATAAACATGTTTTAATTTCTCTTACCTTAAAAAATGAAAACTTGACACCATATGCTCTTTGACTTGTCACCCCATTCTTTTTCCTTTAAAGACTTGTATCATATATACTTGTCTTTTAATTCTTCCATTCTCTCTTGTATTCATTCTAGTCAGCCTTTCTTCTCCTCTCCCAACCATACTGGAACTGAGGTCCCCGATGACCTGTTAAAAATACAGTGGCTGGCCGCGGTGGCTCATGCCTGTAATCCCAGCACTTTGGGAGGCCGGGGTGGGCGGATCATGAGGTCAAGAGATTGAGACCATCCTGGCCAACATGGTGACACCCTGTCTCTACTAAAAATACAAAAATTAGCTGGGTGTGGTGGCCCTTGCCTGTAGTCTCAGCTACTCGGGAGGCTGAGGCAGGAGAATTGCTTGAACCTGGGAGGCGGAGGTTGCAGTGAGCCAAGATCACGCCACTGCACTCCAGCCTGGCGACAGAGCGAGACTCCGTCTCAAAAAGAGAAGAAGAAGAAGAAGAAAAAATACAGTGGTCACTTTTTGGTTTTCATCTTACTTGTGAGCAGCATTTGACACAGATGATGGATCCTCCTCCTGGAGGCACTTCGTTTGGTTTCCAGGACACTACCCCCTCCTGGCTCACCTCATGTTCCTTGGTACTTCTTTTTCAGTCCCCACTGTGTATTCCTTCTTATCTTTGTGATCTCTAATTATTGGAATGCCAAGAATCTGTCTTAGCCGTCTTTATCTTTTTAGTTGTTCAGGACAAAAACTTTGGAATCTTCCTTGATTCCTTTTATTTACCCTTCCTCCACCTCCCCAGTCAACCCATCAGCAAATCCTGTCAGCTCTACCTTAAAATGTATTTGGGATCTATTTTTCATCACCTCCACTGCATCCATCCTAGACCACGCCATTACTTCTTGGCCTCGTGTTTGAAGTAGTTTTCTAACCAGTCTCCTAGCTTCGTGCCTTTGTCCCTCCTTCCTCTCCCCTACCCCTCCAGATTTTTACTACAGTAGCCGGAATTCTGTATTTAACAGATGAGTCAGAACATGCAGTCTTACAGTTAGAACACTCCAGTGGATCTCCCTCTCAATGCTTTTTGGTTTTAAAAATACTAGCATCTTAAAATGTCCAAAATCAAACTGCTGATTTTGCCCCGAAATCTTTTGTGTTTTCCCCATCTTAGTAAATGTACATTAGTAAATGTAACTCCAGGAGTGCAAAGCTATTTGTCTTTTTTTTTTTTTTTTAATCTGTACCACTTACAGCGGTACCTGGCACTTGGTAGGCACTCAGTATTTACTGAATAAATGAGAAGAAATCAGTCTTTCAAAGAGCAGGGTAAGAGAAGTGTTCTAAGTAGTATGAACCATAAGTGCAAAAGAACCTGATGGGGCCTAAATTTGGCATGTTTAAGGAACTGAAAAGAGGGCCAGCCTGGACATGGTGGCTCATGCCTCTAATCCTAGAACTTTGAGAGGCCAAGGCAGGAGAATTGCTTGAGCCTGGGAGTTTGAGACTAGCCTGGGCAACACAGCGAGACCCCATTTCTGCAAGAAATTAAAATATTAGGTATGGTGGCTTGCAGTACTCAGGAGGCTGAGATGTAGAGCCTGCAGTGGTGACCCCTGATTGCTCCACTGCACTCCAGCCTGGGCGAGAGCCAGACCCTGTCTCAAAAAAAAAAAAAAAAAAAAAAAAGAAAAGCCAGTCTGGCAGGAGCTTAGGTACTGTATAAATTTCCTATTGCTACTACAGCAGCAAATTCCTATGTACTGTTGTAAAGTTCTGGTGGTCAGAAGTCCAGAATGAGGCTCCAGGGGTTAAACATCAAGGTGTGGGTAGGGGTTCTGGAGAATGAGTTTCCTTACCTGTTTCAGCTTCTAAACACCTGGGATCCCTTCCCCATCTTAATGCCATCAGCGCAGCGTATTCGAATCTCTGTCTCTGATCCCTACTTTGCTTGTTTCATCACCTTCTCTGACTGACCTTCCTTTGTTTCTCTTGTAAGGACCTTTGTGATCACATCATCTGGCCAGCCTGGGTAATCCAGGGTAATCTCTTGACCTCAAGATCCTTAACTTAATCCCATCTGTGAAACTCTTTTTGCCAAGTAAATTCACATATTCACAGGTTCCAGGGATTAGAACCTAAACATCTTTGGCAGGGGTGAGGAGGTATTCAGCCTGCCATAGTTCATGAAGGGTGAGTGGCTGGAGATAAGGTCTTAGATATTGGCAGGTACCAGATCATGATAGATCATGATAGGGAGTCTGTTTTTCAGTCATAGTGCTGAGGGGTGTCAGTAGGGGAATGATATGATTTGATGTGAAAAAGTCTCCCCGGCTGCTGGATGGCGATTAGACTGTTGGGATCAAGAGCAGAAGGCCTCAGCTTTTTATTCATAACATCATATGGTGGATCTCAATCTTGGCTCTACATTGTGATCACACCTCAAAGCAGTTATATCTGAAACACAGGGCTGGACCCAATTATCAGCTTTTTTTTTTTTTTTTTTTTTTTTTTTAAATAGAGAATTCTAATTGTAGCGAAGGTTGAGAACCACTAGTCTCATAGATCTGAATCCATTTTACTTTTTCAGCCTTAGCTCAATAGGAGCTTCTCCCATCCGTCACTTATTGCATGGGCTACTTGGCCATTTCTTAGACAAACTTCCTGTATTCCCACCTGTGCCTTTCAAAATATACCTAGTCTAGGGAGGCCTATGCGGACTATCAGGGCCCAGCTGCTAAACTCACCTCCAGAAAACTTCTCCAGTGCCCTGTAGTAGGAATGATTTGCTTCCTTCCCCAGCTCCCATTTGTACTTAGATTTCTCAGCCCTGATCACAGTCAGCTGTATATTATAGCCTCCTTTGCTTATTTACTCATTCCTTCAACAAATATTGTATCACTTGGCTAAATGCTCTGCTAGACACCAGGATTTATTACAATGCAAAGACAGTCCTGGTTGGGCGTGGTGGCTCACACCTATAATCCCAGCACTTTGGGAGGGTGAGGTGGGCGGATCGCTTGAGGTCAGGAGTTTGAAACCAGCCTGGCTAACATGGTGAGACTCTGTTTACTAAAAATACAAAAATTAGCCAGGCTAATTAGCTGAGATGCACTCCTGTAATCCCAACTACTGAGGAGGCTGAGGCACTAGAATCACTTGAACCCAGGAGGTGGAGGTTGCAGTGAGCCGAGACCATACCACTGTACTTCAGCCTGGGCGACAGAGCAAGACTGTTTCTCACACACACACACACAAAAGACCTTGTCCTCCAGGTCTTCCAGCAGTTTATATATGGAGGTAGGAGTGGGTAGACTTGCAATAAGAATACTCCGAGATAATTGTTCAAATGGAGATTTGTCCAAGTGCTGTAGGAACATGGGGTTTTCAGAGGCAGGTTTTCAGCTATTTCAGTTTTTGAGCTAAAAAACTTGAAGGATGATTTGGTATTTGCCTGGTGGTGAGCAGGGCATGGGGAAGGGAAGAGTTTTCTGAGACAACATGTGAAAGGCAGGGGATGGGAGAGAGATTGCAGTGTTTCTTAGAGACCATGTAGTTAACAGTATTGCTTCAGTGCTGAACAGTGCTCAATGAAGACAGTGTCAGAAGCAAGTATGGGGCATTAGATTCTGTGATCTTCTATGCTTTATGTGAAGGAGTTAAATTTTATCCTATACTTGTAGGGATGCCATTGAAAAATTTGAGCAGTAGAGTGACATGGTATGATTTCCATATTGGGAGGATTGCTCTGGGTAATGTAGAGGAGAGGCTGGAATAGAGAGGGATAAAGACAGGGAGGCTGTTGAGTGGCACTAGGAGAGGAACAGGAGCAGGTTCGTTGTCGTTGAGGGGAATTGCAGTGAATTGAGGTGTGAACCACTCTTAGAAGCCTAAGGTTATGGGGCCGGACATGGTGGCTCACGCCTGTAATCCCAGGACTTTGGGAGGTCAAGGCGGGTGGATCACAAGGTCATGAAATCGAGACCATCCTGGCTAACACAGTGAAACCCTGTCTCCACTAAAAACATGCAAAAAATTAGCCGGGCTTGGTGGCACACGCCTGTAGTCCCAGCTACTTGGGAGGGTGAGGCAGGAGACTCGCTTGAACTGAGGAGGCAGAGGTTGCAGTGAGCTGAGGCTGTGCCACTGCACTCCAGCCTGAGCGACAGAGCAAGACTCCATCTCAAAAACAACAACAACAACAAAAAAACAGGCTAAGGTTGTAAAAGGAAGCAATGCTTTGGGAAGGTAGAGGATTGAAGGGGAGATTCAAGATCAGGGTTCTTAAAATCTTTTTTGCCTAATAAGTGGCCTTGAAGAAGTTTATATGCATATGCTGATTAGAAAGATTCAGTAGAGGCCGGGCTTGGTGGCTCATGCCTGTAATCCCAGCACTTTAGGAGGCCGAGGCAGGCAGATCACCTGAGTTCAGGAGTTCAAGACCAGCCTGGCCAACATCGCTAAATCCCGTCTTAACTAAAAATACAAAAATTAGCTGGGCGTGATGGCACTCACCTGTAATCCTAGCAACTTGGGAGGCTGAGTCTGGAGAATCGTTTGAACCCAGGAGATGGAGGTTGCAGTGAGCCAAGATCATGCCATTGCACTCCAGCCTGGGTGATGAGCAAAACTCCATTTCAACAACAACAACAAAAAAGAAAGATCCAATAGATAGACTTGAAGGTAGAAGAAAATGTAAATAAAGGGGAAAATGATGAAACAAGTCCCAGAGGAGGCATGAAAAGAAGTTATTCTGAGCACAAATAATTGGTTTAGCCTTGGATAAGAAGAGAAGGAGTTGTGAGAAGGGATCATGGAACTAAGGATGCAGTCAGATGATTTTGTGAAGGAGCCAGAAACCTTGAGATTATCCCTAGTAGCCTCGGCTTGCTCTGTGACTTGGGAGAGAACAGGTGAGGATAGGTGTTAAGTTTGTAGTAGCATTATCTGCACCCCAGAGTTTTCTCAGAAAGTGCAGCCTAGGGGCAGGAATGGAGCAGCTGAGACTTGGATTATTACCTGGGGTTTTTGCCAGATGATTTGAGGAGGATGGGATGGAGGATCTGCATGTGTCCTTTTCCTAGGTTTTGAATTCCTGATGCTGTAACCACATTATTTTATCTTCTATTTTGATGAGTATGCAGTTTTGCATGCAGTGACTGTGTAAACACTGAATATCCTTTTGCTTCTTGACCATTTATTTTTCCTACTAGGATAGTAATGATGACACTGAAGATGTTTCCCTGTTTGATGCAGAAGAGGAGACGACTAATAGACCAAGAAAATCCAAAATCAGGTAGGAGGAGAAGTTGCATGAACTGTGTTAGTGTCCAGTGCTGTTCTGTATGTATGTCGTCGTTTCGCTGTGCTTGTGAATACTGCCTGTTGCTAGTTTGACAACATGCAGTATTTAGTGTAAGACCAAGATGACATTTCAGATTTTCTTGTGAATAATTGGCATATGGAATTTTACTTAATACTGAGTTTTAAAATTAGCAAATCCAATTATTTGAACACCTGTGTTTTAATTCTGTGCTGTTTTCCAAGAATGTACCATTTCTTCATATAGTTTCTATAGATACATTACATTTTGATTTATTGTGCACATTTCAAAATCACTTGACATTTCTATTCTAAATTTAATTCTCTCTAAAGAAATTCACTTACTGAAAGCAGATTCTACCTGAACCCTGCTAAAATGCTGTTTTTCACTTTTCTTTCATCTTTCATGCCAGTCACAAAAGACCACATATTGTGTGATTTCATTTGTATGAAAAGTCCAGAATAGGCAATTCTGTAGAGACAAGATAGATTAGCTGTTGCTAGATACTGAGGGGTTTGAAGGTAAATGGGGAATGACTGCCAGTGGGTACAAAGATTCTGTCTGGGGTAATGAAAAGTTGTAAAATTGATTGGAGTGATGGTTGTACAACTCTGTGAATGTACTACAAACCATTAGATTGTTTACCTTAAGTAAGTAAATTGTATGATATGTGAATTATGTCTCAAAAAAGGTGTTAAAAAACAAGAAACAGGCTGGGTGCAGTGGCTCACACCTATAATCCCAGCGCTTTGGGAGGCCGACGTGGGTGAATCACGAGGTCAGAACTTTGAGACTATCCTGACTAACACGGTGAAACCCCCCTACACTAAAAAAAAATACAAAAAATTAGCTGGGCGTGGTGGTGGGCGCCTGTAGTCCCAGCTACTCAGGAGGCTGAGGCAGGAGAATGGTGTGAACCTGGGAGGCAGAGTGCAGTGAGCCGAGATCGTGCCACCACACTCCATCCTGGGCGACAGAGCGAGACTCCATCTCAAAAAAAAAAAAAAAAAAGAAAAGAAAGAAGCAAAACAAGAAACTACCTGATAACTTTGTCTTAATTTCTGAAGTGATTTCTGAGGGCTAAGGAATTCTTTTGGCATGATTTGAAAATATGATTCAGATTCTAAGATATAGTTTCCTTATTTCTCCAAGTGAGGTAAAGTTCTTTATTATATATTTTGTGAAAGTTTATATTCAACGAAGTGTTAAAGTCATCTGTGCATAGTGTATTTTCTGTGACAACAGGGCCTAGTCAAATAGTGGGACTTAAGAAAAAGCGAGGTAGGACGTTTGCTTTCTTCTAAAGTCATCTCTTATTTTGACAAAACTCTTCACATTTACACCACGGCTAAAACATTTTTTCTCTACATTTGCTAGTACCTGTAGTAAAATGTAATTGCATATTGTGTTTTGGTTTTCAGACATCCAGTAGCATCATTTTTCCACTTATTCTTTCGAGTCAGTGCAATCGTCGTCTATCTTCTCTGTGAGTTGCTCAGCAGCAGCTTTATTACCTGTATGGTGACAATTATCTTGTTGTTGTCGTGTGACTTTTGGGCAGTGAAGGTAATTTTGATTGTTTTTATTTGAAAATTATATTTAATATGAAAATGATATATAAAATAATGAGAGCATTTTGCATTAGTATTAATCTTTTGTTACTTCAAACCTTGTCTGTGTTAAAGTGCTAGATATATCAAATTGCATGTAGATTTTTTTTTTCATTTTTTCCCTTTGACAATACAAGATGAGACATGTAGGTTACTGTGCTGCTGATTTTTCTGTGCCATATTCTAACCTACATCAGCTTCAAAGTCAAATAAACAAATGTGACTAGCAATCATAGACCCTACAATGTTGCTTCTAATCCATACCATGGGTTTTGCTTCAGGCTTACCTGTAGGTGTGCTGTATATAATTTCTAGATAAGGCCCCAGTGTAGGTTGTCCACAAATACTTAAAAAATACCTACCTTTTGCAGAAGCTCCTATGGATGCTTTAGGGCAGTGTTTCTCAAGCTTGCCACCCACTGAATATTTGTCAGTGTCCAAATATTGGAGGTGGGAGGAGTGTGCTATTGACATCTAGTGGATAGAGGGCAGATATGCTGCTAAATATCCTAACACACAGGACAGCCCCCTGCAACAAAGAATTACCCAAAATGTCAGTTGTGCCAAGGTCGAGACACTCTGCTGTAGGGGATAGAAAGGAGTGTAAGAAATGGTTTTAAACTCAAGAACAATGATTAGAGAGATGGATGGATGGATAGATAGGTACATGGATAAATAGATAATCAAGTAAGCATAATAAAATATTAAATATGGACTCTAGATGATATTTGGGTATTCGCTGTAAAATTTAACTCTGTATGTTTGAAAATATTCATAGTAAAATAGTGGAGAAAAAAAATCAAAGGCTAATTTTGGAGTTTCAGAGACATATACTGATTCAAAGACCAGTAAGATGTTACAACCCTATTCATACCCACCAATGTATCCATTTTTAGATCTTTTAATTCTTGTTTTTTTTTTTTTTGAGATGGAGTTTCACTCTTGTTGCCCAGGCTGCAATGGCATGATCTTGGCTCACTCACAGCAACCTCTGCCTCCTGGGTTCAAGTGATTCTCTTGCCTCAGACTCCCGAGTAGCTGGGATTACAGGCATGCACCACCATGCCTGGCTAATTTTTTTGTATTTTTAATAGAGAGTGGGTTTCTCCATGTTGGTCAGGCTGGTCTCGAACTTCTGACCTCAGTGGATCTGCCCGCCTCGGCCTCCCAAAGTGCTGGGATTACAGGCGTGAAACACCGCGCCTGGCCATCTTTTAATTCTTACAGATATCAGAAGTGGTTGGCTTGGTGATGGCCAGTTTCCATAGGCCACATAATGCCGAGAAGGAAGATTTCAAAGGTCTGTTTTCTTTAGGTTTTTCTTTTGTTCACTCTTCTTTGGCTTGCATTTATTTGAATATCTTCTGTTACTTTATGCTCTAAAGTATTTAGTACATACCTACTCACAGTTTTGATATGCGTTTCTTTTTGTTGTTCATAAAATTTCTATTCAGCCAAATAGAATATGCTTTCCAGTCAGATCTTCCTGGTAATTTCCAAACTCTTAAAATTTTTCTGGGTTTAGAGTTTTAAAAAATGTGATCAAAATAGTTTATTTTCTGATAAGGTTTTGTTTTGTTTGTTTTTGTTTTTTTGTTTTTAAACAAGGGCTTAAAAAATGGCACCCTTTTATCCTTGGCAAAATTGTAGATAGCCAAACAATGGAGATATGAAGCAAAATTAAGAAGTCAAGAATAGGTAGGTTATTAAGTGGACTTCGGATAAGCAGGGTTCTGAAACAGTTAAAATAGAGATGTGTCATAATTGTTATAAATCTCAATGTACTTACTAAAAAAACAAAAAAGCAATCTTTATCTAAACCCCCAGGTGTCCAATCTTTTGGTTTCCCTGGGCCACAGTGGAAGAAAGAATTGTCTTGGGCCACACATAAAATACACTAACATTAGCTGATGAGCTTAAAAAAAAAAAAAATCACACACAAAAAAATCTCATAATGTTTTAAGAAAGTTTACGATTTTCTCGGCCAGGTGGTGGCTCATGTCTGTAATCTCAGCACTTTGGGAGGCCAAGGCGGGCGGATCACGAGGTCAGGAGATCGAGACCATTCTAACATGGTGAAACCCCGTCTCTACTAAAAATACAAAAAAAATTAGCCGGGCATGGTGGCGGGCGCCTGTAGTTCCAGCTAACCTGGAGGCTGAGGCAGGAGAATGGCGTGAACGCGGTAGGCAGATCTTGCAGTGAGCTGAGATCGCGCCACTGCACTCCAGCCTGGGCAACAGAGTGAGACTCTGTCTCAAAAAAAAAAGAAAGTTTATGAATTTCTCTTGGGCCACATTCAAAGCTGTCCTGGGCAGCATGAGGCCTGTGGGCAGAGGGTTGGATAGGCTTGCCCTAGGTGATGTTAATGAAGATAAAGAAGAGGTAGAGAACGGAAAATAATTTAAACGCATGTTTAAATGCTAAAGCTTATATTGGTTTTTATTTTATTCTTCACTCTGACAAATTGAGTAAAAAAGGTTAAATAATGGTTTTAAAAATTTAATGACAACTATTAGTAAAATTTAAAACAAGTCATGTATCTTCTGAAACATAAGAGAAGATGGAACAAGTAAAACAGTTCATAGAGCAAAAGAAGGAAAACAAAGCAAGTGTCAAGGAAGCTTAAATCAGAAAGCACATGTATAAGGTGATGTAAGTAATGCAAATTCATTATTATAGTGAATGTAATTTGATTAATATACCCATTTAAAGACAAGAATATTAAGATCGGGTCAGAAATCAAAGTCCAAACAAAAGATCTAACCAAATTAATGACATTAGAAAAAATAAAAGAAGGCAAAGATAACATCAGATCAACTCAAACCAAAAGAAACTTGGCATTGTATGATTATCAGATGAGATATGAATCAGAATAAGCACAAAGAGGAACAAAAAAATGTCATTTTATGAATCACAGTGAAGATCATTCAGAGTAAAATTATATCACACTATGTATTAAAAAAATTAGAAATATTAGAAGATAGAAAGCATTACGATAAGTCTAACAAACTACAATCTTTAACAAACCAAAGTGCCAAAAATAACTAAGGTCTGAAGGATCTGAATGAAATAATTAGCAACATCAATTTAATAGCAGTTTTTGGGACTTTGTATGACAGAATACTTTCTTGTAAAGTGCCTGTGGAGCATTTACAAAGATTGACTAAATATCACTGTGAAGAAAATCGAAATAAAATTGCCCAGAGCACCTACATTTTCTAGTCCAATGAAACAGAACTAGAAATTAATAGAAAGTGGTTGTCAAAATTGGAATTCTTTGTAAAAAACCAACTGTTATGTAATTGGGTTTAAAAGGAATCAAAAAACTGTAAATATAGGTTATTTATACCTTAATGGTGATCATTTACAGTCAAGCTTTCTGAATATGTCAAAAACTGAATTCAGAGGGAAAATAATAGAAAGAGGGAAAATAATGGACTGCTTGAATCCAGTTTCAAAAATAAGCAATAGGCCTGAGAAATTAGGAAAATAAGCTAATAAAGATAAAAGCAGGAAAGGGTTGGAAAATGGGAACGTGGAAGAGTTTGAAAGTATTCTGAGAGCATTCTTTGAAAATACCTCTGGTTTAGATCTCCCTTGCCAGCCCTTTTTTTTTTTTTTTTTCCACTTAACATCTCTCCCGTAGAAATTTTGGTTTCATAAGACTCTTCCTTTTCTTCTGTATTCCTTTCCTAAGGAGTGCCATCTGTGCTTCTGGTTTTGATTGCTGATCTGTAAGCTGTGTTGCCTCCCAGATCTGTATCTCCATTCAGGTTTGTCTTCACAACTCAAGGCCTCTCCATGTGTCTTCTTCACGTTTTTATGTGGCTGTCTTGAAGGCATCTCAGATCTTTTTTTTTGAGGTGAAATCTCGCTTTGTTGCCCAAGCTGGAATGCAGTGGTGCGATCTCGGCTCACTGCAACCTCCGCCTCCCGGGTTCAGGCGATTCTCCTGACTCAGCCTCCTTGGTAGCTGAGACTACAGGCATGTGCCACCATGCCTGGCTAATTTTTGTATTTTTAGTAGAGACAGGGTTTCGCTATGTTAGCTGGTCTTGAACCCAAGTGAGCCACCATGACTGGCCAGGCATCTCATATCTTAACATGTGTAAAATACTACTTGTCATCTTCCACTCCCCAAAAACTCTTCTTCTTTAAGTGTTCCCTTTCACGGGGTCTGGAATCACTACTTTTTTTACTTGAGCAAACCAGAAATGTATCAGTTGCCTCCTTCCTACTCCATATCTTATTAATGACCAAGTCCCATAAATCCATAGATTATACTTTATTCATTAGGGCGTCAGTGCCTACTACTCTATCTGGAATGCTCTTCTTGCTCCCACATCACCTTAAGACAGGGATTCCTAATCTTTTTATGCCATGGGCCCCTTTCATAGACCATGATAATGTTTTCACGTATATAAGGTACATAAGATTACAAAGGAAGTCACTTATATTGAAATATAATTTAAAAATATTAAAAAAGTAAATTTTTGATTGAGTGATATGTGTAGTAGTCCCCCCATTATCTGAGGTTTCACTTTCTGTGGTTTCAGTTACTGTAGTACGCTATACTAAACAGTAAGATATTGCATGAGGAGAACCACATTCACATAAATTTTATTAGATTATGTTGTTATAATTGTTCTATTTTTATTTCTTATTAATCTCTTACTGTGCCTTACTTATAAATTAAACATTATCATAGGTATGTATGTATAGGAAAAAATATAGCATATATAGGGTTTGGTATTATCCACAATTTCAGGTATCTTCTGGGGGTTTTGGATTGTATACCCTGCAGATAAGGGAGGACTACGATACTTTATACATTTATTAATGGTAAGATCTAGTGGCAGGTCTAATAACTACTTTCACAGCAGTAGTGAGCATAAACAATATTTTGAGATAACTGCAGCAAGTATAGTATGAAATGAAAAATGTCTGTGGTTTCTATTGTGTCAGGGTGTTTTTAATTTTATCTATATTCGTAGTTTGTTGTCTCCATTAATAATTTAAAGATATGCTAACTACTTTCAAAGCAGTGGTGAGCCTAAACAGTATTTTGAGGCTGGGCGCGGTGGCTCACTCCTGTATTCCCAGCACTTTGGGAGGCTGAGGCCGGTGAATCACCTGAGATTAGGAGTTCAAGACCAGCCTGACCAACATGGATAAACCCCGTCTCTACTAAAAATACAAAATTAGCTGGGCGTGGGGCGCATGCCTGTAATCCCTGCTACTTGGGAGGCTGAGGCAGGAGAATCACTTGAACCTGGGAGGCAGAGGTTGCAGTGAGCTGAGATCGCCCTATTGTACTCCAGCCTGGGCAACAAGAGCAAAACTCCATCTCAAAAACAAAAAACAAAACAAAACAAAAAAAACCTACAATATTTTGAGATAACTGTAGCAGGTATAGTACAAAATAAAAAAATGTCTGTGATTTCTGTTTCGTCAGGGTGTTTTTAATTTTACCTACATTCGTAGTTTGTTGTCTACATTCATAATTTAAAGATACGTTAAATTTCAGCCAGAGGTTAATGGAAATGAAGATAACATTTTTTTTACCCATCGAAGTTCACAGAACCACTGAATCTATTAGTGGACATCATTAATTAAACATCCCCGGTACTATTGATTCTTATTTATTCTTTAAATTTCATTCCAAATGTTGATTCCTCAGAGAGTCATTTTCTGATACCCAGACTAGATCAAATTTCGCTGTTATACTCTTCAATCATCCCACACTTTTCCCTTGCAGGACTTTACCTCAGTTGATAATGGTACATTTGTACATTGGTTGTCTGCTTCCTCTTCACCTCTTTCTCTGAGAAAAGAGATGGATCTGTTAGTCACTGTTGTATTACCAGCACATAGTAGATGCTCAGTAAATATTTGTTGAGTAAATAAACATTAGGAAAGCTATCAAAGGAATTTGTTACCTTAGTAAGTAGGAAAAGAGCTTGGTACACTTGAGAGACTGACTGAAGGCTAGTGTATATAACCATTTTTGGGGATATGTAGTTGTAAAATATATGTAGCTATAGTCAGGATGTAAGGTAGGTCACAGTAACCAAATAGCAAGGAGTTTAGGGAAAATTAGGGAACGGGAGAAAGGGCAAATTGTTCATGAGGGAAAAGAGAAGGGGTAATGTTTATGGGTAGACTTGTGGCTTGCTCTGTTACCTCTACCTTTACTAGTACTGCCATTATCATTTTACTTAATCATTTAGCCAGGCCTGATATATAGTAGTCTTTGCTAACTGGATATTATGAAGGTAAAGCTGAAGGTTTTTGTGTGTGAAATGTTACACTAAGATATGAGCTGATGATAGATCTTTAAATAATGCTTTTAAAATGTGCCTGTTTACATTAACCTTCACCAGAATGTCACAGGTAGACTAATGGTTGGCCTACGTTGGTGGAATCACATTGATGAAGATGGAAAGAGCCACTGGGTATTTGAATCTAGAAAGGTAAAGTGCCTTTTTTGTTTTAAATAGTGTTATCAGCTAAATTATTTGTAGATTATATTTAAATATTAGAAGATGAAGTATTCAGAATTGAAAACACTTAGCAAATCACTTGGCATGTCAGTACTAAAGGAGATGGCCTTCTAGAATTTAATGCATTTTTCTGTCTAGTTCAGACCAGAAACAAGCAATACACAGAACAGAATCCTTTGAGGAAAGACGCTGGGTCAGCGTTTATACAGTGTGCTAAGCTGCCTGCCAGGGACTGCTGATAAAATACCTCTGTGTTGCCTTCGTTAGTATCTCCATGAATCCCTCTATGCCCAGCAGATAACTGCTTTCAACATCTTGTTCTGTCTTTGCTCCTGTGGTCGTCTTTCCTTTCTGGGCAGGAAAAAGGAGGAGGAGGAGTGCAACTGGATAGAAAAGCTGATCAGAGCACTCTATTCTTCAAACTTCTGCCTTCAGGAGCCCTGGGGGTCCCGGTCTGTTTTGGGTTAGCCTGCTACAGTATAGTGAATATTCACTTTCCTCATGGAAATAAGTTTTGGAAGCAGAGGACCAAATTCTTGGCGACAGTACATCAAGGGTATTGACAAGTTATTTTAAGAAAGTGGCACTGTGTTCAATGAGCCTGTATTCTTTTATATTATGGAATCTACCTTGGACACAACTTACTACCCTTGTAAATTCCTGGGTATTGCTAAGACATTTTGATAATTGTCTTGAATCCCTTAATTCCATTTTTTTCCCCCTCTGGATGCTAATTTGACCTTTTAGTCTCCAGAATGATTATAACTGTGATTTCCTTGATCCTTAGTCAGAAAGGTATCATTTAGAGCTTCCTTATGAATAAGTAGTACAAGTGCAAGAAGAATTGAATAGAAGCCTATCAGAGACCACTCTTTACTCTCATGTGTTGTGGTAAACCATCCATCCTGTCCTGAAAATGCAAAATGCAAAATTCTTGAGTTAATATAGATCAGTTCCTAAAATTACAAGAGTGGAAGTCATGTTTTTTTGGCTTCTGACTTAGGACTTGGGCTGTCTGTATTAATATTTGAACTTGTGAGTAATATGTTTTTTATTAAACATGTTGAACTTTTTATTGATAAATCTCACAACATGATAATTGAATTTATGTTCTTTTATAGGAGTCCTCTCAAGAGAATAAAACTGTGTCAGAGGCTGAATCAAGAATCTTTTGGTTGGGACTTATTGCCTGTCCAGTGCTGTGGGTGATATTTGCCTTTAGTGCACTCTTCTCCTTCAGAGTAAAATGGTTGGTGAGTATCAATGTAGAACTTTCAAATAATCCATTAAGATGTCTGATGGTAATCATAGGAAGCAACAACCGAGTCCTTATCATTAGGGATGTGTGAAATTTTTTCACACAATATTTACTGATATCAGGTATATTTTGACCTTAATTATGTTTTTCCTCCTAATTTGTAGTATTTTTTTTAGTTCTGTTTTGTGATACAGGTTCTTTTTTTCTTTGTGTGTGCTCATACATTCATACTTCTTTGGATTTGGAAACTTACTATCTTTTTCAGTTCTTCTAGTAGTTACCTTTAATTACTTTATATCATTACCCTCTTTCATGAATTAGGAAATTTATTCAATATTTGTAGATTTCCTGCTCTGGAAAATGGGAAAGTTTACACTCATATGATTTCTTTAACTTCTCCCTGCTCCTACCTCTAGAGTTTTGCTTATTGTGGTCTTATTTTAGTCCTTGTAGTGGTTTTCTTTGTAACATTAATTAATGTACTTTAAACCTGTTTATTGACTTAATAGACTCTGTTTAGAAAGGGAAGAAAATAAACACTCATATTCCTTCCTATGAGTCTCCTCCTTTCTTTCTTGTTTGTTCCAGTGTTATTTTTGTGTTACCAAGTATTATAATAGTTATCTTTTGAAAACATATTTCTTAGTGGGTGTTCAGTCTTTGATCTGTTTTTTAAAAAAATCGATTCACCAGTCTTACTGCAGCTTTTCCTTTTACTTATTGGTTGGTTAAATTTTCTTTTGACTCATGTTTAAACATATGAGCCTATTGACCATTCTTGAATGATGACCTGGCTGGATTAATATTCTTGGGTCACAGTTTGTTTCCGTTTGGAAGATGCTATTCCATCATTTTCTTATATTGAATATTTTGGAGAGGTCTGAGGCCAGGCTTACTTAACCTTTGTAATCTCTCCCCATAAGGTTTTGTTTTGTTTTTTTTAGTTCGTGTAACCCGGATGTATCTGTATTTATCTTTCCATATCAATTTTCTGGAGCCTGTGTGCCTTTCTGAGACAGGCAGACTAAAGTTTTACTTGGAATCAGGAAAATTTTTTTTTTGTTAAATCTTTGCATTTATTTATGTTCTATGTTTTGACCTTTAATTTTGAAGTATTAGTTATGTCTATGTTGGATCATTTTTATTTGTTCTCGTCTACTATTTTCTTGTTGCTGTAATTATTCATTTCCTTATTTATTCAGCAATTTTAAGAGTTCACTGTTATGTCAGAGCGGCCTGGGGACACAGGGGCATAAGTTAGGGGACAGGTAAACAAGATGACTGTTCCAGTAGAGCTTGTGTTCTAGTGGAAGGTAGACAGACAGTAAAAAATACAGTAGGGTATGTTACTTAATGATACAAAGTAATGGGGTAGAGAGGGCAGAGGAGAGAACAGTAACTATTTTAGGTGCTCAGCTAAGGCTTCTCTCTGTATTTCCTTAGCTTTGTCAGCTCCGTTTTCATCTCCTGTTATCTCATCCTCATGCTTTTTGAGTTCTTATCTTTAGATTTTTCTATAGGGTGAAATATTCCCAGGAATGCTTTTATTTTGATGGTTTTTTTTTTCTTTCTGAGTAGATTCTTCACCTATCTTCTGTATACTGTGCTTCTTTTTTCTTTTTTTGCTATAGTTTTGCATAAATGCACTTCCCTTTGTCCTTATCCATTTTGCTTATCCTTACAGTGACAGCCCTTTCCAGCCCTTCTCTTTCTGCTGGTTTAGTGAGGGTGAATCTTCCTTGACCACCTTCCCCTGATGTCTGAGGCATGTGGCTGCTGCTCTGAGCTGGAATTGCGGTGCTGGGTTTGGTGGCATTAAGACACAGGTGTGAGGTGCGAGGTGGAGACCTCGCCAGGCTCTGGCTGTCTTGGCTGGGCTGCCTGGTTTTGCGTTCTCTTCCTTAGTGGAGCTCTTGTCTCCTGGTTGGCTGTGCACTCTCTGGTTTTTCCCTTCTGCTTTGGATTGTTTATGAGACCTTGGAGTTTTAGCATCCATCCAGGAGAGTCAGCCCAGTCTTTTTCTAGCAGTGTTTCTACTTCTTAAAACAAAACAGGGAGACGTTATGTGAAAGCCAGTTTGATCCTGTGTTAACCTACTTATGCCTAGTGTTCCATTATTGGAACGCTAAGCATATAGGAGTTATTTATATCCTACTGCTCAAGGTCATCAGCAAGGTCTGATTTTTCACTCATGCAAAAATTTACAAAATTGCAACCTACAGCATAAATGGGTTAAGACTGCTGGGTATAGTGGCTCATGCCTGTAATCCCAGCACTTTGGGAGGGCCGAGGCGGGCAGATCACTAGGTCAGGAGATCGAGACCATCCTGGCTGACATAGTGAAACCCTGTCTCTACTAAAAATACAAAAAATTAGCATGGTGGCAGGCACCTGTAGTCCCGGCTACTCGGGAGGCTGAGGCAGGAGAATGGTGTGAACCCAGGAGGCGGAGTTTGCAGGGAGAGATCGTGCCACTGCACTCCATTCTGGGCGATAGAGCGAGACTCCATCTCAAAAGAAATAATTAATTAAAAATAATAAAAATAAATGGGTTAAGACCACAGGACAGGAAGGGGCTTCACCCAGGCTCTCCATGAGTCTCCCACCTTCTCACTTCTCTTAAGATGATCAGCTCTCATGATTATTGATGCTTCTGTGCTTCCTCTCCTGCCTTCTTCCCACTTGGTGGCACCACTATGGCCAGCTGCAGGGATTTTCCTGCCTTTTTGGGCCGTTGTTAGTTGGGAGGAGTTTCTGTTGTCATGGCTATTTCTGCATTTTTTTTCTCGGGTCTTTTGCTTTTCTGTAAGTTGCTGGGGATGGCAATTATTAGTGAAATCTTCCTTAGAGCTTCTTTGGAGAGTGTGGAGCTGTGTAGAGCTGCTCCAGGCTGGCTCTTCGGCCACCAGCCCTTTTTTATGTTTGTTGGTATTAGTTTATTTGCGTTTTTAAAAACGCTGTTTGCTGTTTATACCTTAAGGGGAGGAAGATCTTCATGCCTGACTTTACTGCACCATCTTAAACCAGAAGTTTAACTTACAGATTTTAACATTTGTTGCCATTGAGTAAATTGATGCCTTAGCAGGACCTGTGATTGGTCTGTGAATTCAGGTGTACCCTGGCATGATATACATACCCAGCAGCGCCACTATTTGAGAAGCATGGGAAGTTAAAAGGACATTTATTCAAATAAAGACACAGTTTTATGTTTATGTAGGTAACTAGCAACCTCTTATTACACTAACACGTTTAATTCCATGAAACATAAGTTTAGAACAGAAAGTACCACCTCCTCGTCTTTTACTAGGAATGTGAACCTGTTCATTAATCAAACATTTAAATCTATTAATTAAACATTAAAATCAGCCATACATCTTGTTAAGGGTAAGGAGAATAAATCTAGATTGGAAAAAGACATTTCATTGAGCTCCTTTGCTTGTCACAGATATAAAAGAGTAGAATGGTCGATGAGCTGTTTATTCCAGAACAAGGGTTGGCAAACTATGGCCTGCAGACCACATTCAGCCTGACACCTGTTTTTGTAAGTTTTTATTGAAAAACAGCCTTGCGCATTTATATATCATCTATGGCTGCCTTTGGATTAGAACATTAGAGTTGAGTAATTGTAACAGAGACCGTATGATCTAAAATATTTATGATTTGGCCCTTTACAGAAGAACTTTGCTGATCACTGTATTAGAATCTTTAACCCTGGGAATTCCTCACATTGTCTTAATTTTTCTAATTGAGATTAATTAGAAATTTTTAAAGAATGGGTTTTGAGTTTCTTTTTCTCACTTCTCATTGATCCTAGTGGGATCACCATAGGTGAGAAAAAGAAACTCAAAGGAACAAACAGCTCTGCAAAACTACAGTTCCCCTTGGAGCTGTCTCCCTTCTCAGTTAAGGCAGGCTTCTGTTGATTGCTCCCTTAGGGCATTGCATCCCCTCTACTAGAAGCCAGTTGTCACATAGAGCAGAGATTCACCCCTGCCTGCTCTCAGTTTATTGGACTTGATCTACCTCTTGACTGTTCTTTTGTAATTCTTACAGGAATAATTAACATTTGAGCCTTTCCTGAGTCTCATTTACTTTTCCTAACTTTACTCACAGACCAGTGGGAAACAGAGAGTAAGAAGGCTCCCCCTTCACTGCATGCCCAGCAGCTAGTATGTGCCTGGCACATAGAGCGGTTGTGTTCAGTAAATACCTGCTGGGTGAATGACTCGTGCCTTGTGCAGAGCGTCTATCAGTTGGGTCTATTCTGGCAGCTGTCTCTGGAAAAGTCTCACTGGCACAATCATGGCTTTGCAGAGCTTCCTCTTCCCTCTCTTTCTCATGACAATCTGCCTTGTCTCATTTATGGCACAGAGAAAGGTCGATTTCAGGCCAGTAACCACTGATTATTTTTTCCCTTGTCCCAGGCGGTGGTTATCATGGGTGTGGTGCTACAAGGTGCCAACCTGTATGGTTACATCAGGTGTAAGGTGGGCAGCAGAAAGAATTTAACCAGCATGGCTACTTCATATTTTGGAAAGCAGTTCTTACGACAAGTAAGTGTTTTCTGGATGTGATCAGTAACTGATGCAATTATTTCTAATCTTTTTTTTTAGACGGAGTCTTGCTCTGTTGCCCAGGCTGGAGTGCAGTGGCGCAATCTCGGCTCACTGTAAGCTCTGCCTCCCGGATTCACACCATTCTCCTGCCTCAGTCCCCCGAGTAGCTGGGACCACAGGCGCACGCCACCACGCCCGGCTAATTTTTTTGTATTTTTACTGGAGACGGGGTTTCGCCTTGTTAGCCAGGATGGTCTTGATCTCCTGACTTCATGATCCTCCCACCGTGGCCTCCCAAAGTGCTGGGATTACAGGCGTGAACCACCGCACCCGGCCCATAGTTTAATTTTTATGAAATGCTCCTGAACAGAAGTTTTTAAAAGGCATTTAGTTATTTAAATATAAAGATAAAGATGTTTTAATTGCTCTTTGGGGGTGTTCAAGACATTCTGGAAGTGTATTATCAGTATCCTAAAATTATTTTAAAGCCAGGAAGGATAAACTACCATTGATAATAACTTATTTTTTAAAAATTACTTTTAAGTTCAGTTGTTTTTCATTAATTATGGGAGCTTTAAGTGAATATCTTTGAAGAATGTATGTTGTATGGTTTTTTTGAGACGGAGTCTTGCTCTGTCACCCAGCCTGGAATGTAGTGGCATGATCTTGGCTCACTGCAAGCCCCGCCTCATTCTCCTGCCTCAGCTTCCCCAGTAGCTAGGACTACAGGCACCAGCCACCATACCTGGCTAATTTTTTTGTATTTTTAGTAGAGATGGGGTTTCACTGTGTTGCCAGGATGGTCTCGATCTCCTGACCTCGTGATCTGCCCGCCTCGGCCTCCCAAAGTGCTGGGATTACAGGTGTGAGCCACCGCGCCCAGCCTGTATGTTGTATGGTTTTAGGGAGAACAGTTGAATCACAATAGGACCATAACATTTGTACTCAGATGTTTTTTCCCCCTAGAACATAAGGATTTTACTATAATACCCCAACATCAGGGTTTTCAGGAGGATGAGTAGTCGTCGTAGGTAAATAATTATTGGTTAAATCTCTTGGGAAAAGTGACAAGGTCAGCCGGGTGCGGTGGCTCATGCCTATAATCCCAGCACTTTGGGAGGCCGGGGTGGGCAGATCACCTGAGGTTGGGAGTTTGAGACCAGCCTGATCAATATGGAGAAACCCCATCTCTACTAAAAATATAAAATTAGCCAGGTGTGGTGGCACATGCCTGTAATCCCAACTACTAGGGAGGCTGAGGCAGGAGAATCTCTTGAACACGGGAGGCGGAGGTTGTGGTGAGCTGCGGTCGCGCCATTGCACTCCAGCCTGGGAGTTTGCTCTTATTCCAACAAGAGCGAAACTCCGTCTCAAAAAAAAAAAAAAAAAAAAGAAAAGTGACAAGGTCTTTATATGGGTAATACCTTGCATTTGGTTAGTACAGTAGGTTGGGCAAGTGATGTTATATAGGACAGGGATTCTCAAACTCGAACATACATGAGAATCACCTAGAGGGCACAAGATTGCTGAGTTCCACCTCCAGACTCCTTATTCAGTAGATCTAGGGGTAGGGTCTCATAATTTGCATTTCTCCCAAGTTTCTGGGTGGTACTGAGGGTGCTGGTCCAGGGATTACATTTTAGATAACTAAAGCCCTGAGAAATTAAATTATTTACTTAAGATTATACAGCTAATAAGTGGTACAAAGCTAGATCTTAAACCCAGCCCTTCGTACTCAAAATTTATTGTTCTTTTTATGCTACTGTACAGTTTCTCTTCCGGAAGATGAAAAGTAGAGAAAGTGAATATTCACGTAGGGACATGATCATCTCATTCTGAAGGATATTTGCGTGGTCCCAGTATACCTTTACTGTGGTCCACCTTAGGGTAACTTTCATGTATGTACTTATTAGGTTTTTATCCTTAGAATTTTCAGTGTTTCTGAAGGTCTGGGGTGGGACATGGAATACAGGTGAAATTAAACCTTAAACCTGGCATAACATGGATAGGGTTAGTGTCTTACATGGTACTGGCATCTGCTCAAATGGGACAAACCGGACAGCTGGGTGGATGATGGTATCCATGGGTTTACTTCAGTAGCACGTGTCTACTTTTTTTTTTTGGAGACGGAATCTCACTCTTTCTACCCAGGCTGGAATGCAGTGACGTGATCTTGGCCCACTGCAAGCTCTGCCTCCTGGGCTCACGCCATCCTCCTGCCTCAGCCTCCCGAGTAGCTGGGACTGCAGGCGCCCGCCACCATGCCCAGCTAATTTTTTGTATTTTTAGTAGAGACGGGGTTTCACCGTGTTAGAGCCAGGATAGTCTCTATCTCCTGACCTTGTGATCCACCCACCTCAGCCTCCCAAAGTGGTGGTATTACAGTGCGTGAGCCACCGCTCCTGTCCTGGCATGTCTACTTTTTAATGTGATTGGGCCATTGTATGTAAGGTAATGCTCTGCTTAGAAATATAGAATGTTTTCCTAGGCATAGGCCTTGAAGTCCATGGTGTGTGAAGTGAAATAACTTTGATATTACGGAGTTTTTTTTTTTTTGTCTTTTGCAGAACACTGGAGATGATCAGACTTCCTGAATAGAGAAAACTTAATGTGCTTTGTTACATTGGGGAACAACTGAAGAGATTCTTGACTCTGAACCTTTTAGAGCTTAGTCCATGTTGCAACGAGGAGTGTTGGCTTTGTTTTTCCACTTAAAAACTTTATTTATAAAAAGGAAAAGTAGTTTTCATGTTAAGTTTTTATTTCCTTTCCAGCATTTGGGGCTAGAAAGTATATGTTGGCACTAGAAACATTGTCAAGATTTATTCTGTGGTGTAGGTATGCACATGTTCCATAGGTATGCACACAGCCATGTAGTATCAGTATATCCCAAGTTAATGAAAGTGTTCATTTACATAGGTAATGGAGACCTTTGCATTTTGATCCATAAAACATGGGAGGATGTTCTTAGTCTGTCTCAAAGCTCTATGTGTTTACATATTATTTCTGTAGATGATTTTCAGGAGTAAATTTTGCTTCCATGGTAAGAGTGAGCACTTTGGCTTATGTATAAGTTAGAAATTATTGTTAGTTTTTAATATGTACTTCATGGGGAAATTTCTTAGACATATACAAGCAAGTGAAAACAATTAGGGCCAGTGGTATTAACTACTTTCTAAAATCTTATTTTTATTTGTAAGAAGTCATTTACTTAAGGCCCAATTAATATAAGTGGAATCATCATCGTTTGTTTAAGGAATACCCAGAGATTGCTGCTGTTCTATTTATTTTACAGAAAGGATAGCTAGATTGAAGAAAGCTCTTCAGTGGACCTTGAGCTAATAGATCTTTTACCACTAAAAGAGCATTATTCTCATGTCATAATGAGAATAATCATTTACATACTTGGCATAATAAATGCCTAAAAGACATTTTATTTTCTGAATCTATTTTTTTTCTTGCTATAATGGGGATATTGTAAATTATGCATTTGTATTAATGGTATTTCTTAAAGCATTCTGTGTAACTGTAAACCAATCTACAAACTATTGTAGGCATTTGTAAATTCTGTTGTAGGTATTATAAACTTTGTTGAAGTCTTAATCAGCAGATTATGTTGTGAATATATTTGTACATTGTTAAAATAGTTTTTAAGATTATTTGTTTAATTGAATAAGTGTCTTATTGGAGTGATAGCTTTGAAGGTGCAAAACTTTATATTTGTATAAAATTCTACTGTTTACAAGGCATTTGACATGTGTAATCTCATTTAATCCTCATGACAAATATGTAATACTTTAGATGATGTAACAGAACTTCCGGTTATTGAGTGACTTTCCTAAGGAAAACAGATTACAGGAATATCTGTAGGATATAAAACACGATATATTAGTATGTTTAGAGAAAATATTTGCTCTAAATGCCTTTTCCTTTCTTAAAAATTAATAATTTGTTAAGAGCTTGTTTATTTTACTTATACTCAGCTGTTCTGTCTGGTGAGAAGAATTGATACTGCACTGAAGACATTTTAAAATTTAATCTGAAAGATCTAACCTAAATCTTTAGGGTTGAGAGTCTAACAGAGGATACATTGATATAGTTCTTTTAGATAACTGTGTTATTTGAACTATAATCCTAAACCAAGTAACAACTGAATTTTAGAATATGCATGTGGCAGGAGCTACCATGTATTCCCTAATATTCATTTTTCCCCTTTTATAGATTTACCACCTAATTAGCTAGGGCATGGCATCCTGGAATAAAGATAACCTTTCCCAAATTTTATCGCTGTATCTTGGTGTGGCCACATGACCGAGTTTGGGCCAATGGATACATTTCCAGGAAGTATCCTTAAAAGGAGGAGGCATGCCCATCCCTTCCCCCTTTTTCCTGAAAGGTAGACACAGTGCAGGAACTAGAGCAGCCATCTTGGACTATGTGGTAAAGGCTTCGTTTTGTGAATGGCAGATAAATGAGGTAGATACTGTCTGAATCCCATCTTGTGTATAGCATCCCTGAACTGCTTGTCTGAATTTTTTTTTGAGACAGAGCTTTTGCTCTTGTCGCCCTGGCTGGAGTGCAGTGGTGTGATCTCGGCTCATTGCAACCTCTGCCTCCTGGGTTCAAGCGATTCTCTTGCCTCAGCCTCCCTACTAGCTGGGATTACCACCCTGCCACCACGCCTGGCTAATTTTTGTATTTTTAGTAGAGATGGGGTTTCACCGTGTTAGCCAGGATGGTTTCTGTCTCCTGACCTCGTGATCCACCTGCCTCGGCCTCGCGAAGTACTGGGATTACAGGCGTGAGCCACCGTGCCTGGCCAGCTGTCTGAACTTTTAATAAAAGTGAAGGGAACTATCTTCTTCAAGTATTATTGTTCTGACTTCTCTGTTGCTCATAGCCTAACTGGATTCTTGTCAATACAGTGCACTTTTGAGCATTATCCATGATTATTTCCATTTGTACTAACTTTCCATATTGTACTAACTGGAGTTGTTAGTACAGTACACTCCAGTTGTTAGTACAGTATTAGAGATGTAATAATTTAGTAAATACATAGTTGATCTTTATGTAGTACTTAAGTGAATATTATAGTTGCCACTGAGTTGCACTGTCCCAGATGCTGTTGCTACATAAAACTCCACCCCCAGAATTACTGGTACTGGTGAAAAACAAGTCATTTTATTAAGCTCACAAATTATGTAGGACAGGAATTTGGATGGAGCATGGTGATGGCTGGGGAAGGAGCCAGGAAGTGGCATGGAGCTTTGCAGCCACTGACCTGGAGGTTGACATTGGCTGTCAGCTGTGGCGTCAGCTAGGCTGTTGGTTGGAACACCTACACTGTGTAGTTTCTCCCTGAGGGCACATTTGACTTCTTCACAACCTGGCACTGGGTTCTAACAATGAGTCTTCCAAGAGAGCAAGAGAAGTGCATGGCATTTTAATGACTAGTCTTGGAATTCACATTATGTCTCTTCTGTCATACTTCATTGGATGAAGCAATAACCAAGGTCCATCCAGCTTCAATAGAAGGGTACATAGAGCCCAGTACTTGATGAGAGGAGTGTTAAGATTACATTATAATAAGAGTATGTGGGATGGGAGATACTCTTTGGAAAATAAAATCTGACACTTTAATCATTTCATCAAGACTGAAGAAATTAGGAGAGACTGAGGATAAGTGGTTTTCCTCTCTATTGTCCCTGGTCAGCCTTGGATACAGGTAAATTGACTGAATGGTGCTAGTAAAATGAAAGTAGAATCACTTTTTTTTTTTTTGACATAGAGTTTCGCTCTCGTTGCCCAGACTGGAGTGCCGTGGCACAATCGTGGCTCACTGCAACCTCCACCTGTCGGGTTCAAGCGATTCTCCTGCCTCAGCATCCCAAGTAGCTGAGACTACAGGTGTCCGCCACCACGGCTAATTTTGTATTTTTAGTAGAGACGGAGTTTCTCTATGTTGGTCAGGCTAGTCTTGAACTCCCGACCTCAGGTGATCCGCCTGTCTCAGCCTCCCAGAGTGCTGGGATTACAGGTGTGAGCCACCACGCCTAGCCCTAGTAAAATCACATTCTAATTCCACATCTCCCAGAGTATTCTTTGACCCAGACCTCTAAATAGATAGGCAAAGATGTGTGTGTGTGCACGCAGAGGTGATGGCACATTAATTCCAACATATAGGTACTATGGGCCTTTTTAAATCTGTGTAACTCTTAGAGCTTATTAAAGTTCTTTTACGTATTATCTCGTATGATTCTCCCCAAGAGGGAAAAATGACAATTATGTACCATGTAACCTCATGTTACAGGTAGGTAACTAATACTGAGAGAAGTAAAATAATTTATTGAAGGTTGCATATAGTAGAGATAGTAATGCTCACTAAATGTTTCATTTGTTCTACATTTCCCAGCTTCCTTAATTCGTTTGAGGCCATGAAATGTGAGTGAACAATGGCCAATGAAATGTGAATGAAAGTGAATAGAGATGCTGGGTGCCTGAATAGCATAGGACAGTTTTAGACAGCAAAGAATTATCCTGTATCTCATGACTTCTTTGTACCTCGCTGAATAATTATGTACATGGAAATCCTGTTTATAATGAGAAAAGAAAAGCAACCCTTACAGCTGTCAGTTGGAAGCTGACCTGGCTCTAATGGCTAGGCTATTCTGTTGAATATAAACAATTTTATAGAACACCAACATCTGACAAGGCCACTCTGAATGTGGTGGAGGAAGACAAAAATTAAGACACTCCATAGTCATGTTAAACTTAGAAACAAGATTCTGTGTAAATCATAGAGCGACCAAACATTCCTGTCTCTTGGCTTACATGTGTGATAGTTGGTTCATTACCCATTGGATCACTCTGTTCCTTCTTCCTCCTAGATTAAAAATTTTAATATTTACACTCATTTAGAATTGCCCTTGCTTTCTGAAAGTACTCAATCCAGAGTAAAACTAGGATTCATGGAGCCCTTCTTGAAATCACCCAACACAACCCCAAATCCTATAAAAAGCCCTTCCCAGCACTCCCATACTGAGGCACCCCATGGTTCCCCATGGTATGTGATCTCTCTTGTGCAAAAGCATGCTGATAAACCCAACTCGATTCAATCAGATCTGTTACTCACAATCTCTGACTGGTGGACATTGACAATAATTTTTTGAGCGTATATTATAATTCCATTTCATATTTTTGTTGTTGCAGATCTGCAATACTTGATTTGCCCAAAAATGCAATTACCAGTTACGTGAGGGAAGGTTGTAGTCTTTGTTCAGTACGTAACCAAGAGTTTTCTATCATTTTAAAAACTCACTAGTGGCAACATTGCTTGTGGCATTTGAGTTCCAGGTCAAAAGTACTGCAGTAGTCTGCATTTGTAGTGGGCACATTAATGGTAATTATATGTACATATGCAAGCACCTAATTATTGTGTCATCAGGAGTTTTGGCCATTTCCAGATTGAATTACATACTATCATAAGTTGCTTTCTTTTATTTCTCTGTTACATTACAGTTAGATATTAAAGATACCTTTAATCATGATAGATGATTAAAAATATGCCTGAGGTTAAGTTATATTGTTTGTGTTTTAGAATAATAAAACATGTTTTAAAATATTTCTGATAAAAAGTGGCTGTGAGCCTGAAGGGGTGAAAACCATTAGTCTACAGTCATTGATGAACAGTCTGTCCCTTAGGCCCTTTTAGTTGGAGCTGGAGAGTGGATAGACATGAACTTGAACTCTGGTGTTCTAATATTCTGTGTTGTTTACTGAAGGTAGATGCCATGTGCTTTGGAAATCAGCATGGACATTCTGTGAAATAAGAGAAGCAATTTTCTCATTTAGATGGTCTATCATGGGTGGTAATGTCTAGTGTTCTAAGTGAATGTAGTAGATGCTGCTTATATTAATTTAAGAGAAATCCTATACATCTCATTAAAAAAAAAAATTCCTAGAGAAACATTTCCAGAATGGTGGAGTATGGATCTTTGAATATCTGATTCTGCATAAAATCAACGAGTACACTGGCAGAAGTGATCAAAATAAACTTTTTGAAACTCTGGAAATTAACCAAAGGATTGCAACAACCCAAAGAAAATATGTTTGAGAAAAAGGCTGAATCTCTGTATGATCAGTAAGCTTTGTGGTGTTTTAACTTGTCCTGTCCCCATCTTCTTCTCTTCACCTCCACAGTAGCCTTGAAAATCAGCAACCTTGAGACCACAGTAGCAGTGAAAACCAGTAGCCTAGAAGCCACTGAATGAATTTAGAGTCCCTCTAAGATAGATTTGGAGTTATCCAAGAAGCCCCATCCCCGGAGATTTGTCACTCCTTGACCTGCCTGGCAGCTCCCTGGAATAGTCCCAATCACAGGGCTTGTCTTCATTTAACCCAACTCAGGTCACTCAGTGAGGAAAGTATCCTCAGGTTGTTTGTCAGAAACAATTGGTGGCAATTATTTAAACAGCACAGTTGCCTGACATGGCTATACTAGCTGGGACAAATGAGAGACTGGCCAGAAAACTTAAAAATAAGGGGAGTGTGATGTCTATAGAGGCTTTGAAAAGTGCCAAAATATTCTCGGGAGCTAGAAAGTCAGGTAAAGGTGAGAGACTTACTGCTTCAATCACTTAAGGAAATCCCTGTCTAATCACATGCTCAAGACTAAAGTAACCAGGCAGAGATTTCGGTGACTCCAACATGACAAAGAATACAGAGTAAACAGAATTAGTCCTGGAAAGGTACTAGACATACCACCATTGCAATAAAAATAACAACAACAAATAGTAACAAACCCTACAAGGGTGGGGGGTGTGGGACAAATCTGATTTGCAAAGTTGCCACCTCATATTATTTAAATTTTCCAGTTTTCAACAACAACAAAAGATGTGAAGAAACAGCAATTATGTCTGCCTATATATGGGGGAAAAAAACCCAGAAAACAAACCATCCCTGAGAAAACCCAGACATTAGATCTACTAAACAAAAAGTTTGTCAACCTTTAAATATGCTTAAAAAACTAAAGGAAACCATGGACAAAGAACATGAGAAAGGAAAATAATGTGTAAACAAAGTGAAAATATCAGTAAACAGAAATCATGAAAGAAATTCTGGAGCTAAAAAATTATAATTGAAAAATTTCCTAGAGGGGTTTACAGATATAAACAGGCAGAAGAATCAGCAAACTTGAGAATAAGACAAATAGGAATTATCCAGTCTGAGGAACAGGAAGAAAAAAGTGAAGAATGAACAGAGCCTGAGGGATCTGTGGCATGCTATCAAGTTACTAACATATGCATTATAGGGGTTCCAGAAAACGGGGAGAAAAAAGCAGAAATAATATTTGAAGAAATAATGACTGAGACTTCCCAAATTCAATGAAATACATGAGCTACACATTCAAGAAGCTCAACAAATTATAAGTAGGATAAACTCAGAGATCTATTACTAAGCACATTACAATCAAGCTGTCAAAAGCCAGAGACAAAAGGAATTGTTAAAGTAGCAGGAGGAAAACAACTTATTACATATAAGGGATCCTCAATAAGATTAAATGCCTGCCACTCATCAGAAACTACAGAGGTCAGAAGGCTGTAGAATGACATATTCAAAGTGCTAAAAGAAAACAGAGAATTTTAGATCTAGCAAAACTATCCTTCAAAACTATAAGAAAGGATGAGCATGGTGGCTCACACTTGTAATCCCAGTACTTTAGGAGGCTGAGGCAGGAGGATTGCTTCAGCCCAGGAATTTGAGACCAGCCTGGGCAACATGGCAAAAAGCCATCTTTACAAAAAATACAACAAACAACTGGGTGTGGTGGCGTGTGCTTGTGGTCCCAGCTACTCAGGAGGCTGAGGT